CTACCATTTCTCTTCAGGGCTTGACCAATCTTAACACCATTTGATTTTCCTACTTTCCAATTTTCTGCTTCAGATCCCGAGTTGTTTGCAGTCGATTCGACGGTTTCATCTAAATCGCGTAATGGTGATCTATTTGGAGAACTACCGTTCTTGAGGATTCTCAATGGAGAATGTTCGGTATCCGAAGACGTTGGGGAGAGATTTGTAATTGTTGGTGGTGGAGGTGATCCCGAGGGGGGCTTTTTGGACAGGAATCCTGCTTGGAATCGATTGTTCTTGGGCTTAATATCAATGGATGTCAGTGGAGCCGTAGGAATAGGTGATGAGCCAAGGGGGTCCGTGGAAACCTCGCCTAGGTATGATGGTAAAGGTGGTAGGGTAACAGTGTCTTCAACCAAGGATACATCCGGGGTGGATTCAAACTTCTGGGGAGTTTTCTCGAATTCGGCCAGGGCACCAGCATCGTCATCGTCTCGCCATCTGACACTTCGCTTGGAGGTCTTCTTCGGTGTGAAAGAAAGTCCTTTCTTACCTACTACAATCTTACGACGCCTCGGTGAGGCTTTCATCGGAGATGGAATTTGTGGTGCCACCGTGAGGGAAGGCATTTTAATTGGTGATTGTATATCATCAAAAGAAAGATTGGTTTGCTTTTTACGTTTTGGTGTACCTCGTTTGCTAGGAGCGAATTTTTCCGTGTTTTTCATGGAGCCATCTGGTTTCACTATTGAGGCAGCGGTCGTCGAACATGTCTCCAAAAGTTTTGAAATAGTTTTCTTTCCGTGTTGTACTGCATCATCTTCGGTCATACCAAGAATTTCATTAAGCGAAGACATGATCTCGAATTGGGCAGAGAGCAGCACTTGCATAACACCCGCATCGACACCTTTTTCTTGGTCTAAGACATGTTGCAATGAATCTCTTGCGACCTTAACTTTCAAAAGTTCCGTCTCTCGAGTTAAGCAAGCAATATCGCTGCCATCCTCACGCCCATCAATCTCAACAAGTTGACGAACACTATTTTGCAATGCAGAATCGATCGCGCGCTCCCAATTCATCTTATGCAACCGTTGATGATAATGTTGACGACTACTCTCTAGTTCAAGAAGAATACCTTGAGCAGTCTTGCGCATGGCAGCCAAATTTGGTAGCATTTCTGCATCATCTCGAGAATCGCACACGTTATCAAACGCTGCAATCCAGGAGGATAAAATACTGATACGGGCGTTCAATCTGTCGAAGTTTCTTCATTTGGCTGACCTTCTCCTGACGCTCAGTCGCTGAGTTCTCGAATGCCGCCCGAATACGTGCCATTCCCTCGCGCGCAATAGCATCTCTCTTTTCTGACTGTTTTCTGAACTTTACAAATGCAATATTCTCGGCATCTTTCTGCTGAGCCTTAAGTTCATTAATCATAGCCATCTGTTCATCAATCTTGACCAAGAAATCCTTAACGTGACGATTGACATTGAAAACGTTCCTCGTAACCTTGGTTTGAATGTTCTTCGCTCGGTTTGCATATCTCAAGGTGTTTTGGGTTTCATCGAAATGAGCACTGGAAGGACTGACACATACAATCATGACAGTCTTGCAATTCCCACCTAGAGAAAACTTCAATAACCTCGTCAATTTTGAATTTCGATATGGAACGTGATTTTTCTTTCGAGGATCGCAAAGTGCATTGATACAACTGCCCAGAGCAAGAAGTGACTTGTTGATATTTGCACCTTCAATTAATCTTTCACCGCGATTCTTTGTCGCGCTGGCACGCTCGCTGCCTGCCAAATCGATGATACTCAAAGTCGCCATAGTATGTGGTTCGTTAACTGATGCGTTTCGATCTTTTTGTGCAACATTAATTTGGAGAACAGCATGAGATCGAGAAGATGTCGCATTAGCGGCTGTTGGTGAAATAGTTCGGTATTCGTTTCCTTTAACAATCATATCCATAACCTCCTGAACATCTTGTGGTTTGTGACTCGATAATCCTGCAACTGATACCGCTTGATTGGCATCCTCTCTTAACATCAATCCTGCTTTACTGCCCCCTGGCACCAAAAGATCTCGAATTGTCTCGTTATAAATTTCCAGGTAAGATAATGTGATTTCCGTTTGCTTTTCTTCCGATCGTTCGTTAATTTTCTCAAAGAGTTCTTGCATGGTTAAGAAGATAATTCCGGGTTGTTGAGCAGTTCCTGTAATTGTATGAGTTTTACCACAACCAGTGGCACCGTATGCGAAAACTGTAGCATTATAACCATCAAGCACATTGTCTAGAAGCCCTCTAGTTGTTGATTCGTAAACATCTCCTTGTGTAGTATTATCATCGAAGACTCGGTCGAATGCGAATGTTTGATCTTTAACTCTTTTGCCCATATTTGATACTACTTTTGATTGGAATCGAGACATAGGACTGTCCTGTGGAGGGTCGAAGACACTGCTATTGTCAGATTTGCGAGCGTCAGTGTTCTGCAGTGCTTACAGGCATCTATCATCAATCACTTTATGACAGGATGAATCCCCCGTCCACAAGCTTTGGAGTCGGGGCTCCTGGCCAATGAGCCCTCTCCCAAAAATGATATTCCATCATCGGTTTTTGTACTATGAAGTGTAAGCGGTCGTTCGAAATTTAATGCCATGGGCGTATGGGAGTTGAGTGATATAGACGTACATTTGCGCAGCTTCTTGAATAGTGAAAGGACGAACACGAACTATCAATTGTTAGAAAATAGTCCTCAAAGCGATACCAAGAATATCATACCAGTAACAGAGATTGAAGACGCGTCTGACGCCATCGCAACGGCGTCGTCTGTACTCTTTATAATGTACTATTGTCCAGCTGAGGGCAATGTAAACAGACCGCCAAACAGTAATTTCAATTGAACCAGATCGACCTGGAGTAAAAAGAAAAGAATAAGGAAGGAATGAATGAATCAATGGTTAAGAAGAATTACAAATAGCTATCTCCGATTAGCATTGAGGTATAAGTCAAGGAACGACGGTCGCAAATTTGTCGTCTGTAGGTATTTGTTTGATTTTGAAGATGCTCATGCATTTACGTACAAGTGTTCCTGGAACTTTTACTTCATTCATAACCTTAGACTTTCATTTCCTCTAAAAACTAAACATGGTTGACCCGTCAACCGAAAATGAAAAGACCCGCTTTCCGCATGAATTCTTATTAGTGTACCCGTAAGGTTACCCCAACGCAGCCTTTTTATTGCAAGGCCTATCCTATAGGATTATTCCTAATGAGCATATTAATTCAATTATATAAGAGTTACAATACACTTAAAACATATACACATACACACAATACAGCTCGATTTATTAGGTATGCGTATTGATACCCGACTGATTCTTATAATATGAAGAATACAGAGAATATCAAAACTTTCTATTCAACTAGCCGACAGATATCATTACCTATACTCATTCAATAATACTTGAGCTACCCAGTACCTTTCTTTCTACCAGGTCTCTAGATCGTCCACTGTATCCCCATTCTTCCTCTACCTATCTCTCCTGCCCTTATTTTATAATACAAGAACCCTCAGGTTAGAATCAAGCGAATCCAAACAATCAAACCGATACTTTATATCCAGCCTATGTAACCCTCTCGCCCCTGCCCCTTAAACTCCAAGTAAACCAACCACCCATTGTACCGCATTTTTCTATCCTCAGTACGCCATCCATTACCATATCCACAAATTATTCAAGTCAATCACGTGCAAAATACCTCCAGGATCAACCGGCCGTACCATTAGGACCAATATCAAAAAGATTAAGTGGCCAAGTCGCACCCGCGATAGCCCCCGAAACTTGTCCACCCAAATGTCCCTGTTCACCCACACCTCCATTTTGAACTTCACCTATCGATGAATTTAATTGTGTCGCATCACCAGTACTCAGATCTCTCCCCCCTAGTTGCATCAAAGCACTTGCCGAGTAACATTCTTGCGGTTCGAGATTGCCCGTTATAGTAGATGTCCAATTTTGCCATGCTTGTGTAGGCGCTGTATTAACTTGTATTGAATTTCTATGCCATGTGTTAGGAGCGACCTGAGATGCCTGAGCAGCTAATGCAGCGATTAATGGTGCTTCTACAGAATCCGTAGTTGGAGCCGAATAACCTGAATAGCTTTGATTTTCGGGCTGAGCATATGTTAAATCGGAAGTATTGGAAGCTGACTCGAGATATGGCGAATATTGAGTTGCAGCTGGGTATGGTGTTTGTTGATGAGACATCTGACCATCGGAAGATGGGTAGCTAGGTGCAGGTGCACTTCCACTAGCAGAAACAGGCTCAGTGTAATTATAGTTCTGAGCTGTCACTGCATAACCATTGTTACCGTTGGTGTTCGAAGTTTGCTCTGCAGGTCTCATCTCTTCCTGGGGCGTGTTGGCCGAAACATAACTTTTATCGTTCTTGATCGGTAAATTTCGGCTCAATAGACCGAGTGTTCCGTCAGTGACAACCTGGACGGCCTTTTTAAGTCGTGTTCCAGAACCTAATCAATTAGTAAAGTTGTTCTGAATCAATGAGATTGCACTTACCAAGCAGCGAGCCTATATCCCCCATGATGTCCAACCATATGTCCATTTCTTCTCTCAACGCTGCAAAGTCAGCTGACGATATCCCGCCACGCTTCTCCCACTGAGCGAATAATGTTGTAGTAAGTGCCATGACATAAACCGAAGTATTGTACCAAGTCGTGTCAAGACTTCTGTACTTCTGAAGTTGGCGGACAACTCCTAACATTTGCCGAGAAGACTCTACACATATTCTCATGCTCTCGGCATTGAAATCGGGATCTGTTGTCATAGATACTGATGGATGACGCAGAAGAAGACGAAATTCTTGAGACCAAGATTGAGCATAGAGAGCGAATACTCGTCCTTCTTGTTCGTTATGTCCCAACTCTCCATTCACTAGCTGGAAAGGTAAATCTTCCTTCCAAGCACGGATTTTGGCCTCTAATTTATTGACAGTTGCAATGTAAGTATCTGGCCGACGGGATATTGAATAAATAGTTGAATATAGTTCCAGATAACATGGTATAAGCTTGAAAGCTTGGATACCAATCTCGTGGTTACATTTAATTGGGTGAGGTGACTCTACACCTTCACCGGGAATGTAATCATCGTCGATTGGTGAAGGAATTTCAACATCATAATCTTCATTCCGTAGCGGCATTGGGCGGCCAAGCTTTCCACTAAGGGTAACATTAACAGTTAGGACAACCCAAAAAGTTCGTCTACGCATTTCGATTTCGAGTTCGCTAAGCGTATTCGAATCAGGGGCCCATCTTTTCATCGATCGGTGAAGCCCAAGTTCAATAGCAAGAGTCATAGCCATTCTGGCAAGCATCCAACTTGCGCCCGGCTTGGGGAAGTTTCGAAGATGCATGCAAATCAAGGCTAAAGCTTGAACATCTTGTGCTGTATGACTACATGCTAGCTGGTAAAACATGCCAAGACAGTAATGGTAGTGCATATTCGACTGGGAGTTCAAGTTCGCTTGTTGTTCAACATCTTCCCAGTTTCTAGTCGCATACTGGAAGAACATAATAGCGAAGACCATATGAACAATAACGTTCTCGGCGATAGTTGGGCGAAAGGTAGGATCATCGTACATCCGAGTCAACTGTATTGATTATTAGTTGAAGGAAAAGGCTGAATCAGAATACACATACCAATCTCATAAAAGTACCTCTGTGAAGGAGGGGACAGTATGGGTTGATGACACGAAAATACCACTGGGCATAGGTGAGACCGTCTGAACGGGATGGCAATTCAACCTTGTCAATTCTTGGATTTACATTCCAAGCCGATTGAAGAAAGGATTGATATGATTTGTTGTAAAGTTGAGGGTGAAAAACTGAGGAATCCGGTTCATCCATATCGATAGAACGAAAATCCGCAATGTCAATCTCCATACCTAAAATCGATAATGCTGTACCTTTTATCGCGCTTAGATGAGAGCTTCCAGGTGATACTCCAAGATAATTATCGCCCATACATCCAGCTCGATAAGCAGGTAAAGCACGAAACATATTGGTCTCTTGTTGCTGGCCATTATTCACGTTTATTGAAGTTGGTGAAGTGTATGCTGAACCTGCCGAACTCCATGATGATTGCATCCCATTAGAAGATTGACCGTATCCATATTGACCGGATCCTGAATCGTGAAATCCGTTGGTTGGTTTTATATCAGCGCCACTTTGCAACAATCGTTGCTCCAGCTCTTGAATTCGAAGTTGCAGATCGCGATTCTGTTGCTCAATTCCTTCAACATAACCCCGCGATGTGGCGCGACCAGTTATCCTATCTGTCGTCCGACATTCCGTATTATTTTGTAAACATGGCGAACAACCACTAGGTAATCCATCGCATCGTATCTTACGAACCTATAGACAATATTCATCATCGTTAGTTGATTTGAACCATATAGAAAGGCGAAACGTTGTCGTTGATCCCAACTTTCGAATGGTTAGTACTAACCTTACACCGGTCGCACGCTTGACCCGTTCTCGTCGAAGATAATAACTTTTTCTTCACCGTATTTGAGAATTCTTCTGGATGTTGTTCTGATTTAATCTGCTTCGCAACAGGAGCAGTTGAGCCATTGGGTTCACCGGAAGCATTTCGCTTTTGAGGCATTGTCGCAATTAATGCGCCGGAAAACGCCGTATTATGTAGTGATATGGAAGAAGCCGTTGAACACCCAGTCGGTCGGTTCTGATTCTGGTTCTGATGTTGATCCTCCAATGCTTTGTTGTCAGTGTTCGCGTCTAATAAACCATGAAGCTGCCATGAAGAATTGGTATAATTTGTATAAGGATTCAACAAATCAAATTGTTGACCGAGTCGGTCTCGATGATCAGATTGATTAGGTGAATTGTATTGAGGCAACTGTACACCAAGACTACCATGAAATATCATTGTGAGCGGCGAAAGGCCAATTGAATTGATTGGATGGCTGCTCGTGTGCTAACTCTAGTCCCAATGAGGAAGGGTAACGGTGCCGCTTTAGGGATTAGACAGAGGGACAGAGGACAAGAAATCGGTGAAAGGCTCAAACACAATTGAACATTTCAGCTCAACCAATATTCAATATGGGGAAAAGGGAAGGGAAAGAAGAACAAGCCTGCCTCGTGAAACAGAAGGTAGGTGTGAGAACATGAAAAGGTACCCTCGATACTCAATAGTATCATGAAGATATGCAGGCAAAGTATGAGGTTGAGACGTAATTCAGGGGAAGGTATGAATGATGTTCAATATATCGAGAAAAAACGTGGGTGTTAAAGATAGAACATCTTCATTGACTTTGTGGTGACATGTAATATATATAAAATGCTACGGGTTTCTATTTCAGGAATAAAGAAAAGAATCTACCAAGCTTTTGAATTGGAAAATCTAAAAGCTTCGCTATACCTCATCCAAATGCGAGAAAGAAATAGATAAGGAGAAAAGAAGGTGATTAGGCTCTAGAATTCCAAAAGAACAATAAAAGCTTCCTCATCCATAACCTAACCTTACTTCATCCAAAAGCGAAGAAAAGCTCATAAGACTTAGAATTTTCAGCTAAGTACTTGCAACTTTTCCCTTTTTTCCTCCATTCTTATCTAAGGTCCCGGTACGTGTTTCCCTTCAAGCCCTTCCTATCATTTTCTTTGCATTCCAAAGGAACACAGAGCCTATTGGATATCGAGAAAAGATTCCGAATCGTTCAAGAAAGCTTCTGTAATTGTGAGGATCATCCATCTGGCCATGATTCAGAAAGAATTGACGAAAAGAAGTTCCAGCACTCACAGCACTTACAGCGATCATTTCCCTCCTTGTTTTGCTTCTCGGTAGATCAGGAAGCCGGGGGATCAACTATATCTTCCCCTCCCTGGTAAGTCTATTAGACTATAAGACTACAATACAACCAGTACAGTATCACAAGTTCACAACCATTTCCGCGGGCCGCCGATCCATGGATGTAATGTAACATAACAACCATTCGTTACATGCCGCGCAATCCCATTTCTCTTTCCCTGCACTTTAGCAATGGCAAAATGCCTCAAAAATCAATGTTCAAAAAGATGACGTCCAGAAACAGCCAAGATCTTCCTTGGTATAACAATGCTTTTCATTCATCTTCATCTCAGGAATGTCTTGGCACTTGGCATATACTATTTAGAGGGTAAAAGGACAAAGGGAAAGCCACGTGTAAGCCATGTTTTGCATTGACCCTATGGAAGGAGGGCGATGTCATTTACCTACTTCTCAGCTGGGTTTTGCCCGGGATATGGAGCAGTGTAGGAGTGGGGAATTCGAGGTGGCCGGTCTGTAATCTATTGTACCTAGGTAAGGTTAGTTTAAGGAGAAAAGATGGGATTTTTAGCGAGGAACTAAAGTCGTCTATCTACTCAACAAGAAGCCTTTCAGCCAAGAAGAGCTTGAACGCGGGCGAAAATCAATTAATTTCCGATCGGCTGTTCGAATCTAAAGAATAATCGGACGATTTAAAAGGTATGGAAAGTAGGTACTGAAAGAGGAATATCTCTTGGGACCCATTTGGGGGAGTGTTGACTTCCCCGGTTTACTAAAAATAGACAATCACCGCTGCACATGTATAACCTACTCGCAGCTTACCGAAATCCATCCGAACCATCAAGTCGGAAATCCTTGGCCAAAGCCAAAGCAAAAGCCAAGCATCTACACAATATTCCGTGCAACCGCGAGCCAACAACTCAAAAGAAACGTAAAAAACCGTTCCTCAAAAATTAGTGGACTAGGTTCACATTGTATTAAACTAACAATACACAGCCACAAGCGGCTCACCGGGTGCACCGACAAAAATTTAAAAAAAATCCCTTTATCTCATGGTCCCTGCTAGTAAATGCTTTGGTGCCGTTCTTAAAAGCTGACTCATCATCCCAAGACAGCCGGACCCAGGAACTTTCACGCTACGATCTACCATCTACTTTCACTCCACCATACCATTCCACCACACCATTCCGTGCCCAACCTAGCAACGATCCCAACACATCAATAGGTACCAAATACCAAATACCAATCGCCCAACCCTGGTCACCATAGCCTCCAGTCGTCCGAGCCGAGACACACAAGCCTACCTTCCTCACTTTATTCACACTTCATCCCCCCAAAAATATACCGCCACCTCAACCCAAAATGTCCCCCTCACCTACCCATCTTCTTCAGACCCTCCCCCTAGAACACATCCCCTCAACACACACGCTCCACATCGCCCTCTACCGCAACATCCAAAACGCATCATTCCTCCACCAGCAATTACTAGGTGGAAATACCGATTTTGAATATGCGTTTATTGATGCTAGTGTTGTATGTTACTGTTACATTCCCCTTTATTTTTCTCTTCTTCTTTGCTCTCTTTTCTCCTCTCCTTTATTTTTTGCTCGCTCTTCTCCTGCTTCCTCTCCTTTTCCCGCTCACAGGCCCCTCTACCCCTCCATCAACAAATTTGATAGTGGGGCAGTCTATCACGTGACAATCACTGACATCAACACAATTCACAGGTCCTATCAAAACTACACATCTTAGCCGCAGCCTATAGAGCCATTAACGATGCATTAGAAGGGCGATTAAAGAGTCGAAATATACACTCGGAGATTGTTTTTTCGTTGAGTATGAATAATAATGTATGTTCGCTTCTCCTTATTCCCGCTTATTTCATCTCTTATCCATTTACTGGGTATATGGTCACATGTCGTATCATATCAAATTATCATTTCCGGACTCATTTTATATTGGTTATGATTGAATTATAAACACCAACAACCCATCTAACAATTACCCTCAAGATCGCAGAATCCTTCCGCCGCTTCGGTATAACACCCTCTACAACCTCCCTCTTAGTAGTAAAAGTAGCACCCGCATCATCCGCTCCTCAAATCTCAGAACATCTTTCTTCATCTATCGAAGGAGAAGCCGTCCCATTTGAAGATGAGACATTAAGCAAAATGACCGATATTGCGCGAGTGAAGAAACTGTATAAGTTGAACGCCTGTGGTGGTGGTGGTGGTGGGAAGAAAGGAGGCGCGAATGGTGTGAGCGAGAAGATACAAGATGAAAGGAAAGAATTAGAGATTATGGTTTTGGGAGCTATGGCTTTGAGAGGTGCTACTAATTAGACAAGCTGTGTAGGGAAATGAGAAGAATAGTTATCTGATTTCAAACGTTGGCGTGCCCCGAGATATTGAGCTCATCAGTATTTTTTCCCCATGTTTCACAATCCCACCTTGTCGTCGTCAAGAGATCAACATCAATTAACCAATTGATCTATACCACAACTAATACTTCAGAACTCACCAGATACGCAGAGTGTCAGCAATCTAGATGACAATCCAAACCCACGTCTTTCCCTTCCACCTTGGAGAATCCGCAAATATTCAACCATGCATTATTCAATAATTCAAGTGAATAAGAAACTCTGCATACAAGTGGTGCAAATCAAATAAATGAAATTACTTCAAACGAACACAAAGAATCAAAATCCTTTCATTGTCGGCCAATGGCAGCTCCAGTAGGGTTGCGGTAAAGTTACTAGCCGGTCTCCCTTACAGAATTGTCAACCGGTCAGCTAGTTTTTAGTGCTGAGTACTGGTCTTGTTGTAATTCAATGGAGCAAATCTTTAAAATATCACTAGTAAGGTAAAAAGGCTATATTTCAATTAATAACAAGCTAATCAATTAAAGAAATTGGCATTTTATCAATTTTTGAAAATAATAAAAACATTGTGAATGTGATTTGAAGATAATTCAATGGTCTTGTTTTTTGGTTTTAAAATTTTCGTGCCGAGACGAAGAGTGATTGTGAAAGTAAATGAAAGAAATCCAAAAAGTTGAAAAGAAAAAAAATACATCATTATTTTTCCAAACATCTTTCACTGGAAAAGAGTCATGTGTTAGTTAATCGACAGTCGATGAACAAAAGAAACAGATCAATGAAATCCATAAGATAGCTGATTAACCACGTTGATCAGTCTGTGATTGTTATGTGTCCCACTATCGATATGTTTTTAGCCTAGCCTCCATATGTAACAACTGACATACCAAGCAGAGTTTCTATACTTACATCAAAATTATCCATGTTCAAATCGAGGCAGAGTAAGTGGTAACGAAAAGTACCTTCACCGGCAATGGCGCGGGGCAACAAATGAAGATTATTTTCGATAATAGGGGCTAGGAGGTCGATGAGCACATTTTGCTGTATTTCTATAGCATCGTCATAAATCGTCCTAAAATATCTTATCAGGCAGCCCTGTGAGTCCTCTGCAGCATTCGCCAAAAGTTCTTGCCATGCATCATCACTATATGGTGCAAAGGTGTCTCGCAAGATCGCCTGGTGTGTATATGCAAGCTTTCCGCCCAGTAGGTTATGTAGCTCAACTGCATATTTCGCAAGTCTCTGATCTTTAATACCTATGGTGAAATTCTGGTCATTTGGATGCCATCTGCCGGAAATAAGACTGAGACAATCGTGGAATAGCTCCTTATGCCTTAATTTAGTTGCCACACCGAGCAATACCTCCTGGTCATTAAACATGTGGGCTTTGAAGCTCTCACTGCGAAGCAAGGACAAGTACAGAGAGTGCGACACAGCTGGGAGACAATGATAGTAACCAGCCATTTCTGTAATTTCTTGCAGATGCTTCGTACTTTCAATCCAATAAGTAACTAGGTACATCGCCTTAATCATGCATCGAAAAGCCGAAATGGTTCCGAACGCTACATTTCCCGTGCCCCGTACCATATGTCATAAATTATCTAGTTCTATCTTGTGGAATATTTGATCAATCAAGTACTCGTGCTTACCTGGGATTCCTGGGTTCTTTTAACAACGTACCATCTCCCATTCTCTTCCAATTTTGCAACCCAATCATATTTCTACTCCGCGAGAGAACGTTCTGGTGCATTATCATGGGATTCAATGAGTCCCCGAAAGTAAGCGGAGTGTAATTTCAGAAGACTGGAGTGCAGACGGAATCCTACGTGGGTGAATATAGTAACCCGAGTGTCCGGTGTCGGAATTCCCCGCCGGCATTGGAAATGTTTCCACTGGAGTAGGCATACTGGTGTCTGATCAGAAGTAAGTTGTGAACGGTGTGTGAAATGATATTCTGTAAGATGAATCTTGTTGCGTGTTTCTTAAAGTTTGCAATAAAAAGGTAGTTTCTAATGGTAGTATGGCACAGATAATTGGTTCGAGTTGATGAGTTGATGAGTTGATGAGTTGATGAGTTGATGGTCTGATATTTTCAATCAATTGTTTGTGCAATCTCCGTCCCTCGAAAAGTTTCAATAACCTTGAACTGATCTAGGTTACTCGCAACAGAAGTCTGATGAATGTGGTGCAGATATCAAACTTACTCGCTTTCACTAAATACAAGTGAAGCGGAAGATACACAGCGGAGCTGAAGAAGAAGCAGAATTAATGAGAGATTCTAACTTTCTAAAAGAGGTTGGAGCGGGGTAGACATGAAAAGACTCTTCATTGTGCACCTCACGTGCTGATGTCGTGTTCGCCCATGACCGACGATATCAAGCCTCGCAATTGTTACACGGCATACAATAATTTACAATTTACAAAGATTTTAGTTTTCTGTTTGAGGTAGTAAGAACTCGGCGGTAGGATATATAGATACTCCCATTCGAAGGTAAAATATCAGTCTTCACTAGTCACGTGAATTTACCGTGACATGCATCTATCATAATCCAGAACTCCAACTCCAGCGAGACTTAGGGAAAACCTTGGACGATTGAAAATTCAAGATATTTGTAGTAATATTTTGAATAAAACTAAGGAGATTGTCAATCACAGTTAGTCTAAACACCAGCCAGAAGTCAGTTCAGTAGACGGAATAGAAGACGTGAGAAGACTATTAGTATATTAAAATGATAATGGAAGGATACCGACGACTGTGTGCTCAATTATTACATTAGATTCGACTCTCATTAGAAAGATACTACCAATTTTGCCTTCTTGTATTACACAAGGCTTTCTTAAGCTTGGGCTTGTAGCTCCCATGTGCTAGACTCTTTACATTCATATGTTATAAGATCCAAGTATGTATGGATAATGGACGGTATTGCTTCTCTGCTTTATGTAATAGCGCTGATATATCTCAGATGATGCAATTGGCCTCAATATCGTAGTAGATTTCCTCTAACTCTACAATTATATCATCACGAAGGAAGAACAACGTAGTTGCAGATACAGTATGTTCTACTGTCTATTGAATCCTTTGCCATGGCCTAAAATTGATACAGGAAATATTATTGATCATGTAATCCCAGTGTTAACCGAGATCAACCTGTTTAGTTCGAGAGCTTCGTTTTTTTTCATCACTTGAGCATGAAGTGCCTAATCCACAATTCAATTCAAATTCCCTCTAGGAAAAGTTATGAAAAGCTATGATACATACAATTTAAGTGGCCTAGGCTTGGTCAATATTAAAAATTCTACGATATATGAGATTTCTGCGCCTGATTAAAACATAAACAAGTTCTGTAGAACATTTGGGCGAGAGAAAAAGATGTTTATGTAATATGAATGGATCAAAATCAGAAAATTATAAAGTATTAATGAAATATATGTATACTTCGTCTCTGGACGAAATCCTGGTTCCTGTTCGGGCAGCTCGCTAAAGCGGGGAGATACATATTAACTATGCTTCAAAGCTAACCACCGCCTTTTCCATGCTTATATTCCCAACTCCTATATTCTCGAACGTGCTCCTTTAAACTTTTAACAATATTCGAAAATAACATCTTTCAAGAGAGAACGTTCTTCAATATATATTTATAATGACCAATCGGACAGTCTGGTCATCCTTACAAGTACAGTGTGAGAGAACCACGGCATTAATCAGGTCCGAATTCCAGATGACGACATACGATGGTAATTTGTTTTCTGTCAGTGCTGGCTGCCCCGGTAGACCAAAGCATCTTTATAAGTTTGTAGACGACAAACCACAATCCAGCTAAAATCGAGCATAATTTAGACCAAAATATTTTGTGTTGGATCATGACACTCTTTTCTGTATGGACTTGGTGTTGACCACGTTCCTGTCGTTGTTTTCTGCTTATGTCTATGGACTGGTAGCGGAGGTGGAAAGGAAAGATCTTATGCCAGCCTGTTGTGCGTCTGGGTTTCAGAGACCTCACTGCCAGTGGACTTTCTAGAACCCATGGAATATTAGTGATCGGATCAATGTGTATGAAAGCTTACTCTACTCCAATAAATCAGTCTCCCAAATCTTACCTGGCCTTTACGAAAGCTTTTTCATACACATATCGACGATTGGGTTATTTGTGGTGGCTGGAGTGTTGTAATGAATACGGTCCGTATAACATCAGAATAGAAAACGATTTTGCACATAAAGCGTGATACCAAAGTGAATACCTTTGAGGGCACAGCCATTTGATCACGTGGTGGTGGTGGTGGTGACAGTCCATGCCTGTCAATAACTCCTCTCACTTTCAGACAACCACAAAGATTTTTCTTCCAATCTCAGTTCTGAATCTCCTCAAAAATATCCTCAAAAGACTTAAACAGGACTTCTGTTAAAGGCAACATATTTCAAGCCATCATTAAAATGACAAGCTCGATTCCAACGGAACGCGACGCCGATGGCAATGCGAAGAAAGCGATGAAACCCATAATACTCCAGCATCCAGGTTTCGAAAACGATATCCGCCTCAATGTATTTGGTCAAGAATACCATGCTCACCCGATCATTTTGAAGCTCAATTCTGCATACTTTCGGAAGTTCTTAGATTCTGCAGACAAGGTTCCTGCTGTAAAGAGATCGCTTTTTTCCTACGATTATGTCACTGTGGTTGATGCCGATGGAGAATGGAGTTTGGAAGCAGTGAAATCGGTATGTAGGATTCCCATGTTATTTTCTCTGTTTCTGTTTTCCAATGGGACCATTGAGCGCGTTCGATTTTGCAGTTTATCCCGATCAATCCATGATCCAGTACTCCCTTGTTTGTTCAATCAAAATGGCACATTTGATCATGTACGCACGGATCAATATCGACCGTCTCCTACGGGAACTTGTTGAAATTCAGCTGTTTTCTAAGCAGTCAGGCGGGAAGACTAACTTATCGTAGTCGCCCCATTCTCTTAACCACCCGAGTACAAACAACCCGAAAGCTCCGCGAACTGAAAGTTCTGAAAGAAGCGCTTTTGAGACATTACTCTTTGTTTTCTATAATAGACCATACATCATCGGTAGTTACGACTGTTTCATGGATATCTACCGCTTAGCAGACTTTTATTGTGCCCTTCCTGCATTTTCACATTCTTTGGATTCCGCTGCATAGGAGTCCCGTATTTACGGAGTCGATCCGCCGCAACAGCGAATGTCTACTTCGAATTGCTAAGAAGCTCCATCACCCTGTACTCTTCCGAGAGTGCATGATTTATCAAGTTGCGGAGACAAAATACTTTCACAAATGGGAGTCTTGGGTATCGGAATTTGACGATGATAAAGAACTCAAACTTTCTTTTATGATAGCACTCACGAGCGTTCGCTCTTTGCAAGATAGAGTTGATCGATCTATTATATGTAACGCGGAAGAGACTCCAAGTTTTCCCATCCATTTCATGGAGCGTGGGGAAGCAATGTGGAAAGCAGGATCGAATGACGCAGCCCGTTACCGGGCTGTGTTAGACCATCTCCGAGAAGCAAAATATGAGTTTGACTATATGGGGGATGTCTCAGAATGCCTTTCTGAATTGTTGATGAGCAAGTTGGTTCTAGACAGGAGTGGAACACGTGTCGGCGACTTGGGGCCTGATGAGGTCGACGACGATGTGAGCTTCTTTTGTGCTCATATCCGGGACGCGGATCTTCCTTGGGATCAGGAAAGTATAGACTGGTAGAGGGCTGAAGTTTGTATATTAAGCCTGTCCCCCATGGCAAAATACAATGCCTGTATGCCAGCCATGCCATCAAGGATATATCCTTTGGGTAAAGTGGTGAGGGATAAGATTTAACGTATGGGAAGTGCCCATTGAGGTAATTACGGCGGAATCATACTGTGTTTATAGCGACAATGAGTGTTTCTATCCAAAATGGCCATATGTGAAACAACAAGGCTTGGAATTCATTGTTGGTTGTGGGCGTGGTCGTGACGGAGACGAAAGTATTTGATGTATGTTGCTTGAAAATTGAGGTTTAATTATTCTCGACAAAGAGACTTGAAAGCTCCAATATCACGAAAGGCTTCAATCTTAAATCAAATCCAATGTATCACTGCTCAAAAACCTCATTTTCCATGCCATGGATTGATATTGTCTGTCGACATTGATGTTCCAATTTTCATGCCCTCCCGCCAAGATTCCAAAAATAGAAATATTGACTTGCCCCACTTCCCATTGGTTTCTGATTTCTGATCTTGCGACATCAAATAGATAAAACATCCAACCCCTTTCCATCGATCTTTATTTTATATTCTTCTTTTCCCCCCTTCCTCCTTGATGTAAATCCACATCATGCCAAAAATCAAGAATGTCACATCAGCCACATCCACGCATATTACGATCTCTTCTATATACACTCCTCATCCTATGCATCATTACCTTCTGCTATAAATATCAATTCACATTCCCCGCGTCTCCGAACCTTCCGATCGATGAACATCGGAGCACACCCATCTACGAACATATTTCTCCATACCGACAACATGCGAATCGCACACAAGAAGAAGTGCTCGAGAAGAAACTAATCAAAATAGAAGAGAGCATTATCTCCGCACTTCAAGAACTCGAAAAAGGCACTCGAGCACGAAAAGTTATTTGGCAAATCACTTCAGAGCTCGAAGCACCCAGTTGGGAAGAATGGACACAAAGATGGGCAGCTATTAATCCAGAGTGGGAAATTAAACAATACGCTTCATCATCGCCCGGTCCGGATATTCTCCCGTATTTTCGTTCCATCCCTTTAATCGCGGAGACGCTCTCTGCGCACCCAGAACTCGAAATTGATCTTTTTCGCTGGTTGTTACTTTGGTATCATGGGGGTTTCTATCTCGAACCGGATATTTGGCCTCGAGTGGCTATAGGTGAATGTTTCGATCTCGATATCATTGAACATCCTTCCCTGGGTCTTCCTCGAAGTTATCCCAATTCAACAGGTCGATATGTGGAACAGAGGGAGCGATCGAGTCCCATAAGTTTGGTGCTCGGTATCGATATCGATGAACCGTATATGGCGTCTCATGTTAGGGAGAAATGGGGCTGGTCGAGAACTTTCGGTTTTGCTACTTATGCTATGTGGGCACCGGGACGTTTTGATCCGTTATTGAGGAAAGCGATTGTGAGATGTATTTCGCATTCTTCTACGGGACTTTTCGGGGAAAAGATCGATGCGAAGGAATCGGGGGAAGTGTGTGGAGGGGCTATGTTAACGGATATTGTGTTGGAGATGTTGAGCGAGAATTTGAAAGATGTACATCGAGTGCGAGATATGGATGCGGGACTTGAACGAAGAGTTACGTGGAAGAAGTTTCGTTCGCTTGGAAATCCGTATTGGTTCTCGGCTAAGGATTTTAAAGATGGGAGGGATGTGAGGAGGGATTTGAGGGGTTTGGGTGTATTACCTATTAATGTTTGGGGAAGTGGTCAGAGACATAGTGGGTCGGAGAGATTTGATCATGAGGATGCTTGTATAAATCATGTGTATGGGAGGAGACCTTCTGTGTCTCTTTGGCAAAAATTATTTGGATAAATTATCATGGGAGGGGTTTTGTATAATTGTTTGCACGTTTGTACTATTGGGTTTGGATATTGCATGGATAGGCGATAGGCAATGGGCAATGGGCGTTTCATTGGGAGTTGAATAATCTTTCATTGGTAAAGGAACTAATTAAGGATGCCACGGGAGGTGATCCGCGGTAATTATAGCAGGTCTTGAATACCTGAAAAGTGGCTGCAGTATGGATTAAACAGAAGCATAATGAGATATCCACCATGATATGATGCTCAAGATCTTTGTATCAAAAGATTCATATCCATATCCATATCCATAGTCCGATGGCAAAATACAAAATAAGAAATAAGAACGCTAAGGCGATTCGAATATATCGCGATAATCAAATGAATACTCCATCTTTGAGAACAAAAAAAAAGGAGATGATTGAATGTGAGAGATCCAAAGAGTATGAGTGGGTGAGAAGATCCAAGTGGATGTCAGGCAATGAGCAAGGAGCTGAAAGAAATAGCTAGTTGGCAAGACAGACAGACAGACAAACCTGCGAATTGAAAGTCTCTTTTTCCTAAGTCATCACTTCATCTTCAAAGACGACTCTCCCTCTCCTCTCATCATCCACCCACACTCAATTAAGCATGATACCCATCCGCCGCCTGCAAATTCAATCCCCCCTCCAACTCACACGGATCCTTCGAAAACGAAACCTGCAAACCCTCATAAATCGAACACGTCGACCCATTCCCTGCACCCTCCCTCAACCTCTCCAATCTCGCTTTCATCTTAATCGCCGCTCTCACCTCTGCAAACACCACCGTCGCATTCCCCCCATTATACACAAATACCAATTGGACATTCTCCCTCCCTACTTCCTTCTCACAAAGCGTCTGTAGATTTTTTCCCGTAAAGGCGAAAAAAAATGCTTTTTTTACGATAGTTAGGCGACGTGATGCGTAAGTTGGTGCGCCCATGGCGAGAATATCTTCATTTATCGGGAAGGGATCTCCTCTTACTGCGTCAGCTAGAAAGCGAAAACGCACCGGTGTGCGATTTTCGTGTTCGGCGCGCAAGATATCGTAGAACATGTGTGCGTCCTGCGCGTGTTGGAATACGATGCCGGAAAAGCGGAGGGAAGTGTCAGTGTCGATGCCGAAGCGGATACAGACGATGGGGCCTTCGTGGACGGCGTTGCTGATGTCGGTGAGGGTTAGAGTGGGGGGGATGTTGAGGATGAGGATGACGCGGGATTGGTGGGTGAGTGGTTCGTGGGTGGTGGGTTTTAGGATGGGGAGGGTGGGGATTCGTCCGATGCTTGTGAGGCGCCGGCCGCTGCGGGGAGTGCTGGGGTGGAGATCGACGTTTTGGTGCGAGGGGGAGGCGGAGCTGACGATTGCGGCCCAGGTGTTGGCTTGGGTTTGGAAGGTGGGTTGGGTGGGGGTGGGTGTGGGGGATGTGGTTGTGGTTGTGGTTGTGGTTGTGGAATGGGGATCTTCATTAGTTTCGGGGATAGAGGGGAAGTTCGTTTGGGTTGGGAAGGGAGATTGCGGCGGTAAGAGGGGAGAAATCCGTCGAGTGGATTTGTTGGTTAAACCTGTTAGATTTAAGGGTGCAGGTCTGTGTTTGCGAGTTGAAGGTTGAGATTCATTTTCCGTTTCGACTTCCTGTACCGAGACGGTGGGTAATTTGATTTGAGGAGGAGATGGATGACGATGCGTCATTGGTGTTTGATCGATTGTTCCACTACCATATATATATGGATTATTAATTACGATATTTTCCTGATTGATATCCAAATCACCGAGTTGAACTTCACCTCCATCTTTTCGATCTTCCCGATCACCATCAATTTGCGAATCCGGCGTATCCAAACCCAAAGTATTCAAACCCAACGAATAAAGTCTCAGCAACGAACTCGAAGGCAACGCCTCCGCCGTAAAAATCACATGTCTCTCCAACACAAACCCATGTACTGAATCCCTCGCCCTCCGACACTCCTCCCTCGTATTCATAACGACAAAGCGAAAGGTAGACTGCGAAGCCAGATCGAAGATAACGGGACATTTTTCCACGGTGCCGTAGATCTGGAAGATGCGGCGGAAAGCGGGGGTTTGCCATTCGGGTGGGATGCCGCTGATGTAGAGGGCGCGTTGCTCGAGTTGTTCTTGGCTGTATGGGGAGGGGATTCCGGGGACGTGTGTGAGGGGGTGGATGTTGGCGTGGGTTATGTAGACGTCTTTTCCTTCGGGAGAGTAGATGCCTGTTGCTACGGAGTAGGGGATTAGATTTAGAGGGTTTGGATTGCGAACGGCGAGGGGATTGGTTAGTAGATCGTGAGTTGCCATTTTTTTTGAGTTGATGTTTTTTATTGATTGTTTTTGTTTTTGTTGATGCTGATGTTGTTATTGTTATTTTTGAGGAAAAGGAGAAGAAACGCGACAAGATGGAATGGTTGACTTTTAAAGAATCAAAATAGGTGGAAAACAGGCACGGTTTCGAGTCTGAGCCTTGTGGCCTTGGATGATTTTGGATGGTAATGGAATGATGTATGATAAAAGTGAAGTTTAGATAGTAGTGAAATGAAACATGATAGAAGTGAAGTTTGAGATGAGAAATTCTTAGAATCACTATGCTACTATGAAGAATATAATCTTATTATTGAACTGCAAAAGTGGTATCTGATATGATAAAACTATTGATTATCAGTATTAGATTAAGATATTAAGAAGATTTATAAAGCCTTTTAAAAAAGACTTATAAGACTCATCTCACATGCTGCCTCAACCAAACTCAACCAAACTGACATTCAAATCATGCCATAAGAGTGAATATCACTCCTCTTCCTCATTCTCTCTCTCCTCCTCTCTCTCCTTCTCCTCCTCCTTCTCCTTCCCCTTCTCACTCTCCCTAATCAATCTCCTCGCCTCCACAATCGCCAACCCCAATAAATTCTTCCCCCACTCCTTCCTCTTCCCCTCCAAAACCCCATCTCTCTCCTGTCTCTGACATTCCTCAACCCCACCTTCAACACCAATCCCCCAAATCCTATCATAAGAACTCGCTTCAACCAATTCCCTATCCCCCGTCTTCTCAAGCTTCTCTCTTAACTCCTTTCCTCCTCTCGAAAACTTCAATACATTCCCTTGAGTGACGATTTGAAACTTAACTTTATCCCATTTCTTACTATCGAAACTTTTGACTTGGCGTCCGAGAGATTTGATTTTTGAGGGATTGGTAGTGGTGAGTATTTCTTGGGAGGTGGGGATGTCGTTGAAATGGAGAGCTTTGTGGTACATCATATATCTGGATGAAGTTATGAGTGAAGAATACTGGGGAAAGAGAAGAGAAAGGAAACAAACTGTTCGGTACTTGTGAATTTTTGACCGGTTTCATCAATGAATTCACATATGTGATGTTGAGATAACCATGGATAATCATGATCATCGGGTTGCCAAAAGAAGATTGGTCCGTTGTTACTCATTTTGTTGATTTCTTTGTGAGCTCTAGTATTGCTGTAATTGTATAGAAAATTGAATTGAATGAGAATTTTGTTTGAGGTTAAGTAAAGTAAAGACTGGATGTTTGGAGAATAATAGAGTGGTTTGTATGGTTTTATATTATCTTCATAAAATATATTTATATATTTTTATTATGGAAGGTGTCGTCATGTATGACTCGAACGGCGATCAACCCCGCATTCCAATCTAGCTACTCTGTATTTAAGGCTGAGCATTAGCTTTTATTAGTGGGGACTAGCTTCAACTTTTAAACGACGACTATAATATAAATACAATTGATTTATTTCATCGTACAAAATATTCTTAATATAAAAATAATAGCAAATGATACAATACTTACTAAAGAGAAACTTTTCAATTTATAATCATAATGTGACGGAAATCCCTGCTTTCCTCCCACCCTTATTATATAAGAAACCTCAGGTACATTAACCATGTCCACACATGATACGATTACTCGGGATTAGTATACGATTTAGGTGATCTGAGGATCAGATCCGAACAAGTACTAGGTATCAATGGTTATCGGTAAAGTAAGATCATTGGAGGGATAAATATGACTTCTTTTTGCCTAGCCATTGCGGCTAGGCCATTCATTTGTGTATATATAGAGTAGCTATCCCCATCTACAGGTGCTCTTCACCTGTAGATTCTAAGTTAAATACAATTGCTGGTCTATAAACACCCTTTTGGTCACACATAATTATATTCAAGAGCGCTCTTCTCTCCTTCTCTCCTCTTTTCCCCCTCTAAACCCAAATCCCTAAATCCCTAAATCACTCTAATCCCAAAATCCCTCTACTTCCTTCCAACCCCAAATTCTTAAGTATTTTATATCTTATATTTTATATCTTATATTTTATATCTTATATTTTATATCTTATATTTTATATCTTATATTTTATATCTTATATTTTATATCTTATATTTTATATCTCACATCTCGCACTCAAGATCCTATAACCCCAAATGTGACGGAAAAGTCGTAAACGGAGTCAATTCAATCACTTAGAATCTAAAACTAAAGAACTAAGAAGATTCTAAGTAAGAAGGTCTTTATATACAGGGCTAGTGCACGTGAGCCACTAGTGGGTAACAACCGTCACGTAACACCAAACCACCTTCTAATCTCCTCCCTTCCCCACCTCTTACTAACAAAATCTCACCATACAAAATATCCAACTTGACTTCTGGTAATCATTCAATAAAGGAAGAAAGAGAACTATTTAGGGTGAAGAAAGAAAATCTATGAAATACTTATTATAGCGTTAATAATTAGAAATCTTGTATACTGTCTAGGGCTAGTTGTAGGAGGATAGATGTGATATAGAAGGTTTTACTTTGCTGAGTATTGATAGGATGGGAATCGGGATCAGGATCAGGATTAGATGAGGGAAGAGTAGATCAGGTTAGGAGGACTTATATTAGGGTGATGTTTTTATTGTTTGTGTATTTATATGTATATCTAGCGTGTTCGTGTGTGTATATGTGTATATGTATATGTATGTGTGTACATGTGTGTATATATGAATACGCAACCCCCCACCTCCTCAAACAAAAACCCACCAATTCCCATCCTTCATCCCTTATCCCTTACCCCCCATTCCTTACCCCTCACCTATCGTACCCCTCCATCTCAAAACCATGTCTAAACAACACCCCCAGCCCACCTCCTCACATCCACCCCCGCAAAATTCGTCTTCCCCTTTCCAATCTCTTCACTCCCTCCAATGCGAAAACTTTCCGGTGGTCCAAGAAAACTCTGACGTACACCGCCCATATCGATTATTACTATGAGTTTGAGTTTAGGTTAGTTGATGGGATTTTTATCTTCTTAGCCTGACTCAGGATAGAATGAAATGAAACAAAATAAAAGAAAACAAGAAGTATAATGACAATCCTCTTCCTCTCTTCCTCTCATAAAAACCCACAAAAAAAAGAAAACTTACTCTTCTGAAAAACCACCCCCGGTTCAATCGCCCAAATCTTCAAAGTATGTTTCCCAGTAACCTTAAACGCCCCATGACTAGTCGTAGTAGTATTCCCACTACTCTGTCCCCAAACACCATCTACGACCGCTCCAGCCCACCCTGTCGGAAAAATAGCCGTACTAACACTACTTGGGACAAATTGTCTTATCTGAGGAACTTCATCATCCATCGCTATTGCATATTTAAGAGTTCTTTCTCTACCATTTTGGTTTAATGATGGAGAGATAAAAAGGGTGATATTTGTGATGGGGACAGCGGTGAATGTGTAGAGATTGTAGAGGAGGTAAGGACCGCTGGTGGTATTTTGAGTGGGTGCTAGGACGGGGGAAAGAGTTACGCCGCTGTTGGTACGACCGAGTCCGGGGAGTGTGATGTAGGATATTTCGTTTACGGATGTGGAGTAGGAGGTGTGATCTGCTTCGATGGAGATGTGACGGTCGGTTTCTACGAAGCCGTTGGTGAAGTTTGTGGGGACGAGGGTGTGGTTTACGGGGAGGAGAACGGATGGTGGTCCGTAGTTTCCCCATTGACCGTTTTCGCAAGAGGAGGTTATGAGGAGGGTTACGATTGTGCTGTTTGGAGCTGGTGGTGTGGATGACCAGTCGATGGATACGTAGATGCGTGTATCAGTTCCATTTGATCCGCCGGTTATACCTGTGCTTTGGGAGAAATGAACATATGGTTGAGAAGCATTAATAGTCCAGCTACAACCGAGAAGTCCGCGAGCAAAGATATCGACATAACGTGTTTGTGGTCCATATGGATCCATAGGAGGTAGAGTAAGTACTTCTGAGGAAAGTGTGTGATAATTGTCATCTCCAGATACTGTGGCATTTGATCCTTCGATTCCGACACCTAGATTTCCTGCAAGAGAAGTTTCGAGATCTTGAACATATGACATAGGAGGAAGAGCATTGCGCATTGGTTGTTGCCAGTAATCGTATCCAAGATGGGTTTCTATTAGCTGTTAGTCTATTGCCACGAAAGGCCTCCGGCAAAGAAGGAAATACTCACGGTCTAAGAAATGATTCCACTTCCCACCAAGTAAATCATGATATCTCTGCGTCAATTTATGATCCATTTTAAAAGCATCCAATACCTGCTGATAAATCTCATTCGCAGCATTTCTCTTCTGCTCGGTATAATGCGCATTCTTCCCGGCACCAATATGTATTTGATTGACAACTTGTCCTCCAAGTACTGGTTGTAAAATCATCTCATAATAAGCTGGTTTCCAATCTTCTCCTAACTTATCATAAATTGCTTGAGCCTCTTGAGCCAATTGTTCCCATTGGGCGAGGATGGCATCTGCTTCATTGTAATTGATCACTGAATAGACTGTCATATCAATATTTTCGTATTTTCGCCTTGCCGCCATCATGCCATATGTATCCATGATGCTTGAGATATTGGAAGCGTATTCAGGACCAAACTCTCGCGTAGCCCATAATTCGAGCCATTGAGGAACAGAATCATAGCCCCATTTAGATGTGTCGTAGGCGAGATCCATGAAGTGATTAATAGGAATCTCAAGGGGTTTAAGATCACCAACGTTGAGCATCCAAATTCTGTTTGCTTGACGGGCAGAAGCAAGTTGCATCTGTTATGAGTAGGTTCATTAGGTTTGTAATATTACGGTTAAGGATAGGAATTGAATGGTACTAACCTGCTCGACAGTCTTCTCAAGCTGAATAGTATTAATCCATTTATAATCTCGAGGTGACCCAACATAATCCACGTGATAATAAACACCTGTTCAACAACATATTAGCATCTTCAACTATGACTTAACCAAACACAACTAATGATTTACTCACCAGCACCACCAGTCCTACTCGTCTCATTAGCCAATGGCAACCTTCTCACATTCCCAAAATTATCATCCGCCCACAACAAGGTGATATCATCTGGAACCTTCATCCCCGCCTCATAATACCCTTGAACCTCACTGTATAGACACCACATTTGGGGAATTTCAGTTACATTCCTTCCCTCGAATACTTCCCCAAATATTTGCCTTTGTTTTGTTACCACGTCTCCTAGAAGTGCAATAGCCTCGGCTTGAGTCAAGGAAAGAGCAGTATCGCCGGATCCACGCATTGCCATCGTGAACAAAGTATTTGCAACATAGGGAACAGCACGCTGAGCGCCGTATTTGAAGAATGGATCAACGGATGCATTGTTAGTGTCGTATTCCCATTGGCCATTACCGCCATATTGCGCTCCAAAAGTAGACCATTCTTTAGTGGCACGCGTCATTGGTTCTAGAGTGGTTCCAGATTAGTACTATGAAATGGCCATACTTGGATGGAACAAACCTGTGTGACTTGTTCCCATCACAATTCCATAAGCATCTGCCAATGGTTGATTGGCATAATCGTCCACATTGAACATACTATTCCATTGAGCGGGCCAGAAATAATTTGCTCTCAATCTCAATAAAAGTTCAAAGACACGAGAGTGGAAGTAATGATTGAATCCTGGTCCATATTTTCCTTGTGGATAATTCGCACTAGGATTGTTAGCAGTAATACCTTTTTCTCCCACAACCTCTGTAAAAGAGAGAGTACGTGGATACAAAAACTCACTTAATCCAATTCGTCAAAGCGGGTTGTTCATCATTCAAAAAGAACCCTCTATATCTCACACTCGGCGTATCCTGAATCTTTAAAATCTGCATCCTACCGCTTGCATGTGGACCCGTCGGTTCAGAACCTCCTTCTGCTCTTGATTCATGATGATGTGTCGCATTTGGACTTAATGCCCAAACACCATCTTTTGTTCTCACCGGCACATCCGCCCACCACCACCAAGGACTAACACCTGCTTGTTCACTAATATCATAAAGTCCATATATGGTACCTCGGAGATCACTCCCTACGATTACCATTGCTTTATCAATACCAGGTAGAGGATTTTGAATGATGACCGACATGAATGCTTCCCATTTTCCTCTAATCGGATTTGGATCTATGAGACCTGATGAGATTAATTGGGTGATGAGTGGAGATTGTGTGAGAGTTCCAACAATCAGGACCGTGGATGAAGGGTCGGATGGTTGAAGAGTAGGACCGGTAAAATTTTGTTCTGGACCAACAGTGTACTGTTTTTGTGTAAGATTCCTCATCTTTGGATCAAATGAGATGTGAAATGACACAATTCCACCAGGCCTGGTAAATTATCATGAGAGAATATTGAAATATACTTACATTAATGTTATTCGTCGGTGCTCTATAAGTATAAAGTACTTCGATTGCGCCACCGGTACCACTGTCAACTGTTGCATTATGTCCCGTATCGCCACCAGGATTTGCGATATCACCCACTACTCCTCCTTCTCCATTACCGTTGTTCCGTCCGCTTCCCTGATGAGGCAGTTTTGGTCGGCCATTGCTATCATCACCAGGATCCACTTTCGAAGCATCTGGCCCAGAATTACCATCCCAATAAGCTAAGGTCAAGTTTTCCCCTACAACCTTTCCCAAATCTCCAGCCAAATCCTCCGCTACCCTCAAGACACCCCACCATTCTTCTTTACTTAACAATATCTGCGCATTGAGTCCTTTACCAGCAATCTGCAAATGCGAAGATGTTCCATTTGTCGGCTTTGTCGTTGTAATCGTTGGATTTTGGCCTAATGCTGCAGTCAAGGGAAAGAGGAATGTTAATGAAGTAAGGAAAAGAGGTAATCGAAGGAGGTCGGAAGACTTCATCCTGAATTTTCTGTGATTGATATTTTGATCACGGCATGAATGAATATGGGAAAGACATGTAACCTAGTAAAGATATCAAATGAAAGGAAAACTGAGGTGGAATTGAAGAGCAATGGAAGTAGGAATCAAGCGGTAATTAACCATTACAACGAAATTCTCGAAAATGAAAATCCGGGGTCCCCTATAGAAGCTATTCCGCCTAAACTTAACTCCCGCAGTTTACGGTAAGTAATGGGTCAAAGGATATAACCGTCACATATGCAGATGTTCCAGAGAGAAACTTATGCTAGTCAGTCCAATCATCATGGGTTGAAAGTGGGATAAATGCACATCTTTACAAACGTTTTCATTGTGCCTGACAGCGTTGCAGTGTAGCATCATCATGTAGCCAAGCTGAATCAAGTATCGGTGAACTTACCCGTAATGTAGAATGGTCTAGCTTCCTTCCCAAAGTAGTGTGGAGATCGGCAGAATGATTTTGCGGGGTTTCGACATGCCATGCTCCTATTTAGCCTGAATAGAGTAAATGAACAAATCACATATGGCTGCTTGCAACAGCGGGGAAACGGTGACTGGGAGCATGTATTTGACCCGAAGATGCAACAAGATTGCCAAGAACCTTGGAATGAATAACTCAAATAATAAACTTCATTGGTATAATACCCGTACCTATCGGCTCAAAATGACTTCCACCAACTATGGCAAGGTTGCAACGGCTATTTTCCAACTACATACTTGCAAACAAAACATAATAATTCACGAAAATTACGAAGCGGTGATTGAATACGAAAGAGTTATTTTGAAATTATAGAAAGTGATGATGTAGAGATCGCCAACCTTGAAGTACTTACAAGCAAGCCTCCTCTTTCATTCTGCGACCTCCACAAAAAAAGTATTCTCATCCGTAGTGTTTTCTTTTCTAAATTGTAATGCCCAAAACCATCATCGGCGAAACCTACCAATATCATGCATGAAAACCCCAAAGACCTCATCGTAGACCCTAAAGTCAGAAGGCGTAATTTTCAGATAATGTCAAGTCAAACAAACATGTTCCCGAAAAACTTAGCTGTTTTCAGCACTATTCCTGCCCATCGAATTTGTTGCCTGTAATCGCATTGGGTCGGGATATCCGAAACCTCGCAGGTGGAACGACATCCACGAAGTGTGCTTTGGGAGTGATCTTGCGAGAAAAATCTGCGAAATGTCCTCGAAATATCATCCAATATATCAATTGTTGACAGTAACGGCAGCAACAGATTCCTCAAGGGACGTTTCATTCTTTCCATCTGGGACAAATGCGTACCTGGGCATCTTCGCCATCTTCTCCTCCGGACTGACATCATTATCTGAGTATATCATCTTCATTGGCTTATCTTTCTTCGACTTCTTCTCGGCGACGTCGGTCTTTCCTTCTGATTTTTGCTCTGATTTGTCGGCACTTTCAGGAGCAGCGGCTGCTTCTGAAGTTTCGGTTTTAAATGGATCGACTGAGTCTCTCTTCGGTGGTTTAATACCTGCCTCTGCCATTCTGATTATCTTGTCAATGTCATCATCAGCATCTCTGGCAGCGCCTGAAACAAGGTCATCCACAGTAGATGCGTTAGTCGAATGTTCCACATTAAGGCCTGGAGGATGAGGATAAGCTGATGACATAGCTGAATTTTGATCTTGTCCATTCCATCCATTACCATTCCATCCACCTTTCTGATGAATCTGTTGCATTTGATATGATGGAACTGGCGGTGCACCAAAGGATGGCCTTTGAGGTAGACCAGGTGCTGCTGGTAGACTTGGGGGTCGATTGGGAAGACCACCATGTGTAGGTGGAGTGTGAGACGGTGGCGGCTGATACCCGTTGAAGGGCCCTGGAGGAGGGGAACCTGCGCCGAATGGGGACGGCTGATAAACATTAGGTGTATATTGCGTAGGGGAAAATTGAGGTTGAAACGGTGGACCAGGAGGTCCGGGAAATGGCGGCTGCTGGTTATATGGCTGTTGGTAAGCTGCCGCAGGTTGACTGTACGGTTCTTGAGAAAATGATCCATAACCCGCACCTTGTGTAGCACCATAAGAATTTTGAGGAGTAGGGAATGGCGAGTTATTCTATTCAAGAGATTAGTATTGGTCTTATCGAGATGACAGTATAGACTTACGAATGCACCAGGGCTTTGCGTCGTCTTCAAAGGACTTGCAGCACTGTGAATACCACCATCTAAAGGTGTATTTGCACCACTACTACCATTTGCTGCTTGTTCAGCTTTTCGAGCTTTGTGCTCTGCTAACCTTTTCTTCAACTCTGCCGGTGACTCAACCTTGGGCTTTTTCGATTGACCACCATTGGCATTGGTGGTCCCTGGAGCAGGGTTTCCAGTAGCGGCACGACGATCTTGTTCCGCTTGATAGAAACCTGCAATTATGCGCTGATTATGTGCTTGAACCACATCTTCCGGAATACCTTCCATACCAAAGATTTCAACCTCGAGACCCTGTCTATTCGGAAGAGAATTGTCGACACTTGCCAGAGTTTCTTTATGTACTTGGTTCATATGAACGGAGAGTCCTGCGGATTTTCAATTAGCTTGAGTAAACGAGGTAAGGAAGTAGATTCTGATGTACCTCCAGCAGTGTTCAATCGTCGACCACATCTTTCGCATTTGAAATGCTTCGCCTTTTGATGAGAGATGAGGATTTTCAAATCATCGAAATCGCGCTCACCTGCAAGATAAAAATTGTTAGAAACGTGAATGCGCGACGATGGGAATTGAGGTGGCGGGACTTACAGTAATAACACCAAGGACGAGCCAATAACTCCTCGATATCGGGATGACCGCGCTTCTTCTTTCCTACCATTATGTTGATTAAACGATAGATATATTGAGAGTAAAAGTATATCGGAATGAAATATTAAAGACAAACGGAACTTTGAAGATTCACAATTGGTGTGTTCACAAGCAGCTGCGAAAGGATGGAAGCTGGTTTGGTAGATTTCGTGTTTTCGGGCGAGATGGTCTTGTCGATCTCATCAAACTTAGATTAGTGTGAACCTTACTATCACGTGATTGCATGAGCTTGGACCTCTTCATCTGGGTTTTTCGAGGACAAAAGTAAATTCTGCTCTCTCCAAACTCTAACACCAAAGATTTCTTCTGAATGGCAACCACAAGCATAAAATCTATCAACTACGACCTAGGTAGGTATACACAAGTTTAAGTCAAGTGGTGACTCGATCTTCTCTTGTACAAAAGTCGAATCTTCGAGTACGGGAATGGTAAGTCAATGGACAGGATAGAGGTAGGATGAAGGAGGGTGGGGAGTATTCTTCTTTTCCGGTTCAAATGCCACACACATAACAGCAACACCTTGATCAATCACTCAGCCTTTATTGGTACTCATCTATGAGACTCTTCTCTCGAAGAGCCTTTCAATATCTTCGCGTCTTGTGTCGATATTGAATGGAGGTTGAAATGAGGTATGATCTTTCGGGATTATACCTTCACAAGAGGATATCTTGCAAGACTAATTAAAGGACCTTCATAGTCCATACTCCTACTCTTCATGAGAGCCCTACAGGAGTGTGGCTCCTTGCGTACCTACATTTCTCTGCCAAATGATAATGCTATTTTTCAGTATCGATTCAGATTGATGATGAACAAGATGGACAGCCGAACAGGTCTCCAGGAAGTTCGAGGTGACAGCTCTCGTGATGTGACTATACTTGCTGCAGTTGAGGTTCTGCGGCAACAGATCCAACGCTCTAGTATACCTAGTTGGGGTAAGTTAAATGGGAGATTCATATGGTAAAACTCGCATGAAAGCTTCCTCCAGGTAGAATCAAATATCACAACACAAATCGACCACGGAAGCTGGTTCAAATAGACTTAGCATTAGGTGTGTTTGACCCGTTCTTCTGATATATAATTTGCATAACTAGACCATAACTTTAATCACTTGATGAGGTGAATGTCCATATTATGATAGTCCTGATCGAAGAGTGCCTTTGAATCCGTTGACAGAATGTTCACGAACTGTACATTCTTGAATAGCTTCAAAAATGTTATCCGTAAACAAGCGGGAAAAGCCGCATGGGTTAGATAGGGCAGACGGTGCGAACCATATTTAGTCTAGCTTTTGAAAGATGTACAATACTACATCCGGATCTAATTATGCTCTCGTCTCCGTCACTGTGAATACTTTGTTAGGTAAAGCTAGCAGCTGGATTTGCTAGAGCAAGATTACCAGATGCGGTAAAGTGTCATGTCAGTCTAAAGTACCTGTGTATTTCATTCGTCAATGTCTTGATAGTGCTTGTTAGATTGAAGATGGGCCAGACTCTAATATCTGTAGTCCGTAAAGGACAGATAAGGGTGATGTGAACATCAAGGAAGGCGTAAATTTACAGCACACAATGAATGTATTTCTTGTTTGGATATCAGGTCAACGCACGACTGTTAAATGTTATAGTTCTGGCAAGAACAATCGATAGGAAAGTGTACCTAGTACTTATCCAAGAGCTAATTGATAGGCCAAGTACTAGGTATATCAACCAAACACAACCACATTATATTGGTTGAATCAAATATGCTCCATTATTTATAACAAGATATGAATCGTATGAGAATACGGAGTACTAATCATCTAACAAATCATGCCATGTTAAATCAAGCTTTCCACTTCAAGTGTTCCAACATGTTATATCAGGTAACGTCATATTCCGTACACTAGATTTGTCTAACAGTGCGACATCGAGGACATGGACATCATCTATTTCAGACCACCGACAGACTTACATCCCATTCTACATATCTTTGACCAAAGTGAATTTATCAATACATAGTAACCTTTCCTTCTTCAATCTACCCCCTCAACTCTTTTAACCATTACATGGCTCAAGCCTTCAAACGAAATCTTAATCCCCTCAAATACAACAATCTGACATCAACCCCACACAATCACAACAACCACCTCCGAATCCCCTCACTAACCACTCGACAACAATCAACCATGTCATCCTCCAATCACACACATCAAAAACACATCTCCTCCCATCACAAACGTACCAAACCGAATGAAAAACATCCCAAGTTCGGCCATCTACCCCTCAGCACCAGCGGTCCATTAGAATGTGCTCTTACGGGTACCGCACTCCTCAACACACCATATCTCAATAAAGGAGCGGGTTTTCCAGCGGATGAACGAAGAACCTTTAAGTTGACGGGTTTGTTGCCGTCGAGCGTGTCGACTTTGGATCAACAGGTTAAAAGAGCTTATGAGCAGTATTCTTCAAGAGACAGTGATTTGGCGAAGAATACTTTTATGACTTCATTAGCGGATCAGAATGAGGTTCTTTTTTACAGAGTGAGTTTTCTACTTTTATTAAGTACCTAGTACTTACACGAAATCTGGCTGGGCCTTTGGGTGATACAAGTTTTGGACTTTTTGAGTATCACGTAAAATGCAGACACAATAGAGCTATTCTAATTCATGATAGTTAATTCAAGAACATATGAAGGAAATGTTCTCCATCATTTACACTCCAACAGAAGGCGAGGCAATTGAGAACTATTCTAGAATATTTAGAAGACCTGCTGGTTGCTTCTTAAATATCGATGATACGGATCGTGTTCATGATGATCTAGCTCAATGGGGTGGACCAGATGATATTGATTATATCGTTGTTACTGGTACGTTGAGTAAAATCACATTTACAACAGAGTGCTAATAGTCCATAGATGGAGAAGAAATTCTCGGAATTGGTGATCAAGGAGTTGGTGGTGTCTTGATCTCAGTCGCAAAGCTAGTCCTCACAACACTTTGTGCTGGTATTCATCCAAATCGAACACTCCCAGTTGTATTGGATTGTGGAACCGATAATGAGAAGCTTCTCAATGATGACTTGTATCTTGGCTTGAAAAAGCCCAGGGTAAGAGGAAAAGAGTACGATGATTTTGTGGACAAATTTGTCCAAAATGCTAAAAAGCTTTATCCCAAGGCGTATATCCATTTTGAGGATTTTGGTCTTCCAAATGGTAAGCAAAATTTCCTACAACTCTAGAATAAACACTAACAGTTACGCAGCCCGAAGAATCCTCGACAGATATCGTCCTGAAATGGCATGCTTCAACGATGATGTTCAAGGAACTGGATGTGTAACACTCGCAGCAATGATGGCAGGTCTTCACGTGAGCAAAATCAAACTTGAAGACACCCGAATCGTTGTCTTTGGTTCCGGTACAGCCGGAACAGGAATCGCAGATCAGGTTCGTGATGCCATTGCTGCTGATAGTGAAAAATCCAAGGAAGAAGCCGCCAAACAAATCTACTGCGTTGATAAACCCGGTCTTCTCCTAAAGTCACACGGTGACAAACTCACTCATGCACAAATTCCATATGCTCGTGAAGATTCCGAATGGAAAGACAAAGACCATGGAAACCTTCTCGAAGTAATCAAAACAGTAAAACCACACATCCTAATCGGAACATCCACGCAACCAAAAACCTTCACCAAAGAAATCATCCAAGAAATGGCCTCCCACGTCGAACGACCCATCATCTTCCCCCTCAGCAACCCAACCCGTCTCCACGAAGCCGATCCAAAAGATATAAACGAATGGACCAAAGGCAAAGCCCTAATCGCAACCGGCTCCCCCTTCCCCCCCGTCAAATACGAAGACCACGAATACGAAGTCGCAGAATGCAACAACTCGACCTGTTTTCCCGGCATAGGACTCGGATGCGTTCTCTCCCGCACAAAATTACTAAGTGATAAAATGCTCGTCTCCGCCGTCAAAGCACTCGCTTCTCAAAGTCCCGCGTTGAAAAATCCAGACAAGGGTTTATTACCTGATGTTGCGGATGTGCGTGAAATTAGCGTTCATATCGCGAAAGCGGTTATTAGATGTTCGGTTGAGGAGGGTCTGGCGCAGGAAAAGGGTATCCCGGGTAATGATGGGGATTTGGAGGAGTGGATTAGAGAACAGATGTGGGATCCGGTTTATAGACCGTTGAAATTGGTGGGGAGAGAAAAGGCTAGTAGATATGCGAGTGGGAAGAGTGGAACTGCTGATTAAAGCTTATATGAGCTGAGCTGAGCTGAGCTGTGTTCTCTTCATGGACCTCTTTTCTTGTATGAGGAATTCGTTATAATTATGATTATGATTATAATAGCATCCCGACATGATAATGGATACTTACTTGATCATAATTCCTATTATACCATCATAATCATCACAACCTTCACACAAGAACCCCATTCACAACTCCCAAAATTACTCCGTATTATATACAATACCAGGTTTTGAATGAATTATTCTTATGTATGTTTATTCATTAGTCTCCATCCAGCATGAATATATGTCAATATAGTACTCTTCAAAAATAAATCACTGGCAATTTTTATGACAAAGACAAATCGCCTCTGAATAATTTCTTAAATATATACCATCGCGTAATATATTTTTCAACTCATCTTCCAGATAGCAATATGTCACGAAGACGATATAAATAATAAATTTAAAATCCGAAACCTGATTGTTATCACAACTAATTACTCTCCAATGATAAGATACATACCCAGCAGCAGCAACAATCCCCCTCATTCATCATAACAATATATGTATATTTACACAAAACAGGGTATCTAAACCACAACCTAACCAAACAGGCAGAGAACATAAAATAAACAAACTACTTCATCATCATCATCAATATCTACTCCTAGCCCCACCACCTTGATTTTCCTTCCACAAACAACAAATACTCTTACTTTCACACCATTTCTTAACTTCTAATGGAGCTACTTCTTCATCCCAGCCCACTTTACTCAGTGCTCCAGTATTCAACCACGATGCTAGATCTTCTAGAATAATTGGATCATAGAGCAGTATTTTTTCATGCCAGCTTGGATTGAATGGGTCTTGTGAAGGTGGAGCTTTGGTAATTGCAGTGTAGATATGAGTGAAAAGCTGTGCTTGCTGAGCTTCGTCGTCTTGATTATTATCAGGAGATAATTCCAGAGCCTTGGATATTTTTCGAATTTGGGAATCCGATCGCCGTGGTGGTGATGGCGTGATAGGGTGATCAGAGTCGAAAATATCTTCGAGGGGTTGTTTTCCCTTACGGGATTTTTGGGGTGTGCGGATCTTAGAGAGTGGTGTATCACTATCCATTTCTAAGAATGCCACTGTATCTGTCATCTTTGACTTTGCCTTTGATTTGGGTAATGAGGCAGTGGAGGTAGTAACTTTCTTCGCTCGGCCTCGTCGAGGAGAAGGAATGGTGGGCTTAACCTGAGTGGATGAGTCGGCTACATCTTTAGACTTTTCCAACGAATTTTGCGTGATAATTGGAATGTTTCCTTGTAAAACACCCAAGGCTGGACGATTCTGACTTTCATAACACTGAATTAATAAATCAATCATCCTCTTTCGACTTTTGATTTGCTTGAACTTGTACTTTTGAATTTCCCTCGTCAATTGTGGTGTAGTGAATGATTCGTAGTCAGGCATCTTGGAGGCATCGACCTTCTTAGGAGTGGTGCTTTTATCAACCAAAGATTTGGTGCCTTTCTTCTGTGGGAAAACTTTGGAGCTATCCTTCGAGGTATTCTTAGGTTGAGTAGGACTATCCAAAAGTTGAAAATTTATAGATCTCTCAATGGGTCCCGTCTCCCTTAATGGAACTTGAGTAGAAGGGGGTCGGTTATCTTCAATTTCGTCAATATCAAACCAATCATCCTTACCGGGCGTAACTAATGATGAAGGCTTTTGTGATAGCATGATTCTATCTGGCTTCGCAACTGGTGTATGTGCTAAGTCTATTGTCTCAACATCCATCAGATCCCCATGGTTATCACGAGCAGCAATGGACCAAAGATTCCGTTTCGCAGCAACAACAGCTTTTCCTCTCTCGGCTATCTTGGTAGGAGGTGAAACGAAAGGATCATCATAATCATCCAATTCATTAGATGCTTGCATAGCATCATGTAAATCGCGTAGCAATGAAGGAGAGTCTTCTCTTGCCAATTGACTTGAAGTTCCGAACACAAAGTCTTGATTACTAACTTGCTTCATCGCAGATTCTGGAGATAGAAGAATTGGCTCTTCTGCAGAGCCCGTTTTTGACTTTTGCACTCTCTTCATTGGGCTCTTTGACCTCGGCTTTGGCGGTATTTTGAAGCCATTATTTGTGGATCCTTCGGGAGCTGCATGAGGGAAGTATTGGAGTAAAGGCGTGGGCGCATCAAGGAGATTATCATCATCTTCCGCTGTTGCATAAGCAGATGTGGCAAGGTCGGTGAGCGTCCTAGCCTTCTTCTTGACAGCTTTCTCTTTTGTTGTTTTTGAGCCGGGTTCTCTGGGAATATTTGTAGTGACCATCTCAATTAACTTCCTCTTCCTTGTTGCAGCGGCTCCATTGGATACCCCAGAAGATATTCTCTTCTCTATAGAATCCGCCTGGTAACTGCTGTACCCAAAGCTCCCTAATAACTCTGCGAATCCTTTGCTGGTGTCTGATTCTTGAGCTTCTGGACTATCCTCTAGGTCAATTGGAACCTTTGTCGATTTTGGTGGAGTCCAATTCGTTCTTCTCCTGATTGCTTCCACTAAACCAAATCCTTCATCTGCAACTATATCTTCGACGATTGGATTGGGCGCAAAATGTTTGTTACCTGTATCGGCTTTCGAGGTTTCGACTTTGTGGGTATTTGAAGCATTGACGGCGGACTTGGTCACTCTGCCTTTTACCATCTTAGATTGTAAATTTGAGTCCAAATCTGAGTTCTTAGCTCGCGGCTTCCTCACTGCCTTTTCCTTTGGCACCGTTTCAATTCCAGCTTCAACATCGGTCTTCTTCGCCCTAGATTTGCGCGGTACCTTCTCCTTAAGATCCTCCCCTGTAGCGTCAACCGCTTTCTTAGCCCTAGATTTGCGCGGTTTCTTTTCCACAGTCGCCTCTGCAACACTCCCACTCTTTCCTTCTGCATTATCTCCCTTCTTAGCTCTAGGCTTTCGCGGTTTCTTTTCGGCTATAATTTCTGCAGCCTCTCCCACTAACTCATCCACGAAATCCCCAGAAACATCTTTATCCTTCTTTTTTACAGTCTTCCGAGACGCTTTTGCCACCTTCTCAACTGTCCCATCTTCCTTTTTTGGAGCCGTTTTTCGTGGGGCTTTCGGTTTCGCAGATTTCTTCAAATCATTTTCATCTTGCACTGCAGATGTTACAAACGACCGAGCGTTGTCAAATCCTTGAAGAGATCCAGAAGAGGATTCCCTCAACAAAGTGGATGCGCTCGCAAAGATTGTCGCGCCTGTAGGAATAGGTGCAACACTACTACCTTGTCGCAAATTGGAGGCTTTCTTTCCATTGACCATCTTGTCTAAAGAAGGTAAAGGCGGTGAAGATGCAATATGAGAAACCAATCGTCGTGGTGGTGAAGAGGATATAATAAAGACATCTGTGGTAGCCATTTTGATATTATTACTTAGAAACACTATGCGCCGGGCGCGGTTTCCTTTAAACGGAAGGCACGACACAATTGATTGTAGTCTTCACATTGAATATATCTGTGAATGATGTTGTCGTGGTAAATATTAGCAATATTTCAGAGCATATTCATATCATATTGATAATTGATGTTGATGCTAATATTTCGCAGACAGTCTTCACTAATGAATCTCAGACCTTTGTTTACGAATACGAATAAGCAACTCGCGACACTAACTCGAAAAACGCGCCAAGTCACATGATAGCTGTCTCATCAGCCACTTTCTCAAAAGCCACATTGCCTAAGATTTATGGCTAAAACAAAAAGTTCTCGCTTACCAGAAACCCTCATTTCCCAAGCCCCACGAATCTGAATTTCATTCCACCTCCGACGACATCAACGCCAATTAAGAAATCCCTAAAACTTTCTTCTTCTCACCAACCAACAAGTCGCAAAAATGGAAAACGACAAGGGAGAACTCGTTGATCTGTACGTTTTATCCAAATTTCGATCTGCGATCAATTGCATCGTTGGAATATCTTCAAAAATGGATGCTAACCTTTAATTCTTATACAGTTACGTTCCACGTAAATGCAGCGCAACCAACCGTATCATCAAGGCCAAGGACCACGGATCCGTTCAAATCTCCATCGCAAAGGTTGATGAGAATGGACGCGCTACCGGCGAGAACCAAGTTTATGCTCTCTGCGGTTTCATCAGAGCTATGGGAGAGAGTGATGATTCTTTGAACAGATTGGCCCAACGTGATGGTTTGTTGAAGAACGTCTGGAGCGGTCAATCCCAAAGATAAATTCGCACTTTTCGGTTCTTTCGGTAGGATTTCCTCGATTCGATACGATTTTCGAAATTATAAATGTTTGGATTTGGACTGATTGGTTTTGAATAGATTTGGCAATTTTTAGCTGGGATACCTGGGAAGGATGGGATTGAAGAAGTGGAGGATGTACATCTAGTGAAGGAAGAATGAGCTTTATGGCCATCATACTGAGATAGTCACTTCACATTTGTGATTACGAATCAACGACACATTCACATCCAACAAATATACTTTCTTCTTTTTTGTGCTGGTGATCGTTATGCGAACCTGGACTTCTCATTTCAACACAGCGTTTTCACGATCCTTGGCGGCTTTTCGAAACTTCTCGGACCACACTTCAAAGTGATATATGTTCGAGGAGTCAGATTGCTATTTTGATGGTTTACTTAACCCATTTAGCAGGATAAGCCGGAGAAAGATAATTATACTGGCCTTCTGATGAGCTGTGACGTTAGAGCATCTCGTTGGAGCACAGATACGGGTCGGACATTTTTCTTTTTTAGAGAATAATTACGGAGGTTTCTTTTACCAACGATTAATGATGTAGAATGACGAGTGTCTCCTAGTAGGGATCTAGGCGATCTGCAAAACTCACGACTGAGTGGTTTCGAGGATTTGATATAGTGGTAACACTACTAACATTGCATGATCCTTATGTTTCGACAACTTGGATTGCAAGTTAAGACCCTGCCAAATGATGAAAATTCCTTGCTCTTTTCGATAATCCATATATTTCTATCAATGAAGCCCAGGCTTTCGAGAAGTGAGCACAGGAGAATGGCATTACCTACATAGGTGTTTAGAAATACGCATTTGTATTTATAGTAGCAATTAAGAAATTTACCTTTATCTTACCCTCACCTATGCTTTCATTGCATGAAATTGCAGAATTGCACCGCAAAAGCTCTTCGATGACAGGTTCTCTGATATTTACCAAAATACAATAAGCATAGACATCTTATATTCTAGCCCACAACATCTTATCACTGCGAAGCTTAAAATTTAATTCAATCTACCAATAATCCGAAATCCTAAGCTCTCCCACACTCAGTAGAAACAAATATCAGTATAAAATCCTCTTCCTCCTCTTTTCTTCTAATTAGATTATGAGAACTTAATATTTCAGAACCATTGCTTCATCTACTAATTAATCACGTCCTCATCTGACCAATTATTCAACCTGCAGGCTGTAGAGTATATCACACCACCATCCACACTTTTCCTCATAATTGCTGGAAACGTATACGTATGTAGAAAGTAGATAAATATTGATTATATTTCTTAGGGATGAATCTTATTATCTGGTTAAAGTGAGTGAGTGAGTGTGATGATAATAGATAGAGACGGGGATTATTGATCTGGTAATTCTTGTAATTAAGATTATAATCTCCAATTAGCTCTCAGATATCAATATATCAAATTCAATCTTGTATGTAATCTTATGATAGGTTATCTAGTGTGAGAGGAAGGAGGGAGGGAGGGGTATATTTATAATACCTACTTGAGGTTAACATTTGAGGGCTAGAAAGTTGAAAAGTTGAAAGTAGTGGGTGGGGTTGTTGATGAGATATCAATGTTAACGAATATAAGAGAAATATATATATATGAATTTGAGATTGAGATTAAAATCGAGGGAGAAATATATGAATAGTAAAACTAGTATGGATGTAAATTATAAATACAAATATAAATTAGTATTACTTGGTATAAGAATACGTCTCAAAATTCAAATCACCAGATCAGTATATCTAGAAATTTGTAAGTATAGTAAGTAAATAAATAAATAATCAGATTTTATTATATCATATTATATTTATATTTGACAATACAAAACTGGTACAGAGACCTTCTTTTTGTTTTTAAAGGATTGATTGAATATTTATATTCTTAAAACTATATCTTGAAAAATCCATAGAAATATTTAGTTATCCATCCATCTGGTTTATTTTTTTAATAGAGGAGGGGTTGCTATTTGAGGTTGGAGGTTGTTGAATTAGCTTGAGTGAGTGAGTACGCTAGTGAACTTTTAAAATAGACCGGTGAATGTGAATATGTTCATCAAATTCCATGAAATGTACAATGATAACCACAGCTACATCTACAACTACAGCTAATCTTACAAACCCTGGACTGCTAAGATAACTACCTATCTCTTGCGCATCCAATTCACACAAACTATACACATCTCCATCCCCATCCCATCCTTATACCTTCCAACCTAAAACCCAAACCTACCCACTCCCCTTACCCAACCCCTCCTTATACCTCGCCAAACACCTCTCCCTACTAACCTTATGTTCAACAATCCTCTCGGGATACCCATTCTTCCTCGCCACCCCGGCAGCCACCTTATCCCCAAACGGCTCATGAATAAACTTCCCCTTCACCGACTTCAACTCCGGAACCCATTTCCGAATAAACTCCCCCTCAGCATCAAACTTCTCACTCTGAAGCAGGGGATTAAAAATGCGAAAATACGGCTGCGGATCCACCCCCGTACTGGCACAGAATCCCCATCCTCCGTTATTACTCGCGAAATCCCCATCAATTAAATGTTCCATGAAGAATCGCTCGCCCATTCTCCAATCGATGAGCAAATGTTTTGCGAGGAATGATCCGACGATCATGCGACATCGGTTATGCATATATCCGCAATGCTTCAATTGACGCATCGCGGCATCGACAATGGGATATCCTGTTTTTCCTTCCGTCCAGGCTTGGAAATGCGTATTGTTGTATTCCCATGTTATGTTGGTGTATTCAGGTTTGAAGGGTTTGTTCATGCAGACGTAGGGCCAGTGCACTAATACGTGTTTGTAGAAGTCTCGCCATGCGACTTCGGATATCCAGGTTTGGATTCCTTGGTATCCCGCATTTAACTTCTTGGTATTGTTGTGATCGCGTGCGGTACGGATAGCTGTTCGTGCGCTGAGGGTTCCAGATGCGAAATGTACTGATAGGGAGGAAGTTGAATTTAAGTTGGGAAAGTTTCGATGTTCTTCATACTTGTTTATTTTTTCATCGGCGAATTTCGAAAGTCGTTCTTGTGCTGCATGTTCACCAGCTGGCCACATAGAATGAAATCTTTTCTTCTCTTCATCCGTTAAAGATTTATTCGCTGGTGCATCCGGAATTTTCGTCTCGAATAATTTTGCGAATTTCTCTCGTGCACTCGCAGGATTTTTCCCCGGAGCATCGAATAAATCCAAAAGATCCGAATTCTCATGAACATGAGCTATCCACGCCTTAAACCAAGGAGTATAAACCGAATATTGTTTTCCCTGTCCACTCCTCAATTCCCCAGGACGAACCACACAAGTATCATGAAGTACATCCATAGCAATTCCCCTCTCAGCACAGTCTCTCACCATCCTAGCTTCCCGTCTCAACTCGTCAACTTCATATTCCATATTTGCATATAAATGACTCGCGCCCCATTCCCCCAATAACTCCAGAATCCTCCCCTCAACACCCTTTCTCTTCTCCACCGTCTCAACATAAAGCGGAACATCCAATTCCGCCAAATCCCTCTTCAAAATCTCCAACGTCCTCAATATAAAATCAACCCTAACCGGCGCCGTTAAATGCGCCTCAAAATCCTGCGGACTGATAATATACATCGCAACAAGCGGAACACCTTTCTCCTTCGCCTTTTCACTCGCCATCCACAACGCCGTATTATCACGAGTACGTAAATCGCATTTAAACCAATGTACCACACAATCCTTGGCATCTATTTTCTCCCTCTCTTTTTTGGTATCCGCAAGCGCGGAATGCAAAAGTTCGATAGGTCGCGCTAATTCATTATTATTATATGCGACAGCTCTCGGATTACACATTTCATGCGGATAGTATTTCCGCAGCACAATGCCATTTTCCTCTGCTTCCTTAGCACTATGATGCGGTTGTCGTAATTCAGATAAATCGTAATCTTCATCGCTGACTTTTGCTTTTTTCGTGGTGCTGCCATTGACATGACCAATTGGTTCGGGAGTAGAACTTGCCTTGCGTTTTCCTGCCGCTGCCGCTGCTGCTTTTCTCGTAGACATGCTGAGGATTTGAGATGTGGAAAAGGATCTTAATGTTCCAGGATGTAGGATGATTTGTTTTCTTTTCAATCCGGAGAAACAGAAACTACCTTGAAGTCGTTTGGGAAATTTATATCTAGCAGAAATGAAAAACATTAAACTTAATTTGAGAAATTCAACTCAATATGTACATCTGCACATCTAATCTGAACCCTAAATAAATAAAAAGAAGTAAAAGAAAGAAATTCCTCCACCATCAATTTCAAACCCGAGTACGAGTCAAGTTCAACGCGGCCAACGCGTTAAGCTCTTTCTTTACCTTTTCTTGCTTTCTTCCTTTCTTTCTTTACCTCTCTCCATCTTACCATACCGAAGCTTAACCCTCAAAGATGTCTCGATCCAAGTCAACGACGTCACAATGATGCGAATCGGAGGCAAAAATTTAAATTTACTTAACCTTATCCGGATTGGTGGATGTTAGTTTAATGCCTGTACTAGATAAGCGATATATATCTTTAACTAGCATCGATCTACTGCTTAGTTTACAGGGAAACATAAAGTGATTTTTGTTAAGAATTATATTATTACTCATACAAATAATTAAATAAATCTATCTTTTTTATATTTTATTCTTTTATATCCAATCTTTTAAAATCACCAGGGGTACAAGTATATACTACACATCCACCGATCCAACATTTTATATATATACATCGGAGTCTCAAAACATCAATCAATAACCCATCAACCCATCAACCCATCAACCCATCAACCCACTCCCAAAATCACATCTAGTATATTCATTCATAAATATAAGACTTAATCTTAATCTTAATCTTACAGTTATTGATGGGGGCAAGCCCCCAAACCCCCTTTGCTCGCTGCGCTCGAAGGTTTCCTTAGATAGTAATCTTACCTTGGATCATATTCACAGGGAAAATTACATACGGCTGCAGGTATTATATCAAATGGATTTACTGATACTGATACTGATGTTGATGCTGATGCTATGAAAAATGTAAATATCCAACTCCTATTCCAACTCCAACTCCAACTAAACATCGGTATCTACAATGAACCAACAATCGGACAAGCAGCCTACCCAAAAAAATCAAAAGGATCCGCTTCGCTCTTCAAACATCATGGTTATGCTCGCATACAAGCAAAATGCCAAAATCCCAATCCGACGCACGCTATGCAATATGTGAAAACGACACTCTAAACTCATCATCTCATCTCGCACCAAACACCCCCTTCATCCTTCTAACCAACTCCCTACCCATCTCATTTCTTCCCTCCCTAGTTCTTCCAACCGCATCTCTATTCTCATATGCTCTTCTCAAAAGATATTTCATGCATTCCCCTGTAGTACCCCAAGTCAAATATTTATAAGCCTTTGGAATATCCGTCTTCAAATGCAAGATATCTTTTCCCCCTTTCGTGCCACCCGTCAGCTCATTAATACCGCCATGAACCATAACGTTAGAATCATCAGAAGATTTGAGAGATTCAGCTAATTTCCCTTCAGCCACAAGTTCACAAGATACTTCATCAGCCATTCCTTGAAGTTGAGCATAGCAGAGTTCAATTCGATCTTCTCCTTTCTCGGCTTGTTCTGTACGAATGACCTGAGCCTTGCGAACTGATTCCAAATTATGTCCTGCAAGTACCAAATCCACAGCTTGGAATCCTTTCTCTCCACTTTCGGGTTGGAGAACCGAGTTAGGGGTTTGACGAATAAGTGCCTCGGCAATCCCATCATAACATTCATCGGTTCCTTGTTTAGTGTCATGAATTAACTCCCTCGGATCCGAACCCATATATGCACCTCTGACTAATTTCACACCGAGTGTAAAATTCTCTTTTTGTGCAATTGCCATGTGGTGCGCGACAACTTGAGGACAAGCTTTGAGATATGCTTGATAAGTACCATAGATAACCGCTCCTCCTTTGCCTGGTTTGTTGTATCTCTTCATGTATTTCAAAGTCCAAAGATCGATTCCAGCCTGTACAGCAGCATGTTCAGCATCAAATGCTAATTTAACACCTCGCTCAGCACTCAAAGCGCAAATGTCATCGATGGCTTTTTTAAGGCTGTCGTGGCAAACTCCTTGTTTCTCTAAAGCTTGTAATGCTAAACTTCCTGCTCCGGTAACTTTGATGGATACGAAATCCCCTGGCTCGGCTAGTCTAACGGTCGCTAATGTACCTTCTGCCCATGGTAAAACTTCATTTTTGACGCATTTCTCAACATCGATATTTGCTCCTGGTGATTTCTCTACTTCGCGGGCATAGCAAAGGAATACACCTTTGAAACCAAGATCTTTAATACCGCGAACAGTCCTTTGAACTTCAGCGTGATTTTCTCCAGCGCAAAACTGTTTGTAAAATGTATTTTTGAGAAAGAATCGCAAGATGGGATTTCGATCGGGTGAAAGAATAGGATTTTGAGAATGTGCGAGAATGGTCATTATTTTTAAGGATGGACCAAGAAGTAGCTATCAGCGACAGTTAGGAAGTGTTTCTAATGGGAATTTAATGACGAGACTTCAGATAAAACTTACAGGAGAAGAAGAAATAGTATTAATAGCCAATGATCTTATAACATTACTGAGAGGTAATATGGAAAGAGGACTGATCTTCGGCATAGTCGCTGGTTTTGAAGTTGACTTCGAATCGGTATGTATTGGTTGTAGAACTTCTGTTGCAGATGAGGCTGGATTTCCAGTGTATGTAGATTGTAGAGGTGAGGTTTTGGAAGATAATCTTCTATAGTTCGAAGGAGCAACCAAAAAGGATCTTTTCGAGCAGATTAAAGCTTTCCGTGATATCAAGTTCGACATGATCGAAAGGGAATGGGGTTTAAACTTGTGAGCAAACACAACTCAATGTTTCTCTTTCTGTTGTTCGCTTCCCCTGCTTTGCGCAATGAATATTGGTTGATATCCGGACGGTATCTACAAACAAGTTGAAGGGAAAAAGAAGAAGAAGAAATCCGGACTGACAAGAAATAAATAGTAAATGAGAATTAGAAGGAATCCAAAGAAAACGAAGAAAAACAATAGCGAAATCGGAGTTTAGCTGAATAGTATCAAATAAATCCAAGGTAGATAGAGGGGATGAATATTCCTGAAGCTTATCGGTACCAACAAGCCGGCGACAACCATGAGATCAAAGCTTATCGTCTCATATCCACTACAAATTTGATGAATCTGATTGGTTCTTTTAATAATCCATAAATGCTTGTTGTGACTTATCGAATTCTTAAACCGAAGAAAAGCGATGTAGGTACCGGTACTTTGGATGCACAGTGCACACTAAGAAAAACTTATCAATGCCGATGTTGTAGAGGTTAGTCTGTAAACTGTCGGATATATATTAGATCAGAATCAAATAACGAGATGATAAATTGAAGGGGTAACAAAATGAAGAGAATAATGAGTCTTGTCTGTCATTTGAATGATTAAATGGATATAATTACCATCTGATTTTCCATTTAATTTCTTACTCTTACCATTCTTCATATTGTCGTCCTTTCATATCTCGATTCTTCTTTTTCCCCTCTTCTTCCAGCTCCCATTAAGAAATCCACATATCCCAATCTTCTTCCTCTTGCATAACCAACCGCATCTTGTACCAATCCATATCCTATACCAAATGCTAATCCTGTTTTAGCTGTTCTAGCTGCTGTAGTTATCGGGAAACGATCTAGAAAGAAGAGTCGAATTAGTATTAATATTGATATTAATATCGATATTTCATCTTGTCGTATTGATCTGCCATCTGCATGCATATCTACCAATGCTCATCATCTCATGCGCGGGGAATGAGGCAACGCAACAAAAAAAGCATTTGATCATATTTACCATCATCACCACATCTCCACACCCAATCACAGCACAAACTCCCAAAGAATGTACAAATCAAAAGTAACTCACTCCATAAACTAAAACCCCCCGCAACACTCAAACTCGCAACCACAGTATTAAGCACATCCTTCCTCCCCCTCCACCTATCACACATATCCTCAATGGCCAACAAACCAGCCGTCCAAAAAGCAATCCTAGAACCCATCTTCAACCCCTCCTTCACTCCCCCAAGCCCAGTATGATAATTCTTGCTCTTGTGATATAAATACCAACCCGTAGGGGAAGTAGGTAATCGATGAGCATTTTCGGCTCGAAATCGTAAAGCGGCCGTTTTTGACCCGTGGGATATTCCAAGTGCCATGCCGCAGACGAAAGATATCGATGTGCAGAGGGGAAGACGCGCGCCGTAGGGAATAGACATGCGGGAATCAAGTTTGAGGGCTTCGTGCTGTTGTTTGCGCCAGGCTTTCATTTGGATTTCGAGAAGTTCTTCGTCGGTTGGAGGAGGGTTGATAGAGGGATCCATGATTTATGGATTGGTTTATTGATTTATTGATTAAATGAATGATTTTGAAGAGTCGAATGGTTTGATATGCTGTATTAGTCGTGAAATTGTATGATATCGTACAAGGCTGAAGATTGAGAATTACTCTTTTGATGGTCAGCTGTTTTCGCGAATGTCATCGCGTCGCAAAAGAAATTCTATAAGGTTAACTGGTGCTTGTTCGTCAATTCCGCCTACTTACATAGTATATACATTCATTGATAAATCTTACAAAGAAATAAATTACAACACAACACAACCACAAATACCAACGACATAGACAAACATCATCCTATCCAATAGATCACTTTACCACCTCTCGACCCAAACGATCAATCAAACAACCAAAATCAAAATGGTAAATAACCACCCCTCTTCCAACCACACCCCCCAAAATCTAACAAGCAAACCAGCCTCCCAAAAGAAACTCCAGCACCTCCACCCTCCAAAACCCCTCAGACCTAACCCTCCTCTTCAAACACACAACGCACACAATCCTCCTCCTCGTACCCACCACCCAACCCTTCACCCAAATCCTCACAAGCCTCCTCTTCGTCCTCCAAGAACGATACCCGGACGGTCTCAACCCACCCAGCACATCCACAACCACCACCCAAACCAACCGCAAAACTCCCCTCCCAAGTTCAATCCAAGATATAGCACTAGGTATTCCGCTCGATCTGTACGAGCCTAAAAAAGGATGGTCAGAGTTACAGTTGGGATTAGGTGATACGCCTGAGTCGTTGGGGTTGAAAGAGGGAGGATTGGTTGCGTTTAGGTTTTTGGCGGGGGATTCTGAGGGGGACTTTGAGGTGCAGTGGCCGAGTTATGAGGAGTATGGGGAGGGTGAAGATGGGGATGAGGATGCAGGGGAGAGGATGGTGGGTGGTGGTGGTAGTGGGGAGGAGGAGGAAGATGAGCTTTAGGATGAAAAGGAACAAAGGTACTAAATTTGAGGGGGATGATTAATGTACGGAGAAGGATTGAAATGGGCATGATGGGAGTTGGGCAGTTGGACATGAATCTATTGGTCCGGTTTGAGGACTGTTTTGGCGTTATGGGCATGCAACTTCGAGGGACACTTGACTGCGAATAGTACAAGGGAAGGATCATGATTGATGCTAGACACATGGTGATGTTGAGATGCATGGCTTCTCTTTTCATGATGGCTGTGATGAACTTGTAGCTTGATATCGCGATTCGATGGCTATTGAAACCATAAAAGTGTATTCGGTACCTTTCAACTATTATCCAAAGGATTAAAATGTAAAATCATACTAGGGGAAGTCATTCTGTCATGTTCCCGTTAGTCTAATTGCTACAATATGTATATCAACCAACATATACAAGCCACTTCTTCCAACATCTCAACGTAATGTACAATGTGCAGCTCTCACAACCTCTCACAACTTAGCCCCTCCCGCTTTCTCCGCTTCCACCCTCCCCCTTCTCTCCTCCTCCAAAACCTCCTTCCGTCCCCTAACCTCCACATCCCTCGGTCCCTCCTTCAAAAACCTAACAAGCATAACCTTCGTCGCATCTCCAATTCTGCCCTCCCCCTCCAATTCCGGTCCCTGCCTATCCAACCCCAAAACCACTCTTCCGTCACTCCTTCTCATCCCCATCCCAATCGGACTCATAACTTTCTCACCCCACTCCACTCTCATTCCATCCCCTCCATCTCCCTTTAAAAATTCCAAAACCCGTTCCCTCTGCCCCTTTAACTCATCTCTGGAGAACCTTTTTCCCTCATCTGGTTTAGTCAAAAACGGAACCAAAAGATTCATCAAGTAAAATTGAGGCGGGAAAAGAATAATTTCATTCTTTCTCGCCTTTTTTAACCAATCTTCACAATATCCAAATTCGGCAGCCGTATGTTCGATTCCTCCATCGTCTCTTGGTATTTGCACCATTTTTTCTTTTTCTCCAATACCCGTCTCAGCGTCTAGAGGTAGGAAATATAAATACATTTGCGTTGTAAATCTTTTCGGTAAATTACTTGGTGTAATCCAGCGGGTAAAAGGGAGAAGATTAGCTGTATCGATTTCCCCGCCTATTTCTTGGACCCAGGAAGTGAATTTTGTGTTCTTGGAATGAATTTCTTTGCGGGCTTTTTCGCGCTCCGAAGACGGGATTTCTAGTAATAAATCATCTGGCTCTTTATCATTTCTCTGTGCTTCATTATCCTGAGAAGCACGAGCTAAAAGTATCCCGCATTCTTCGAAACATTCTCGGATGGCTCCTATTCTATAAACTTCGGAATCTCTATGTCGAGAAGGAGATGAAGGGGGTGGAATGGGTGATTCATGATAGGGATCAAGGTTTCCACCTGGAAAGACGTGGGCCGATGGAAAGGCACTGGAGGTTCGAATACGGTGAAGGAGAAGGATTTGGTTTTGAGGTGAGATGAGGAGGATACTAGAGTGGAAGAATGGGTTAATTTGGGATTGAAGTGAAAGTGGTAGGGCAAGGAATATCGAGAACGGAGGAGAATAGAATGGGGTGTGATCGAAGAGAAAGTATATACCTTGAACTAGGCTGAGGGACAGCAATTGGCTTTTTAGATTTTATATCTGCTTTTGGACTGCTGGTAGATGACATGTATTGTTTTTCCAAATCGGATTTTGATGGCTGAGATGGTGCCATAATTCTACTTCCTATTCTTGGTCGTTTAAAAGATCCTATATTTTGTCTAGATGTATGTATCCTTGCCCGGTGAAAGCATCTAAAACTTGGTATTATCGTTACTGTTCTGGATGCGAGATGTTTGGGTCTGATAAGTTTGTATATGAATATGGATACCGATGTAAATGAAGATGTAGAGTATAAATGTCTTAGAGTCATTGACTTTCCTAGTTTCGAGATGGAGAATCGGACCTAGGACTACATGTAAAGGGGTAGCTAGTGAGTGAGTGAGCTTCACGTGTTTTGATGGTTGAGTGGGAGGTTGAAGATGCTTTTGCGAAATCTGGGGAAGCTTGATGAGCCGAGGTTTGTGGATTAGTGGTCAGTGCTTATAACCTTGGCTGGAGATGATGCTCCAACTGTACATGCGTTTGTATAACAGGCATTTATTAATTATACATTGGATATTTATAAATTTATTATTGATAAAACAGTTTATCATCTAGTTGGGATTATTTCGCCTCGGCAGATAAATACTAGAGTAGAACCAGATCATGTCAATAGTAGTTATTACTCCCCTTTTCGAGCCGAGACAACCCCCAAGATCTTATGAATGAACATGCAGCTTCTTACCATCATTTGACCAACGACTAATTAATTTTTTATACAAACTATCCTTTCTATACAGAGATTTAGAATCAATCTCATATGTTCTGTCAGTATAAGCTTAAAGTTCTGTGGATGTTTCCACTGTATTAGTTCAAACAAAGTATCAAACTACATATCAATCTACTCCAAATCCCAATCAGAAACTTTCTTGCAAACCCATCAGCGCATTCCATCACTTCCTTAATATTTCCAAGAGAAAAGTCAACTGCAGAAACAAAACAGGCCCAACCTGCACCATGCAGTCAATACCCCTCTCTTCTACTTCCCAAAACCCGAGATAACAAGCACAAAACCAAAATAAAAAAAAAGAAAAAAAAAAAAAACACCAGACATCGACATCCCAAGCCCTTCCTTCCCACAACCCACAGCCCAAAAACCACCAACCACCCTCCCTCTCATATCCTTCTCCCCTTCGTCTCTTCCTCAATCAACGATATCCCACCCCCTCATAATCCCCCTCCTCTCCCGTCCGAACTCCTCAATCCAGAATCTCGTCTGATGCAAAACCCACATGTACATAATCATCCCCACAACAACTTTACAAACTAATACCAAATAATCCGTCGATTCGTGGAGAGAAGAGGGATGGTGGTAGTAATGGTGTACAGCCCAGAGGAATACCGTTGATATAGCTCCGGAGATTATGAGCTTGGAGGTGATGGTTAGTTAGTTGGGTGTTCTTTAATGCAGAGGAGTAAAGAGATAGGAGATAGGAGAGCAGTCAGGGTGAAGGGAATGTGGGGGATGGAAAAATGTGAAATATTATGAAATACATAAATAGTAAGCATAAGCCTAGTTTCAGAAGTCATATCTTTTATCGCCGCGGTATATTTCTCACTCATCTCATGACGCATGTTCCCCATACTCTTAGGATGTTGATTTCCAGGAATCGACTGAAGGTGATGAATTTGCGCAAGATGAGAGGCTCGAAATTTACTATATTCTCAGCATCAGTGTCTTACTTTCAGATTGAGAGGTAGGGCAAAATGACGAAGAGATAGATGTACATACGTCTTTTGATCCTTGACATAAATACGATTCTGGATGATTTTCGCAATATTTCTAGTTTTTTCTTCCCATGCTATGGTGTAAGTTTCTTCAACTCCTTCAAGCTTTTTCTCGTGATGCATATGAAAGTATGAAATAAGTATTACTATAACGAAGATAACGTAAGTGACAGGAGCCCAGAAGTAGTCAGAGGAGCGAAATCGGCTGAGCATGACGAGAATATGGGTGATTGGAATTGTTACAAAACCCTAGATCCTTTGTTAGCACAGAGTCAAGACTGTTGGTAACAGTGAAGGGGACTAGCGAGATGAGAAGGAGTAAATACCCAGAGAAGAATCTGCGCAAATTTATGGCTTATAGATGAACTGTGGTATGCTTTTTCCTGCAGATATTCAGTTGAGAGAATATATTCATTTTCGATCGACTTGTTTTCGGACGCTTCGGGCAGCGTGGTAGTTTGAGCCTAGAGTGTGGATAAAGTAAGTACTTGTTGCAAACTGGGTAAAATGAGCCAAATAATGGGAGATGTACTGAATGTGATGTCCTTACTACTTCTGGGTATGCCTTTGGTTTTATTGAAAAATTTGTTGCGAACAAGGTGTTAAATATGGAGATGTATGATAACATTTTGTATGTAGTCGCTTATCAAGTTGTCGGGTAGTAGACCATCAACAGTGAGCAGTTAAATAGGTGGATATGAAGTAGACTTCTATTGAACACTCAAAGCTCCAGCAGAAAAATTCATCTTACAAGTTCAAACATGTTTTTGACTTCTTTTTATGCAATTTCACCTAAGCTGAGCTTGTAGTCTTTGTACTGTGTATCATGCTAAAACCTTAGGTATCTTATCATGTATGGATTCAAGTGCATTGTAGTTCCTTATAGAAGGGAGGTGAAGCACAACACTTGAAGACCTTTATGACTCTATCAAAGTCTCTTTCCTTCTCTTTCTTCAACATCAACCCTGAAACCAAGCATCGAACGACTATTCAACAGTGCAGATTTTTAAGTACCTAGATAATATCGATGCAAAATTATAAAGAATAAAGTAGTACCGAAAATCTAATAATATTGAATATTTTCCCCTGTGCCAAGAGTTCCCCCTTACTCGGGCATTTTTTACGCGAGATTTAGACCTGGTGGACACAATAATGAGGTGAACAGCTCCTTCACCCAATGAAATAATACATGACTGTCTATCGAACCACTCAGAAAAGAACCTGGATAACTTAACAATCGACAAGGAAGATTCCCTACGAATCGATAAGCATCTTCAACCCTCCAGGCCATACTCAACTACCCTACATACTTAGGTACTAGCAGCAGTAAATAAAACCCAATTAACATCCTAAAGAACTGCATCAAATCAAGCAATATAATTCTAAGACTAGAAGGTATCATATCAATTCTTCCATCATTTACCATTTTATTAACTTACTGTTTCGACTACAAACCCCTTGTTTTTCTTCTGAGGAGAAACTCATTCACTCCAGTTCCACATACTTCTCTTGGGTACTTCTCCTTTTCTCGAAATATCTTTCTCCGCCATCATAACCCTCCACCACCCCTTCTTCCCCCCAATTAAGAAAAAATCCCATCAAAACCACCAATCAAAACTCCACCTCCCGCCTCCCCTTCCCTTGATCTTCCAAATCCTTCCCATCCATCATCCATCATCCATCATCCATCATATATTTCTAAGATTACATTTCACCACCACTACATCCACAACTTAAGATCCCACAACATCTACTAATATCCAAGACCAACTAATTAACTCTTATCGCCTTCTTTTCGCTTCTTTTACCTCTTACAATCAAACAAACCTAAAATATCACATATCACATATCATATCTCATCTCGTTATAAATCTCCTCGGTAAACATTAACCACAAGACAGCGAAGTGAGTGCAATCCACCGCTCTAGTTGCACAATGACTACCATCAGAAAAAAACAGTATACAGTAAAAGGGTTGAAGTTTCACGGAGAGTCAGAGATAAACACTAACTAAGCAAATATATCATTTCTATTACATCTACCATAATCATTATCTATGTGTGAAGAACTCCATCCGATGCTATCATATCCCGTGTACTATGGTATCGATGGTATATATATATATCTCTAAGACTCTGCTCCACAACTCCCCTCTATTCCTTCTTTACACTCTCCTTTCTCCTCCCACAACACCAAAAATCTATTCCTTCTTCCCCCTTCTCAACTTCATCAAACCCCAAGCCGCTTCTTCTCCTTAGGCGGTGCATAATTCTCCTCCTCTATATTATGTTTCCCAACAATCGTCAAGAAAACCTGATCTAACGTTGTCGGACTGACCGAATAATGTTCTAAGCCCAATTTTTCCCTCTCATCCTCTAATTTCATTATCAAAGATCCTATCCCCGTGTCTCGTAATTTAGTTCCATAATTACCTTCGCCAAGGCTGCTAATTTCATCATCGTCTGATTCTATATGCAATTTCTCTCCTTGATGCTTTGGAACATCAGAATAACTCGAAATCGGAACTGAGAAGCGCATTTGCCCGTGGAAAGTTTTATCTTCAATAATCGCATTCCGGAAATTATCATCGATCCAAGCTCTTAATTTCAGTATCTCATCGTCTGTCGTGTGAGGAGCACTTTTGAGAACCAAATGAACGTAATAAGCACCACCAAACTTGCTCCTCAAGTGATCAGAAGTTCCCATTGCCAACATCCTTTTTGCCATGATACCTGCACGATCAGCCAATGCATCTGCTTCCTCCATACTATGCGTTGTAAGCAAAAGTGAACGACCCGGGACAACGGAAGCGAGGGTTTTCCACATAATTCTCTTTGAAGCTGCATCCATACCGGACGACGGCTCGTCAAGAAGTAGTACAGTCGGGTTACCGATCAGCGCGATGCCGAGAGATAACTTTCGTTTATTGCCGCCGGAAAGTTTAGTTGCCATGCGAGAAGCAAAAGCTTGGAGACCAACAGCTTGAAGAACAGCTTGGACGTTATGCTCAATAGCTGGAACACCCCTAACGCGTGCATAAAAGGTAAGATGCTCCAGGACAGTCATTTGATCCATAGCATCAAATTGAGGACAGACTCCCAGATGAGCTCTTGCATCTGCGCGATGTCTATTAATTTCGATATTCTCCACAAAAATATTTCCTCCATTCCTGCTCGGTTGTATATCGCCACGGATTAAAGATATCGTTGTAGATTTTCCGGCACCATTCGGTCCTAGGAGTGCAAATACTTCACCACGCTTTATTCCAAATGTCATATTTTCGACTGCTGTTACAGAGCCGAAATTCTTAGTCAGGTGAAGGACTCGAAGACCATCATTTGATGAGTTCACTCTGACAAGTTCTTCCGCAATTTCTTCATCTGCAGGCATTTCATTTCCGGCGACTGCGGTAGATGACTTGCGATGCCTTCGGAACCAAGCGACGATAGAGCCACTATCATACCAGAGGAGAATGGCAAAAAGAGCAAAAGTCTGGAGGATTAGATACAATATCGGTCCGCCATATTGTAGAATTCCACCAGGGTAAGGCGCCAATTCTTCGCCAGAACAAGTAGTAGAAAATAGATTCAATGCAATGAATAATGCTCGTATTAGACTTCCCATTGGCGTGAAAACACTAATAACGAAATGCACGACAATGAGCGTTGAATCGATTTCGTTAATTGGAGCGTAGGTCAATGTGCAAAGATACCCGACTAAGTAAATGAGAAACATGACGGCTTGTCCAGCAGCTGCAAACGCAAATGCGGAAAGTTGTGTGCTGGCAAAAAGTGACACGACGTATGACAACAAAATTGAAGCCAAACCGAAAAGCACAAATATGATGAATAAATAGCCAACATGGTACCAGACTGAAGACGCGGCCGCAAAGATTATGACACTCAATGCACTTGAGATGAGAACGAGGATAAAGTCGAAGGCTACATATGAGAGCCATAATGGGAGTGAGCGAACACCATTAGAGTATTGGAGGCCTCGAATATTTCTGGTTCTTTCGACAGTAGGATACAAGGAGAAGAATCCTGGGTAGGCGGACATCGCAAGACCAAAGTAGACGACAAGCTGTAATGACTTGCCCGTTGATGGTGCCCATGGAATATCGAATTGTGAATATTGTGTAGCGATAGTCATATTAGTGAGCAATATATCCATAACATTCTGACCCCATACAGCATTATAGATCTGGCCATTTCCTTTGTAGGCAAGTGTGGTTTGCGAACCACTGTTATCAAGGAAAAAGCCCGCCGGGGTGACATTGGCAAAATTTTGACCAATGTAATTATTGAACTGAGGTAAAGTATCGACTAGATGTGTGTGATTTTGAATTTGATCTTGGGTAGGGAACAACCCAAATAATAAAGGTTCAAACAACGAAGTAAGTACTCCCGTCGTGAACCTTGAGGAAGGTCCAACAACAAGATCATACCTGCCAACCGCGAAGAGATTTTCCGAGTCAGAAATGGAGACTCGATCTGTTGGCGTACAGCCGGCACCTTTATATCCTTTTAGGAAAAGGGTTACAAGACCAGCTGCAATGATGGGCAGAAGTAGAGCAGCAATGTAGGGCAGGTAATTTCGTCGGAGAACAGTCAGCCTCTTCCTAAACAAGACCCACGCTTGACGAAAGAACCCGATGTTTTGACCTGTATAAAGCTCCAATGCTGGACGCTCATGTGTGCTGACCACGGCGAGTTTGTCAACAGGCCCCTTTTCTTTCCCAGATTGTTCGTTGTCAGATGACAAGTTTTTTAGGATAAGGCTCTCTTCGCTTTCAGCTCTAATCTCATCCGCTAATTGTAGAAATACATCTTCTATCGTAGGACCGGATAACTGGTATTCTGTGATGTTCTCTCCTTCGAGACGCTTGATAATTTGTGCGGCTTGTTTGGAGGTTGGAGCTACATAAGTCATTTGACCAAACGATGCGTGTTGATTTACGCCCTCAACCTGCGGGGGTTCTTTGTGTTCGTGGCCAATAGGAAGATTTATGCGATAACCACCTCCTAACTTCTCTTTCAACTCCACAGAAGAACCTTCGGCTCGAAGGGTACCCTTAGACAGTATTGCAATACGATCGGCAAGAAGATCCGCTTCGTCAAGGAAATGTGTTGTCAAAATGATCGTTCGTGAGCCTCTTTCAGCTAGGAGAATATCCCAGATCTTTCTTCTACTCAAGGGATCCAGCCCACTACTTACTTCATCCACACAACACACTGAGCTTCCCCCAGTGAACATCATTCCTAGCTGAAGCTTTCGTTTTTGGCCACCAGACAAAGTTTTAGATTTTGCTCCGATTTTTCGATCCAAGTCGATTGCTGTAATCAGTTCCCCGAGAGTCGCCTTGCTATCCCGCGGACCCGTCGATTTGATATTGTTAAAGATGCGTATATGCTCTTCTACTGTAAGCTCATCCCAAAGCACATTCTTCTGCGGAGCAATCCCCAATCCTCCAGTTCCATCAACTGTAATATTTCCACTGGTAACAGTATTTAATCCTGCAATGGCATCAAGGGTGGTACTTTTTCCGGATCCATTAGCACCAAGAAGGACAAGGATTTGACCTTTGTTAGCGGTCAAGCTTAGATCGTTGACGGCGACGACAGTAGCCTTCGGAATCTTGGTAAATCCAGCAGTCTTGAGTCGAAACCAATTTGGTTTGTAGTGTTTCGTGAAATTCTGCAATCTAACGGTCTCCACGGTATTGGATCCAAGTGATTGTGCATGCTTTTCGGAGCCTTGACCAACCACGGACCGCCCCTTAGACGTCGTCCCAAAGAGGTAGCGTTCCACTAAAGCCCCCAGAATTGGATAGACAAGTATTTGAATGATCAAGAATACCCATAGAGCAATTCCTGGTAGCGACCATGGATTGTTTGGAGCGGCTTGTACAAGATTGGTGCCAATATTTTGCCTCTCATAACGAGCCATGAAAACCAAGAAAAATACATAATTACACGGAGCGAAGAGTAAACTCAAAATAGCCACAGTTCCAGAACTTGACACATCAAGGACCTGAACAAGGACACCAAGTAGGAGTGTGATGATTGCAAGACTGATGCCGCTAAGTTGAGCTTTCTTGAAAAATGCTGCGCCTAGAATGGAGAATGATGTGAGAGAAAGACCAGCCAAAACATGAAATATGATTACAATAGCCATAGAAGTTTGGGCGAAGACTCCTACCCCTAAAACCACAGCCATGATAATCCATCCTGGTATGTAAATGATATCAAAAGCTAGATGATATGAGACTATCCTAGCTACTTGGGGCTCCCATCTTCGTAAATTGGGCATCATAGCTTCTAATAATTGTGACATTCCAAGTTCTCGCTCGGAAGCAATGAAGCCAGTCAGATGATATGTGACTCCAACCATACCAATCAAGAAAGCGACACCTAGTATATTGATAATAGCAGATTGATAGTTTGTTCGAATTGCAGTTTCGCGTTGCTTTTGTGTTTGACTAGTGTATGGATATTCGTGAACGGTGGTGGGTAAAGCAGTCTGATCAATTGTTGTGTTTCTCGAGGCGATCGCAAAATCAACGGCGCGCTGCAGTGGCAGAAGGAAGAGCTCGGCATCATTTGTGTCCTTTGTAACATCAATTTCCGTGCCAAAGGCGCCGTCGGCACGCATGGTGTAGTTCCATATTCCTCCTGTTCCTTCTGATGGAGAAGAATTGAAAACAATGGCACCATAACAGGATGTAGCTCCTCTTAAGGTACTTTTACAGATATCCAGGAGTTCCGCCTCAGTGGTCAAACGTTGCACCTTTGCTCCAACACCTTCGGCCTGCGAAGCTAATGCAGCAATAACACCATCGATATCTCCACCAGTTAAGCCATTATTTACAAACGCCAAAGTGTTTCGTCCACCAGTCGCGGCTTTCAGCCCTTCTGGTAATGATCGTATGGTGTGGCTCGAGCCAATACCGTAAGTCGAAGGAGGTATGAATAGATTTCTAGCATAACTAAGAAATATGATTAATGCGACTGGGAGTATGAATGTGCGTATCGAGGTGCTAAACGTATGTCGATTGAGTGTGATGAGGAGATTCTTTCCCGTCAAAGTTCGTATTTGGCGGAGCAATCCCATAGTGGCGATGGGAGCCTTTTGATCGATGAATTAGATAGATGTACTGAAGCGCATGCTGTGTGTGAGAACGCGCGTCGAGGATATTATATTGCAGTGATAGCAGGAGAAGTGACTTTATTATACCGCCTCGGTCGAAAGAATGCGGGTAGCCTCGTATTTTGTTGTCAAGTCGTCATGTAATGTCCAGAATCAAGTCCAAGATGCCAAGCAAAGACAAAGGAAGGCTGTGTTAAACAAGACGCGGGTGATTATCACGGCCAAGATAGATGAGATGTTGCGAGGTAGTAATGAATGGATTGTAGTATATAGAAGAGCAATAGATACAAATTTTTTATGTAGAGACAGAAAGACGGGGAACGATTTGGAACCAAAACAGTTAGAAACGGCAGCGGCAAGATTTTGTTCAATACTACTTAAAATAGTAGGAAGAACGGAAGAAGAAAAAGACCAAAATACGAAACCAAATCTCAATCAAAAATTCCCATAGCGACAATGAGAACTCGGCACCAAGAAATCGGGACCGAAATGAACAAATACGGAAGGAGAGTTAAGTAAGAATTATGGGATGTGGAAGGTGGAAATGGCAGGATTAGTAATGAGGAATGCATGAAATTCGAATAGGAAATTAATTATTGTCCAATCAAAATCGTTGAATATTGATCTTTTAAACGGTGCGTCACATCCACTATAGAAAGCCACAGGATATTTTCTTTGATTCAGCCACTTCATCCGAGTCATTACGTTATCCATATTCATCGAAATGTATCCAATTCATCACCATTTTTCACAATCATCATCAGGTCGGTGACATCTAGATAGGTATGTATATACCACTTCTTACCTCTTTCCATGGAAATGAACCATCATGATCTTTAGTTACTACGCAAGTCCTGGTATGTCATTTAAATCTACAAACATGTAGAGAGCTAATACCAGCCACTCCTACCATCTTTCATGGATACATCATCACTGTCGCCATTTTACAGACCATAGGATCGACCTTGAATATCTGCCCAGTTTCTGAGATTTTGATGCTATTGCTTCATTGTCCAATATCTACCTCATGCTACAGCTTCTACCTCAAGCGGTACAAGTTCATTATTAAGTGTGGATCGTTCAAAGTTCCTCAAGTTGTCGGATCGTAAAGTCTGGAATGATTCTCAGATTCATTCACAAAAGACGCAAGGAGTCAAGGTGATTAATTAATTTATGAGTGTTCGACAGAGTAATCATCGCTCAACTGTTGTCTCTGCTGGTTCCCTCAATGCGACGGCCTATTTTACCATCTAGTTTCTCAGATGTTACAAAGTAACAAGCTCCATGACTCCGAAAAGAAGTTAGTGCTTTGATAATAGTAAGGAAGAGTAGAATCCTGCACCAAAAAATAAGGAACAGTGACCTTTCTCTTGCATTTATGTTGATGGATCAGGAAAAGCATCATCTGGCATTGTAAAAGGGAAATGCTCGATTTATAGTCTAGAATTTCATTGTGTTCTATCAAAGTACATCGCAATGTTTATTTCTCCGCAGCATAACATTTTATCATCACATTTGCATGATTTTTCCTGTACATCACGCGAGAGACTTTGCGTCTATAATTGTTTAGTGAAAGATACATTAACTCAAAACCTATTGATTCATACGCAAACACTATCACCTTTATGTATCCATTATTCCCAGAAGCATCACAATGTTTCTCCCACTTCTATATGCCCACACAAATATCACTCAAGCTTTTATTGTGATCATTCACTGCAAAAATTCTTCTCGTGTATCAGTCCGACAATGAAGTCCTAGGTATTTCGTGCCACAGCGCAAAATTCTTGCTTCGCGGGTACTTGTGCAGATATCATCATCGGAAAAAGCACAATCAGGCACAGACATGAGATCTTGAATCTTTACTATACTTTCCAAAATCGTAATCATAATAACCAAGAATGCTGAAAACAGATTTTTGATCACCGGCTTTCTCAACATCCCATATCTCTACTTGATCAGTGACTGAACGGTTGGTATCTTTCTGTTTGAATCGGAAAGTTTTCTCGTTATGAACTACAGATTCGCTCATCTGAAATATAACTGAATGAATTATTTACCATCAAATGACTCTATTTTCTGCCCATATCATACCATCCATTGGACTTGGGGTTATATTTAATAATTTTGACTTTCGAAATGACTTTCAATTCAAAGTACTATTATCATATCTAAAAAAATCTTCTGATTCATTGGTAAATTCTTGTACGCCTCTATGACTGAGGTACTTGCCTTCACATTTTGAATCGCCCTTTAAAGATGTCCGTCAAAAATGACTTCAGTTTTCTCCAGGGCCATGTTGCTCATGAGCGATATTTGACAAATTTAACCTAGGAATGACGGTTACTTGGCAGAAATTACCACTCTCAGTTGACTGGTAGCATCACTCCTAAAATGCCCCACTCATAGCCATTTTTCGAATCACCCAAAAAGATCCAGTGTCACTGAAGGCGCTCCCAACAGTCACTACATTTCTTTCTTAAATCATACTATTCATAAATATACAACATTATTTGACACACAACCACCTGGAATGACTACAAAATAATGATTCATGGTAACTGTCGATGCCTTGAAAGCCTCACATTTTTTGTATAAATACTTCAGCTTTCCCCCCTTTGGTTCAACTTTTTTTCTTCATTAACTACAACATCTCGATCCCGAATCTACTATTTCAACCCTAAGTAATATATCCTAAATTCGAAACTCAACTTTGCTCGCAAATACCCTCTTCGTATCTGTATTCTCGCAGCCTTACTACATCAACCGATATCACATCATTTAGCATCCAGCATCTACTGTCAACAGAATACATACCCAGCTTCGAAACTTATTCAGTGTCTCGGTTTTATACCGAAGATTGCACTCCTCGTCATCGTTTCCTTCCAACAAAATCAATCCTCGCCTTATTCGAAAAGGCGATCACACGTCACCAACAGGGTCCAATTTTACCGTCTCCTTGGAGAGAACCTTAAATCATAAAACATACAATATGTCCAAGGGAAAGGGAAAGGGAACTGGAGATGAAGAAGGACCTAATGACGGCGACTACCATCCTTACAGTGGGCATTTGGAACAAATAGCGAAGGGCGCTGCAGCTATCATCAGCTTTGATGATTTACCTGCCCCACGAATTCCAGAACCACCACGCACATACGATGGACACCACCAAAGCGACAATATAGCTCAGAATTGGATAATTGTACGAGACAAAATTGGAGGCGTGTATTACTGGACGACAATTGATTTTGGGGGAAAACCACGGTATTCTCTTGAAGTTACTCGCGAAGAACGGGACCAGCAGCAAGCGTGGCAATTGACGCAGCCCCCAGAAGCCGGAGCCGAACAGTGGCCAATAGCTGAGGACCGCGTCTCAGCTATCGATCCCAGTATCGCAACTCATTCAGCCAAAGACCCTACCTTCATTCAATGGTCAAAGGAGACTCGAGAAAGACTATTTCCTCCTAAGCACGAGCACTATTGCGACCCTACAAGAGATGTTCAGGAATGCAATCATGTCTGTGACGAGCAACAAGGAGCCGTCAAACCCGAAACCGCTGGCATGTCAATCTATGATAATCGCTCAGGTGGTCAGAGTAATACTCGCAGAGATGGTGGCCATCGTTTGGGTGGCAGCGATCAGCAATCCGGCAGCAGCAGTCAGCAATGGGATGGTGGGAGTTCCCAGAGTGGTGGCGGTCATCATCACTTTGAAGGTTAACAGTCATCATGGTCTTTGATTGTAAGATCCTTGGAGAGCGTAACATTTCCTTTAACATCTACGCTTGCGATATTCACGTTCGTTTTACATTATTGTTTTCTTAATAGTAGTAATAGTCTAGGCAGGAAAAAAAACATAAATATCAGGTGGTTTTTGAAGGAAAAGGGTCTGGAGGGGAGGTAATTTCATAGAAGGGGTAAACGAAATAGGCGAGTTGCGACCGTTACACTCATTTTACATACACATCGTGGATTTTTGGCATTCGTCTTGATAGCTAGCTTTTCATGTTATAGCTTCAAATAGAACGATTTTGCCTTACTTATGAATGAATGCTTTGTGATTTTCTCTTGATTATCAGTGTTCTATTTTGTATTCATATTAAAAAAATCTCTGCCACGTTGAACGTTCAGCGTATAATATCCTTTGGCTACTAATCCTGTACCCGAAATTCAAATTCTGCTCTTTATGCTTTGAGACTACGCTTCGACAATATTCGATGTTCTTTCATGTATCAAAGTACCCTCCTATTATTCAACACGAACTCTAACGCTGCTCAACCCTGATTTATTCATTAAAAGCTCACGCCACTTCAGAATTGTCACAGCCCCTCTCCAAGTATCGATCCAAGCAACTCGGAAAATTACTGCTCAATCATTTCATTAATTCCGTGACCCAGCATATATATTTACCTCGAGTCAAATCAATCACTCATATGTCCTATAGCTTAAACAGCAATCCATAATTATAACATTTAACTTTCATAGCACAATCAAGGCCACAAACAAGCCGCATATTACTGATACATGCCCGTCACCCCATACACCTCACTCAACTCATCACTCAATATCTCCGGTCCATCTAAATATCCCTCCTTCATCTGCGAATACACATGTCTCTTCAACGCGACATTCCAGGTAAAACTCGAATGACCTATCCCAACGAAAATCGAACTTTTCGTCATAACAAGAAAATCTACCAATGCCTGTTGATCCCATGCTAATGTGTTCAAATACTCCCTATCCTTTGCATCAAGCAACATGAACTTGGTAGTGAGATCGTATGCAGCGGCATCACGTGACAATCTGGCAATTTCGGTCTTGTTTCCTGATGCTACATAGATTAAGGTGAGATTTGTAGAGGCTATTCTATGCAAGTAGTGTTTTGATTGTACTTCGTAACGTTGGTAGATCCAATCTTTGCTGGGCCAGGCTTTCACGGCATCTATCTCTGTTCTTAGATGTACACCGAAAAATGCATCAGGAAGAATTGGATGAGAGATGTTCCGAGATATGTTGTATGTAGACAACAGATTCTGCAGAACTGTGGTGGCTAGAACTCTCACATCTTGTCTGAATTTCAAAATGCTACCGAAAGAAAGAGCGAAGTCCTCATCATCAGAATATATCGGATACTGCAGATAAGATCTCCCAAGCTCAATCAAAACTGGTGTTTCCATGGTCGCTTTCACCATGGAATTGAAGAGCACCTCCAGCCAATCCTGCGATAATCCCCTCCAAGTCTCTGGGTGCTCGAGTCCTGTTTTTGGGATTACTTCAGAAACTAAACTTTCAGGTAACAAAGTAATCGGACCACTTCCCTTCGCTCGATTAGGAACATCATCAACATATCGAAAAAGCACCAATTGCGGACAAGAGAGTTTGAGTGAATCAATGAAATGCGGAACATCAAACATAAAATCTATACCGGTCCTTTTACCAGTGTGTATCTTTGAAATATCTTGAGCGTTTCGAAGGATGATTCGTGGGATGACTAGGCTTGCGCCTGCTGATATCGCATACCGCACACAATTTAGTATTGAGTTCCGTATGTTTCCAACTCCACCGACAGAATTATCACATGTAAATACAATCTCTGGATTCCATCGTGTGGTTTCGCACACGGCTAAAATGGAGCTAGAGGAGACAGGAGGGAAATTGAATATGTCGTTGTTTATTTCGCTGTATTGATGCGTGCTCTTCAGGTACTTTTGCCGGATAATATCGGCCGGGCGAATATAACTACTGATGAGGAAGACATAGAAACAAATTGAGATTATGACAAGAACAATGAGAGAAGTATGATGTCTGCTGTTGATGTTTGCAGGTAATCGCATTCTTGCAACATTTCCCGGAACACTTAGTGTGAGAACTTGAGAAATGAAGAGAAAATATCCATACTTGCCATTCGAAAATAATGTAACGTAGCCTTCTCGTTACCGTACTTACTTTTCTTGAATTTATATATTTCGTTCTTTCCACGTTTTGAGTTTCCTGTCCTGTATGATGAACGAACCACCAAACCGGTTCAACTCGAACATAGAGTAGGACTGCAGGACAATATATCTCAAAATTGAAGCAAAATTCATCTCAATCGTTTAAGTCGAATGTATATGCTACATATCGAAAGCTAAGACTGATACTGTTCATAATGTGGAAGGTAGAAGGTAGATAATATTCGATTGATATGATGTCGAATTCCACTAATGAGATTGTCTTTTTGAAATAGGTTGTATTATCTCGAGTCTTAACCACAAACACCACTTAAACACTTCAAACATTAAGGTAAATCCAGAAGTACATCCAGAGATATAAAGTGTATGGATTGAATAGGCATCGCAGGGCAATTATAGGGAGGTCAGCACAAGCACAAGCTTGTAACCTAATTCGAATTAGACAAATACGCGAAGAAGAGTTCACCTGTCAATTGAACAGACATACCTTAAAACATTCAGGGCTTCATAGCTTAGAAAGCACCCCGAGAGTGGTATTCTGCTTATGTGTCGCCTAATTAGGTTAGGTTAGGTCGTTCAGTTGGCCAGTGTGTTGTCAATCCTCTCACCTGATATATTCCTCAAAAAATCTAGAGCGCTTACTTCAGCAATATCTTAAGGAACGGCACACGGGAAATCAAAACTTCACCTATTTGAGTCATCAAACTCGAAGTAATATTAATGTTCCATCAACTTTCTATCCTACTAAAAAGGTTCTAATACTGCTGAGATTTCCTTGACCATGGTGTCGCTCCTGATGTCTATGACTAAGATCTATGAACTTCCGCAAGGGTTGGGTTGTCTTCTCTTTGATCAGATTTATACACTGTCAGTCTTGTGGAAGCTCTAAAGCTTTGTACTATTCCTAGTAAGCCAACAAGCCAGAATGTTCAGACTCAGAAATGATTTAGTACTGAATACTTATATCATACATAGACTTCTCCAACAATAGAATCTGGAATGCCACTTGCCTTCATTATGTAAGTGATGCATCAGCGCCGGTCAATAATTTGATCAATGCCTTGGCCTTTTAGCGAGAGCACGTAAAGACGCATCTAATGAGACATCTTATTCATGCTCAAAAGAAAAGGAACTTGAAAACTTCATACTTTCGCTCATCAATTGAGCTATTCAGTATATCTGCTAGCACCGTTCCCAGAAGGTCGAACAAGTATCGCCGATGTCTTATCAAATATGTGAATCGATAGCGAACACAGGCTATGTTGCAAAGAGGATGGAACCCTTGACTTTTCAAAAATTGCTTTCGTAATCGAATTTTTCCACTTCGCTTGACAATTACCACCCATTGAGGGCAGCTATAGTGACCAGCAGCACTGATGTTCTAAGTCACTGATATCTTCAACTCCTAACATCAGTCTCAACTTCGATATTGAATAATTTGGCGCATCTTTCGACTTGTCAGCACTTTGGAAAAGCACTGAATTTGTACGAATTCTCCTAGCTATGGGCGGCGAGGCTATGATCCAGGCTTCATCCAACAAGTCTTTCGCCATGATCTAGAAGACATTTACCAATGTCATTTATTCAATGCCTGCCACTTCTAGGATCGCCTTTATAAATAACGTCAGGAGGAAGTCAAATCGATCTTGTTGAAGCACTATTGAAGAGGGGACAGTACCACGTGAAAATTTCGCGAGGTGGATATGGTGAGGCAGTACATGCTGCGATGAGAAGCAAATCTGAAAGTATTGCCATGTTGATACTGAGCGCTAGCAAACCCTCAAGAGGAAGATGTTCGACCAGAACAACGGGCTTATCGCTCCTTGAGTATGTTTGGTTTCACGAGTGCATTTACAGACAGGCATGTTATTCTGGCTGCAAATCATTGGTGAAACGTAATGCTTGAGAGTGGTATTGATATTAATAATCGCATTTATGATGATTTGATATTCCCATCAAACTCATCGCTGCACGGTCATGATAGTGTAGTTCAATTGCTGCTTGAGTATAACGTGGAGCGCAATACACTTCGAAGCAGGCTTGGTACGATCTCGCGTTACAGCACCGTACCGATGCCACTCTTACAGGTCGCCACTTCTCATGGCCCTCAAAGACGTGGTCCAGGCACTGTTCGATGGTGGTATTAAACTTGGCTCTCCATGTCCGTTTCGCTTTTTTTCAAGCCTCCCGAGTAGGCGAAACTCGCACCATGAAGTTATCATATGAAGGACGGCTTGGATATCAACATATATTTGCTCGGCTGCTCTCCCGATTCGTCTCAAACTTGGAGTTTAAGCTTAGGTGAGCGATCGTTTATCGTGCTTGGTATGCACCATATGACAACTTCAATAGAGCTACTTGTTGTCGAGGGTATACTTATATACATCCCGGTTTCTCTAATATGAAGTTATCACGTCGAGAGTGTTTACGATCAAGCTATTATTCATTGCCTACGACTCTCGAGCGGAAAAGCAGCTGGCTTTCAGACCTTGAATATGTGCAGGAGCACTTTCAAGAAATATGTAGCAGGAAAAAAGATTATACCTTTGTCCCTAGCGGAGGATTTGTGGAGGGAAATTTCCGACCAGTCTTAGTCCTATCTAAGGCTCGAAAACATAGCGGATAGCCAGACTATCCGGAGTCATGATAATTTACCCAGAATTTCCTTTCTCAAAAAGTGGCTGATCACTTTGAGCAAATTGTTTGTGTTCATATATGGGGATGTTCCAATTCCGCTGACCCCTACACTCATGTGGGAAATGCCCGAGAATCTATTCACCGGGATCAGACTTGATTTGATGATCACAAGTCAAGTTTAGCTAGTCCTCACTCTCCACGTGTCCTTTCCAACCTGAGAAATCCACTTGAATGCTACATGCGATGGTTTCAAAACATCGATACTTTGTTTATCAGTATACGATACCGAAAGTCCACCTCAAGAATCAGCCAGGATGTTGTTGCTCCACCTCGCATGTATCGACCGATCAAAAGACGGACAAATGAAAAAGGCGTTCAACAATCGATTTAAATTCCACAAAAAATACCAATATTTCCTGATGAATACAAAGTGTGGATACAAACTTACTATGTGCCCCCATAAATATGGGGTAAAGAGGGATTTTCCCGGTGTAGTTCAAGATTTGACAGAACTTTGACAGAATGATCGCCATTCTCAGACTTGGCATGAACCCCATATAGGTAAACTCGATAGCTAGTGTGTGTCTCTTTAAGGCTAGGTCGAGGGGAAAGGTCCCGTCTCTTGGTGGTAGACATAAAGTGGTTACGTATGCGCGGAGTATGTTGTTCATATGGTGGATAGGATGGTCCCGGATGGAATCCGTGATAGATTAGTTATATGAAGTGAGGGGATGTTTTAATACAGATGGGGCTGAAATTTTGTCATTCTGGGAAGTGTATATTGATGAGGTCGGGATATAGGGACGGGAGTTGATGCCCTTGGCTAGTGTTAAGTTTTGAATTTATAATAGTTGTATTCCACTGCTATATTCTTACATTGCATTCACTATCTACCCAGGAACAAACCTTATTTCACCTCGATCCATTCATCTCAGCGCATAACTATTCACCAATCATAACCATGACGATACTAAATGACCCTCCGTCTACAGTAACCTTGCCCCTCCACGATCCCACCGCTCCTTCCCCTTCGAAAAATATCCCCTCAACCACCTCCTCTAATCCAAACACCCACAATTTCTCCTCCAGATGGCCCTCAGCCTTGGACCTGGCAGGCTCCAACCTCCCCTGCCGCCTCGAAGGTGAAGTTGCCGACCTAGTCGTCCTCGGCAACATTCCCCCACAGATCCGCGGAACATTTTACCGCGTGATGTGCGATCCGTTCGTCCCTCCCCACCCACAAAATGTACCCATCGACGGTGACGGCAATATATCGGCCTTTCGCTTCCACGATGGAATCGTGGATATGAAAATGCGATACATTGAGACCGAACGATACAAACTCGAACGACGCGCCAACAAGACATTATTCGGGTTGTATCGGAATCCATATACGCATCATCCATGCGTGCGGGCTGCGGTGGATAGTACCGCGAATACCAATTTAGTCATGTGGGCTGACAAGTTGTTGGCATTGAAGGAAGTGGGTTTGCCTTATGAAGTTGATGGAGATACGTTGGAGACAGTTGGATATGATCCTTTTGCTTCTGAGGGCATTAAGTCAAAGACTTTTACTGCGCATCCGAAGGTCGATCCGTTTACAGATGAACTTGTGGTTTTCGGGTATGAAGCAAAAGGATTGGCGACGCTGGATGTGGTTACGTATACGCTTGATGCGCGAGGGAAGAAAGTTGAGGAATTGTGGGTGAAGAGTCCGTGGTGTGCTTTCATACATGACTGTGCTATTACGGAGAACTGGCTGATACTTGTGTGTTGGTGTTTTGAAGCGGATATTGAGAGGATGAAAAAAGGAGGACAGCATTGGGCTTGGGATTATGAAAGACCGGCTACGTTTATTGTGGTTCCGAGGAGGAAATCGACGCCGTTGCCGGACGGGTGGAAGGAGGGTGAGAGCAGGTTTTATGAGTGGAAAAATTGTATGCCGGTTCATACAGCAGGGGCTTGGGAAGGGGAGGATGGGAAATTATATATGGAAAGTTCGAGGGTGCATGATAATGCATTTCCATTCTTCCCACCGGATGATGGGCGTCTGCCGAGTCCAGATACAAAGGGAGATTTTGCACGTTGGGAGTTCGATTTGAGTCAACCAAGTGGGAGCAAGATACCGGATCCTGTGGTCGTTTTAGACGTTCCATGCGAATTTCCGAGAATCGATGAAAGATTCATGACAAAGAAGTATAATTGGGTATTCTTGGATGTTTTTATTCCCAATCAAAGTGATGGGAGGAGTAACATATACCAGGGGCTCAATGGTCTTGCGATGCATAATAATACGACGAATGAAACGAGATATTTCTACGCAGGAGACGACTCGCATGTTCAAGAACCAATCTTTATTCCTCGATCAAAAGATGCTGAAGAAGGAGATGGCTGGGTGATGGCGATGGTCGAAAGAAGGATTGCTAATCGATGCGATTTGATGGTGATTGACACGAGAGATTTTGAGAAGGCAATTGCTATTGTTGAGTTACCATTTCATATCAAAGCTCAAATACATGGTAATTGGGTTGAGGCAACTGAGACTACAGGGACAAGAAGTCTTGTTCGAGGGATAGATGAACTTGAGATCAGTGGAAAGGGGGCATTAGAACCTATAGTTTAAGCTTCGTGGTTCCACCGCTTTTTACTCCCTCATCTAGATAATCCTATAGGAAAACCTTCTGCCATTTCTCAACGTAGCTTACTAACGTTTCTACTACAATGATAAATCACTCCTATTACTCGGATCGTAGGATTGGTTGTGACCAGGCCCAAGGTATAGCACCACTAATCAGGAGATGCTAGTCCCCTGGAACTTCTCTACTAGAGCGTTGATTGCTAACAGCGAATTCTCATCCGTCTCGACCGGCTTATTGAGTCCCATCTGCTCATTGCCTACTTCGACCTTGAGAACTAATTTGGCAAGCTGCCAAAATTCCAAAGAATTCTTATAGTATCCAATTGTTGGAAATCCAGGTCTAGCATGTTCAAGGTGGTTATCCCAAAGGATCTTCCATCTATCGAGAGCCTGGACAATACGATCAGAGTTATGCATCCCCATAGCGTTCGATTTCAGCAGGAAGAAAGTGTTGTTCAATCCTTTTATATAGTTAGCGAAGTTTCCTTGAGCGTGAGTAACGTCAGAGTTTACTCACCACTGAGCAGCATGAACAAATTATATGTTGTAAGTTTATAATGATTTACTGCGTCCCATTCATCCCTCAATAACATGGCCACTGAGGTTGCTACTGAGGCCCGCGGCTTTTCATTTATCCCTAGCAGATACCCTTCGCAAACAAGAGCATCGGTAGCGGCATACGCTTCCTCTGAAGATGGCATATCACCGACCATTTCGCTAACCATTATACGTGGTGGATAGGCATGAAACACAGTAAAATAGGTATCTATAAGGTATATCGTAGCTACGGCCCTGAATTATGTTTATTATTTCGTATCAAAGGATGGGAAGGTCAAACAAGCTAACCTGATTTTTGCCTCTGCTTCAATATAACCTAACCAGTTGAAAGGGTGGATACCCGTAGCATAAATGTTTTTCGCAGAGGTATAGCCAAGTGCCCTTGCCATGGCTACGATATCAGAATAACGCTTCTTACGCATTCTCCTTCGGGCCTCTGGTCCATTCTGCCAAGTCTGTAGCACGGCTACAAGAATTGCCGCTTGAACAGATTGAAGACTAGTGGGCCCTTCGAAACCCTGATCAGTACGAAGTATCGACTTCACTTCATCATCCTCGAACACAAATTCCTCGCATAAAGTGCCGCATTCTGTTGCTAAACCAGCTGTATCTCGAGGTGACGAATAGGCTGCGCCAATGAGAAATACGGCAAATAACAACGGAAGCGGTACTGTCTCGAGGTTATAGGTAGGTTGATGTATGATAGGAGAATGAGGATGCCAATGGTCGAAATATAATTGAGTAAAATCTACTAAATTAGGAACGGTTAATAAAACACTTTTTACCTCTTCAGAAAAAGGTGGTACATCTCCATCACATCTCCTTGATAGTTTATCCTGAGCAATAACAAGTTGGGATATGAGTTCCTGGAGCCGGCTTTCCAATTGAGGAGAGTATACTAGAGACGGGTCAATTGATGGAGTGCTGGTTTGACTATTCCAGATGAAGTCATCCAATATGGGCAATGTATTGCCATGCATGAGATATTCTAACTCATCCGGAAAACCCAGCAGTGAGGAGCTCGGCATGAGCGATGAGGATGACGGCGCGGAAAGCGTGGAAATGGTTGGATTAGGTATAATGGTGGTCGTTAAAGAGCCGAAAAAACCCATAAGGCTATCTTTTCCTGGCATTGTATACTGAAGAAGAAAGTCGAACTGCAGCCGGTGTTCTTGTGGTGTTATGCTAGGAGCCGGTGATTTGTTGCCGGCTTCATTAGACTGCGCCGATACGGAACTGTGTAGTTGTTGCAGTGAAGCTCCAGTCTCTTGAGTAGTTTGCAATGGCTGTCGACCTTCATGGTTTCCCGTCGAGCGATAATATGTGCAAGGCACTTTACTTAGTTGGCAACCCTCACATGGATGACCTCGACTACAAGCTCGTTTTGATTTTGCGCAAGAGTCACATGATTGCTTCTGTTTTCCTCTTGGCCGGAGCGGGGGCATTGGCTTATCGCCCCTATTTGGGCATGATCTTGAATGTCTTCTGGCAGCATCTCTACCAGACGGTCAGTAATATTAGCAAGAACACGTCAACTAGATACCTCACGATCTGAAAAAGTGTTGATCACAAAAGTGGCACCCAAAAAGGCGTTGTCCAGCATCTATTTGAGTTTTAACGTTAATGATTTCCCGTCTTCCGAGTTGCGGATAACAGTGGGGTGGAGTATAAACTTACGCACAGCTTCATGACGGCGTAGATGTCCAACTGTGGAGTATGTAGATAAACATATTTGACAGAGATAACTCGGAAATGATGCATCTGTCGAGGGCGAGGTTCTCTTCATATTGAATATTCGGCCAAGTTGTTTGTGATAGAGAAGTGATGATGTTGAGTGAAATCCATGCAAATAAAATCGATCATTGTACCGGTGAGGAGGCTGCCATTGCTAGTGAAAAAGAAGGGTGCTACTAAAGATATGATTGGTGAGAACTTGCAACCAAAATTTTGAACCATACCATACCCAGGTAAGGTTAGACAGTGCAAGCAAGATCAACGAGACTGGAGATAATAGCCGGGGCCGAGCATAGAATAGTGAGTGTTAATTAAAGTATTTATGTAGGAGTTATGCAGTCACAATTGAGGCCGCCCTTTCTTCATATAAGCGGAGAAGACTAGAATGCGGGGTTTGGCGCAATATTCCAACAAGAAATCTAGTTCTAGGCGGTTGACTGGCCAATAAGGACGGAGTAAATGATGGTAGTGTAGTTGCTATTTGGAAGTTTAGTTGTTTAACAAAAGGTGATGGGTAAAGTATTATAAGCCACATCTCAAAATGACCGTGCTTTGTCTCGGTAAGTAAAAGCTTTGATTGATAATCTATTTATTACATCGCGAGATTTATTATCAAGATTATTTAAATTCTTTGATTCTTATTCAAAAGTCTATCTCCAAGTTACTTTAAATTAAAAAATAATAAACTTTTTAAATAAAAATAAAAAATAAAAATAATGATAGTATACAAATTAAAATATTTTATATTATTTAAATAAGTTTGAATTGAGTTTATGTTACGCCGGGTAACAAGAAGACGCTCACGTGTTACCAATATCATGTGACTGACTCAGTGAGGATCAGCAAGCTCAGTACTGAGCCATACTGATCCTACTGATCAGCTAGAACACGAAGGTCTATATAATCAAGATGGATTTCCTTTGTATAGAGCTTCGTGCTCAAGATCAATCATTTAGTATACTCTACTATTAGTTACGAATTGCATTATTGTCATTACTTTAAGTCCCTGCTTGACGCCTAGTTATAAACCACCTCGAGAGCCTAGAGCACTTCCACGTGATCTAGACGGCAAACCCCGTAACAGTTTAAAATATTTAACTATATTTATAATAAAATTAATATTCAGAAAGTATTAAAAGTATAAAAAAATAATTTTGGTTTTTAACTAATCCTTTGAAAAATCTTAAAAAACTATTATTAATTACTATATAAATTTTTTTTAAAATATTTAATAAGAAATATTAGTGTCACACTCAAGAATACTGAGTAAAGTATCTTGTATTAGAAAATACTAAACTAAGGAGAAAAAGAAGAAGGAAAACAAAAGTAGAGAGTTTTCCTGTGATTAAATACAAACGGGGCATGCCACGTGACCCGGAGGTGTGAGGCGTCACAATTAGATTTACTTTTTTCTATTATTAAATTTGAAATTATGTTCATGAGACTAAATATTAATTGAATATATATTGACAAAAATATTATCTAAAGATCGGCGATATTAGTTCTAATATATTGAGATAAATGCAATCAAATATATCAATCTGAACGCGCTCTCACTCTTTTCAAACTATATATAATTCTTATCCTCAATGCGTCTATGATTTGTAAGACTTATAATCCATGCTAGTCTCAGCCGTACAGAAACTAAACTACGACGGGAACAGTGCGTCGTATCCATTTGTAGTGTTTTATGCTTTCTGGTCCTATCACTAACTTGGACCCCCTTGAACCTTGCTTTGGACGCAGATCATATACTGCCCATTGGTAAGATCTAAGACAGGTTGCCACGCAATACTCCGCAGATCATCGAATGGCATGAATAGACGGAGGACTTTTCTTGTATAAAGTCTCTCCAAACCAATTATGAGAATTTGGCCCTCTTTTTTAATATTTTCTGTCTTATAAGATGTGCTTATAATGGGGAGCACATTCCATACACTTTGGCTGTAGGAATAGTTGGCAGGTAAATTAACTCTTAGGATGAAAATACTTGAGCAGATCAAATCATTTGGCCAAAACAGCTTTTATCTATGAAAAGTTGGATGGTATAAAGGCATTTGTGAAGATACCTGCAAATTCATCTCACCTCGCGTACGGAGGACGGTTCGAAAAGGGATGTGACTATACTCCGGAGGCTCTTATAGGCTCTTAGAACTGTAAAGGGCCTGTAATTTTACACCTGGACCGCCTAACTAACGCTAAGCGAGTCTATAAGTATTTAAGGCTTAGTATATGGTGAATTCCATTAAATTCTAATTCTAATCTTAATCAAATAAAACTATACTGTTTAAATAAACTTTTTAGAGCCTAATTAAGCAGTGATTTTCAGGGCTCAATCCTAAAGGTTGAAGTACACCGTATTAAAGTGCTAACACCCTGTAAGGCTATAGTCACATCTCTTTCCTCCGTACAAGGCCAAGGATTAAAACAACCCCGAAAGCTGTTTCGCCTCTAGCAAACTTCCTTCAAGGTCATAATCCCAGACCCATTCATACAACAAATCAATCTTGTCCGCTATCCTTCCTACATCTTCTCCAACTTCCCCATGAGAAAGCGTAAGGAGCTCTTCGGACTCCTTACTACTGCTGATTAGTTTCTGCGATCTCGGTCTCCTTACGGTATCGAAAGCCTTGAGTGCCTCTTCAATATCGTTAATATTCTTGACACCCTCAAAGAGGTGACTCAAAACATATGCATCCTCAAAGGCCATTCCAGCGCCAGCTCCCAAGTGCGGTGTACTTGCATGAGCAGAATCACCCATAAGACATACCCTCCCACGATAATATTGCTGAGGATGCGGAAGATGGAAAAGTCCCCATTTATCTCCGCTGCTGTATTCGGAAACCAGTTCAACCAGTTTTCCTTCAAAACCTTCTAGATCGGATAACATCTCTTCTTTCGAGGCAGGTATCAACCAACGCTCCTTACTCCATTCCATGTCCTTCTTCGTCTTCAGTGCAACTATGTTAATCAAATCGCCATGTTCCACCGGGTAAGTAATCATATATCCGTCATATCCAAGGTACAATTGACCATTCAATGCCAGATCATCTCCTATTGCTTCTCTCGCGACATCTTTGGGAATCATAGCTCTATAAGCGTAGATGCCGGCAAATTCTGGCTGAACTGACTGGCCTCCCACAACGAATTCTCTTGTCACACTTTTGATGCCATCACAACCAACCACTACATCCGCGAAAGCTGTTTCACCATCTGCAAAATTCAACTTTAATTCTTTGCTGTCCCCTTCCATCTCTTCAACGCTCACGAGGCTTTTCTTGAACTTTGCCATTCCATCTGGGATTAATGCGGCCATTTCATCCAAGAACCTGGCCCTATGCACACAACTTCTCCTCTTAATCCCCTCGGACGTTAACAGTTCCGAGATCTCTCCTAGAGACTTTCCTTTCTCCCCGATATGATGAACGAAGTCCAATTTCTTTCCTTCCCCGTTTCTACTATCCATGCCGTACCGCAAAGTCAGCCAGGCATTATCCCGATCACGAGTTTCATTGAACGTTGCACATTTCTTGTAACCTTTCAGAATGTCTGGAGAGATTAAACCCAATGCGTTCACAGCATTGGGGCCTGATGCAACACCAGCACCGATTTCCGCGAAGCAAGGAGCTGATTCGTAGATTGTAATATTGAGATGATCACGGTGCGAGAGAAGTCCAATACTGAGAGCAAGTCCACCAAGACCGCCCCCAATGATAGCAACGTTGAGCTTGGAGTTTATCGTTTTCTCATTAACCACCATCTTGGAGTAGTATGACTGGATAAAGGTAGGACGGAAAGTAATGATTGTATTGATGAAAAGATGTTTGGATTTTCTCAGATTGCCAGTCACTAGTTATGGTATTCAGATACAACAGATACAACAAGGTTTTGGAAGAGACATCGGATGTGACCGCCTATCTCATTTAACATGCTTGCATTTAGTTTGCGAGATATATGCCGACTTATTTCCTAAATTCAAACCCATTTGAGCCCAATCAACCTCGACAAAAGGGGAATCTCGGGGAAAAGCGAACAAAAATTGAGGAGCAAGATCACCCACTTTGATGATTCATCGAACCATATATTCCGGTCAGCCGGTAGAGTCTCGCAATGCCGGGCGTTTTTCTTACACCGGAATCCCCGGATATATGCATACCAAATTTCCTTGATAAATATACTATTTCTGTACGTACATACCCGGAAATCGCGGTAGTTGAAGAATGTCGGTTAAAATCTTCACGCTAGAAAAATTGCAGGGGAAAGACTCGAGTATCATTTCTTCGAGCCTATGATGTAATTAATTTGTGAAATTTCAAGGAGCCAACGTTGGAATTTCGGGGCTGGAAACTAGAGCAAACTCTCTTTATACTTTAAAGTTTATTCTCTGAAGACTGGTGCTAATGTACCAGACCAGAATCCACTGCTTCACCGGGAACGATTCCCGTACACTTCGGTCCCGACAGCGGGGTTCCAATGGTTCCGATGGAGTTGGTATTTTCCGTAGCCCGGTGGATACCACTGCACGTATGGGTGTATCAGATGCATCCAAATCAACGATCTAGACTATCAAGTGCTTGATACGTTAGGTTATATGTCGTTGAATGTTTGGGCTACAGTCCTTTAGATGGAATAGAGATGGTAAATGGGATTTTGTAAGACCGTATAGTTGTTTTAGACAGAAAACGCGTAAAGGGTTGAGCCGACGGGGCTCAATCACGTGTAGATAAGCTCTTACACACCAGTGTTGGTCTCGGCAGTTCTCTCCGTTCCCCGCCTACCCGTCTTCCAACTTTGTGATCTAAACCAAACCCTGAATCTAAACCCTAATCCTGCTGCGAAATGTCAGGACGGGCTCTCACATGCGCGGGCGTAGGAGAGTCTCCTTCACAATTCACCCACGCTATCAGGCCCTCTCAACTCTTCTTCACAGCGATAAAACGTCCCTCCGCGGAGTACAACATTTTCAGATCTTAACTCGCAACCTCACTATTCCCATGAACCGTTGCTAAATTGGACTTAGTCACCGGCTTATTTCGCTCCATACCCAAATGTCCACAGTCAATACTCTCCTCAGCCTCCACACCTCATCGTCCCCAAAATTTCCCTTCAAGCTGTATCCATCAACTCCTACTGCACCATCAATGACCTCGCCATCTGCCCGAATGTGATCCATACCAAAAATTCTCAATCTCGGCTCCTGCTCCTCCTCGACCAAAGCTAAAAGCTCTTTTTCAGCCCCGACTTCTAGAGTCTACTCTTAGCGGCACAGATCTCAAACCTCTCAGACCCTTGCTGCTAGCCGGAGGCAATCTGTCTGTGTGTACGCGAACGATCATTTTAAGATTCCCGTTAAGGCAAATATATGCAGTTGAAAATAGGAAGGATGGTTAGAGTATTAAGCATTTGGAAGGTGGGGACAAAGTAAATAGGAAGTCAGCGAGTGTGGACATGCAAGGAAATTCTGGGAAGGGACGTAGGGCTCGAATTGTGATAATAATCTAGGCAAAGCCAAAGCTCTGAGTCGGGGATATACAAAGTACCCCTTAGTCAGACAACGACAGGCGGGACATCATGTCTGAAAAGGCTGAAGCTAAATCCAACCTTGAAGGAACTTGGAGTGGAGAGAAAGATCATCAAATTCAAAGGGGCTAAGTGTGGTCAGCGCAACAAAAGCATTAAGCCTCAAGAGCAGATGGACTGCTGGTTTTTATCCTGGCTAGCATTCCTTTTCTTCCCTTCGAGGTATTACATAATACTGATGGCTATATTTTGGTGGTCGCTTGGGAGCACAGATTTTGATACAAATAACTAACAATTATCTAGATTAAACACATGCTTTCACAGTTTCTGATACGAGGGTTCGGTTCTCCGGTAACAGTATAGCTAAGATTTAAGGGTCCACTAAATAGAGAATGCTAAACACACCTGTTCATTCCGTCATTCATGATGCATCTCCTACGCATCAACATGCCTACCCGGTCGGAAATTTCCCATTTTCGGCAATCATGAGATATGAAAAAATAAATCCATCACCCTTATTTCACTCATGAAATTCTCACACAAGTCTATCTGTGTCCACTATATCATATGGCTTTAAGTATAGTCCTGCCCCTAACCTAGAGGAGCATCGATCTGCGACTCTTTTATGTACTTGATCTTGGGCGGTTTCCAGGTCTGTAGACGCTCGACTGCCAGTGTTAGAGTAAGGTTTATGCAGTACCGCCAACACAATTGAAAGTTGAAACGGACTTGCACTTTTAGTAGGGGAATACTTGGAGAATAATGTTGGCTCGAGCTATTCACTTCTTCTCTCAACTAGAATATCAAGCAGAGTATTGTAACTGTAGAAGCAAGCAATTTATGTAAAATTCCACGAATCTTTGACTTAACGATAGTCTGGCATCTCAATCACTCTCTCGCATTTAGATCTTTGAAGGCGCACATTTAGTGTCCAATCCACCAAATGTATAGAGCAATAACAAGGGGAATCTGAGAATCGAGAAGTATCACTATACCGTTGTCTTTCTAGAATAAGAATAAGCTCAGTTTAGTATTCAGCTAGTAGTGAATCAAGTTCTGCACTTTGCCTATCAATCACAAGTCTTACATCGACCCTTCCTGTTTCAGGTATCATTCCTTCAATATTTTCATCAATCCAAACCATCAGAAACAAACAAAAAGAAAAACAAACACCATACATACACAAACAATAAACCAAATCCCCACTTCAATCAAAATGCCAAATGCAACTCAAGAAAAAATAACTCTCCTTCTCCAATCATCTCCCTACCACACAGAACTCCAAGAAATCGAGAAAGACTACCGAGACACTCACAAACCCTTCCTCACCCAAACAAAAAAATCACTCATTGCGTATCGAGCAGCCACTCGAGCGGGCAAAACAGCTGCTCTACAGGAACACCAAGATAACATCGATGAGAATATACACAAAATGGTTGATCTTCACAAGGAGAAGAAAAGGGAATGGGATATTGTTATTCAGAGGTTGGGAGAAGATGTAGGTGGAATTCTGGGAAGGACTTTGGTGGATGTGGTGAGGGAATTGGGTGGAAGTCGTACGAATGTAGCTGGAGGGCATGATATGAATTTGGGAAAGGTGTTGGTTGAGGTTGCGAAGAGGATGGATTCTGAGTAATTGGTACGATGGCAGGAACTTTTCCAGGAACAATGCCTGGTATTTCAGTTGCATGGACTGAGGTCTGAGAATGATGTTGTTTGATGCGCTACGTTATATCTTACATTAATTTCACTTCATACATTGGTAATAATACATATCTTGAGACTGTTCTAGATTTCGCGTCTAAAGAGGACAATGGCCAAGTTAGGTTTGAGATACACTTAATTACTACCAGCTCCTTTGACTGAAAGCTCTCACATCTAATATGTGAATCCGGATATTCTGGAATAAGGTGACATGGATGGATGTTTCCAAGCATATATGGGCCTTCCAAGACTAGGCATGCATGATCACAAGTGATGGTCACTCAATATTTAGGCTCCAACTCGTCTCTATTCAAACAGTGGCTTAAGCCAAGTCTATTGTTGACATAATTTATATACAAAAATTGAAAAAAACATTTTCCTTTCCTCTCCTATCTTATCCCCATTTCATTTATGCCTCACACTCATCATCGCCAACCTCAACAGAGGAGCTGGTAGCAACTGGTGCAGAAGATGTAGCAGTTATAAGAGTAGTCGGGGCGGGAGTTACAGCGGCGGGAAGCGAGCTTGAAGCAAGAACCGCGCTCGATGAAATAATAGCAGAGCTTGATGAAACAGAGAGAGTGGCGTTGGTCGGAACAGAAGATGCGACAGCGGGGCTAGACGTGATAGTGGTAGCACTCGAAGCTCCAGGGGCTTTACCTCCAGCGGCTCCGCATGTAGCAACTGCTCCTCCGGGAGGCTTATATGTGGAAATATCGAAACCGTAGTAGATATTGGGGATATAAATACTTGGATCGGTCGCATTGTAAGCACCGGGAAGCTCGATAGATGGACCGCAAGAATCGTCTGCAGTACCGGTGATAGAAATTTGAGCACATCCAATGTACCATTGTGCGCCTCCGACAGTCTGAGCGCCATGGAGAGCAAGCATCTCGGAACGGAGCTGTAAGATAAGTTAGTTTATTGGGCTGAAATACGAAGGTCAAGTAGCTTACCAAGTATTCACCAGAAGCCATTCCCGTAGGAAGCTTGAAGGTGTAACTCATATTTCCAGCGTTCATGATATTTGAGGCCCAAGTACCATTGACTTCTACGTACTCATCAATCTTGAACCATGAACCGACACCAGTAGCCATGGATGCATCAGCAACCGGACCAAAAAGGTAATGTTGGATAGGCCCAGGATGAGTAGAAGAATCCCATTGAACTGTGATAGCATCTCCTTCATTGGCGGCGGTTGTGTTGACACCTGAAGGTATTTTGTTTCCATTGACGTTACAGGTAATGTCATTCGATGTTATGTCTACAACTGGAGAGTTGGAAGGTGGCATGCGGATGGAGACTTCATATCCTGGGGAGACCCCATTGACCCAGAATTGATGAAAGTTTTGATGAGCAGTTACTGCTGTGAGGAGGGAAGCGGCGATGATTGATTTGCAGAACATGTTGCTGATAGGATCTTGTGTAGATATATGGTAGGAATGAATGTAAAGATTGAAAAATGAATGTCGTGGATCACAGATCACAATTTGAAATGAAAGTATTTAAAAAGAAAGTTGAAAAAAAGAATGAAAAGGTTGACGAGAAAATGATAAGACTGGCTTGGATAGGAAGAACAGAGAAAAGAAAGACTATCATCATGAGAGACAACTGAAGATATAGAATGGAAGAGTCCTTGGAGGATTTAGAAATCATATCCTGGCTCGTTTCAAAGAAACGAGATCTTTGGATGGACGTTTCATTTTTCGATCTTGATTTGACCATCTTCCATGAGGGGATGTGTGAGATAAACTATATCGTAGATTCCACTCCACTTTATGATCAAATACTTGGAAAAAGCAACCGCGCTGGACAGATTCTGAAAATCCTACCATTTGGTAATGTGGTTTGATATGATGCTGTTATGTCAACTAATTTATTAATCTCTAACCTACATCGTGGGGATGCGTATTTTTTTGTTCTGGTTGGTTGTCTGCTTCCCCAATAGATTCAATCGTAGTCCCGCATTAGCATGGCTCATAATTGAATTCGTCATTTCACGAATCTCCTAAACTGCTGAAGATGTATCGATCAAATTGACGTTTTTTCGATTCCCCTTGACGAGGAGAATAAGCATGAAGTTCTATGCGCCCAAGTCCTTGCAAGGTACAGTTAACCTACGACGGGGCGCTTAAAGCTAAAAATATATACATCAAATGGTTTTCTCTTTCCCTTGAATCCATCTTCAAGTTAAGCCCACTGTGGAAATGTGGAATCTATTTAACGCGCCGGCAACTGCTGTTTCCTGATTGCATGAATGGGCAAAAGCTTGCGCCTCAAAGTTGTCCTTGGCGATGAGTAGTGACAGCATGCATGGCTTGCTTGTTGTCATGATGTAAGATTTTTATTAATTGGTAAATGTTTTTCGTATACTCCTAAGTCCATCAAAGTGTACTTGTTTCCTCATAGACAACAAAATTTCCTTTATATAAGAGGGGTATTCTCACTGTAATTCCTCATCGTTTAACTCGAAAGTATTTTTATCTCTGTCTTTTTTTTCTTCTGAAAATGAAGGGGTAAAAATTTGCAGTGAGCCGAAGCCCCCGCAACCCCTTGAGAACAACTTTAATTTCGTCCCTTTTGATCAACTTTCTCTGAAACATCTTGGCAACCCCACCAGTTTTTGTCCTTGACGCAACCAAAGTCTGGTTTTAGATATACCTACCTCTGTGTGTAGCCATCAGGAAACTACGATGAAGTATATTTCCAAGCCTGTTTTCACGATATACCATACGAACACGAATGTCTGAATCACAATAACCGATATTGGAAATATCAAGTAAACAGATCAAGATGTTCGATGGGTCATAAGTGTTATCTGAAAATGACCACGGGCCTAAATGGGTGCGGCATCTTATAGATTTCACATTGAAAGCTGCATGTTTACGAGACAAAAAATCACCGTGGCAAGCTAAGATCGCGCAAAGCTAAGGAAGTTCACATTCGGAGTCACGGGAAGATGGAAGGAATTAATCAATAAAAGAGGTCTAGGTCTGGCATATTATTACAATTATCCTGCCTTAACTCAAAGGAGCAAATGTTCCATTCACACAGTTGATCCCCAATCTCGGATTCAACGCGCTGGTAGCGTTGATACAGACCACTGTCGGATTTCCATAATCCTGGGGAAACATCTCTATATCGACCAAATTGAAGTTCTTACAAGAACTCTGCGTGTTACATTCAATGATGATAGTTCCCGTCCTTTGCAAATTGGGCAGTCCAACATCATACCAGCACGGATCCGTAACACAAGATCCATCACCTGGCTGAAAGGTATTCACTGTTCCTCTAAAGTTCTTCCAAGTGAAATCCTCCATATTCACACTTGCGTTATTAGGGCGCCCACTTATCTGCCCAGGCTCAAGCTGAGTCGCGTTATTTCCTTGGTTGTAGTACGTTTGGGTGACGAAAATCGGAAATGAAACATTATATACGCGAATATCCTCCCACGTAATGTTCTTTGCGATCCCTTGACCTCCAGCCCAACTCTTAAATCGAGCAGCATAGACAGCATCGATGACTGTCACATCACGGAAATGAATGTTCGATACATTGGCAAACGAAGCTTGATTTTGTCCAAGAGATCCTATGGATAAACCATGGGATTGATACCCAATCGTTGCTCTTTCGAAGACAACGTTATGAGATCCAGACTGCACCGCACATGCATCATCTCCATTATAGATAATTGAGTCGGAAATGTGAACATTTGTAGCTGTAACACCAAATCCATCAGTGTTGAATGGGAAACCGCCAGATTCAGAATACGAGTCAACGATGCTGTTTTTGACACGGATATTGTTTCCTAGGAGCTGCACATTCCATGCTATCGGTTTGCGAGATTTGAAATAGTTCATACCGCCATTTGTGGTATTCAGTTGAAAAAGATGTGGTCGATTGGCCAGTCCAGTTCCATTCAGAGGGTTAGCGTCCCACCATGCTTGGCCATATGAATTTATCCAACCTGTGGTAACATCTTTTGACCCCTCATACTGAATCTTAGGACCCGCAAATGCGAACCAGTATAGAGCAGTACTATATGTAAGTGCATTGGAAGCTTCTACCAGGTCTTGGATATAGGTGATATTCTGAGGGAGGTGAAGGTTGCCTTGCTGACGAATGACCACATTTGACAAGTTCTTCGCGGAGATCGGGTTGAATATGTTGTAGTCGACCCCTTTCTTGAATTCAATAATCGAGTCTGATGAGCATTTTGCAAATGCGGCAGCGACAGCTGGTGAGTCGTCGGCTGTTCCGTTTGAGGATTTGTATTTTGACGGGATTGTGCAGGTTTTGGTTTGTCCTTGACCGTTGCCATTGCCGGCATGAGATAGGCCAACCAATGCAGATATTACGACGATGAATCCCAACAACATGATGCCACCTTTGGAAGCGAGAATGGGAAGACTAACGAGTCCCTAGGAATGAATTTCGCAGACACATTTTTCTATAACCTAGGGCAGATGCATTTTATAACCTTTTGAGAGATATTCCACCCCGGGGTATCTTTTGCTTGTCCAGGGCTTGAGAAGTTGTCCAAATATTGAATGCGGGGTAAGATCATTGACAAACGGAATTTGTTGCTCCATGCTGCGTTTGAAATATTCCTCTAGCAGGCGCAGAATCGATCACATCAGGGGAACTTCTAAGTTGTCAGCGTTGTAAATATCTGGTCGTTCACCCTCTTATGCATGCCAAGCTAGCATCACATGCAGTTGTATGTAGCTCCCCGCATCTGACAGTAGAAAACTTGGGGTAATGTTGCGAACCATTAACCTTATTGGTGGGATTTTTCTTTCCGAATGGTGTTTGAAGTTGGTTGTACAGGACTTTGAGGTAACACGAGAAGTAAATAGATGTTGTCACGGCTCAATATGCATACCCCAGACTGATAAAACCCGTATGCTCTTTGAGGCGAGATTACCCACTGTATATGTTGCAACAACCATTAGAACATCATGCCCTTTAATCATGTAGGTTGAATTACTTTCGACGCCACCTATAATTGACCAAAATAAAGATGTCCCAAAGTTATGGCCTTGATCAACTCAAAAATTACTCCAAGTCTTCTTTGGATTTGGATCATTTAGGTCTGATTCCTCAACAGAAAAATGAATCGTCTTGATAATTGTCATCGACTCCAAATTGTCATCTATGTTTTTGTCAAATATTCCTATTTGACTACTGGTCAAGCTGTCGGTACTCGCGGCGCCTGTAACTTGTATTTCGCATTGCACCAGCCCGTTGTCGGGACGTAACTTCAGGTTGTCTAGTCCATGTCCTTCGTAGGATTTGTTACCGTCTTTCGCATTTTGGCCTCGCAATATCTGGCTGGAACCCAAGGTTCGAAGGTAAGGATATTGAGCTGCGTGGGTCGATTTTTTAGTCGCAAAATTCAAGAAACTGGGGATGAGTAGATGGATGAGAGGCAGAAGATCTGGGACGCATCCAATAACTAATGCAAGGCCCGTCTCAATTTGAGATACTGCGCTGTTAACGTTCAATCCTGGGTCAGAAACATTGGGGTGAAATGCACGATAAGTGAATTGAAGACGACAGATACCGACAGCAGTGACTCTAACAAAGCAAATATTAGTTGGTGCTCATAAAGAAACACAAAAGGCACGATGATTACATACCCCAAGCCCATGCATAAAATGAAAATTGCAGCAATCTTTTTTGGTGGACTAACTTTCATATCCTTTACCATGTAGATTGGTATGCATAGAACTAAAAAGTCCGTAAAAATAGTAAGACCGGCAGTAATCATGGTGAAATTGATACTATTGATGCAGCTCCCACCAGTCACATATTTCCCATCTTTGAATCCGGATGTTACAGGCCCATAAGGCCCAATCCCCGGGTCTGTCGCATTTTCTTTGATCTGAGCCGCCAAATCCATCTCCATCGAGTAGAAGTTATACGAAAAAGGTACACATTGAAACATATCGACAAAAAAGATAGCGATCATGAGGGCAAAATTGATGAATAAGAGCGCATATGAGGCGTATCGAACTGAATGCCTCAACCCCCCAAGGCGAAGGTAGAGGAGAATCATGGAGGCCTTGACGAAGCCGAGGATCGGATTATAGCAAAGGGAATCGAACATTGCCCATTTCATTTTAGTCGGCATATCAATCGTAAATTGGACCAGATCTGATGTTTTGTAGCCAAATTTTGCGTACGATGTAACTGGTACTTATGTTAGCCTAGCTTTGAACTGGCCCGTGGAGTAGATAGAGCTGACTGTGCTCTTCCACAACTTCATGGAAAACATGTCTATGGAACGAAGTTTTCGTCTATGTAGAAAAAAATGGCAAATATAGAAATTTCTTAAACAATCGAAACTCTTTGAAAAGAGGCACTCACGTCCGTATATAGCAACAGTTTCCACAACTGAAAAGGTCTGCATCCGCCTCAGCATTCATCCCGGGAAACAAGCCTGACCTTTCACATAGCTTACCCAAGCAATAATCATAAAGATATCACCTACAATGTTTTAGCAATCAAGGAAGCTGATAGAATTTCAGACGACTCACTCCACATAATCAGTCCCTTCCATCGTGGTTTAGATACTATCCTCGATGCTAGGCGCCCAAAGCAGAATATCGAGCCGATAACTTCAAAAGTGATGATAATAATCAAACACGCGGTGTTCAATTGCTTGACCATTTTCAGAGACGACGGTGACACCTTTCAAAAAGGCACTTTACCAGGCTTAGGTGTTCATCAAGCTTTCAATGTGTTTGAGAAGTAGAGGCGATGATTGATGTTGTGTACGGTTGTCTGAATGTAGCTCACATATTCGCTCCTTCGCAACTAGTTCATCTTAACCCATCCGGGTTTCTTCAAAACAATATCCTTCGTTTTTAGGCATCAAACAACACTGATGTTCTTACTTTCTAGTTCCTAGAGGATGTGTCTGAGACGGTCGATGCTATCAGGGGTGTGTGTCGGGGAAGTGGGATATGCAGTTCAAACCCCTTGACGTCTGACACAAGCTCCACAGGAGGAGAGCGGCGATTCCACCAAAAAGCTTGTCAATTAGAGAGAGTAAATTAGGCAGAATTCAACTGAAAAGGTACATAACAACAATTCTTTTGCCTGAGTCAGTACAAAGTAGTAACTCTCATGCATAATTGACATAACCATGTATGTACCTAGGGTTTGAATCCGAGGCTCTTAACCAGATGATTTGTAGTTCGTGAGATAAGGCAATTGAGTTTGCATATGCATCAACCAAAGATGACGGGGATAATTGAGAGAAGGAGATGGCCCAACTTGGGCGGAATGGTTAGTTTGGTGACAGGCATAATTGGAGATCAAGAACAATTAGTTGAGGGATAGGATCTGCCTTGGAGGCGCTGACCAATGGATTAGTAAGTCTTATTATTCCCGTGCTAATCCTACAGCCCAGACGAAATTCTGTTTAGCGGTTCTGTAGCTGGTCCAAAACGATCTCATAGACTCATACAGAAGCTGATTGCGTTTACTTTTTCTTTCGCTCTTTTCGCCGCATTCTCCCTTTTTTCCCCTTTTTTTCTTTGTTCCGATATCAATAGAAAGTTCCAAGCCCCAACTGAACGGTCCGTGAATGCCACGTTACTGCTGCTGAAATCTGAAGCCCGTAAGCCTATGTACGCCTCTACAGGGCAGTTAAACATAGGAATGTCCTTGAAAAGAGGAAGTCTGACAGAATATCTTTTAATTGGGCTTAGCCGTTCAGTTGGCTGGTGAACCGGGACTATGGCGGTGTATAGCCGTCTCCAGAGTCCAGACATCTGAATGCATCTAAGAACATTCGTCAAAAGCTAGTGACTGTTGATGCCGCAATTGGGGCAATAAAATCCACCTTGAAGACAAAGTCACCAAACTAAGAACCTCCACCAGCCGGGTTTTGGGATAGTAGGTTCGAGCTGATGAACTAAAATTCGTGAACCATGCAGAGAGCGTTGAACTTGGCCAGCCAGGAAGCCCAAGACTAGTAAGACTTACATCCACAGTGCCGTGGTCCGGTCCCCCTGAATTGTTTTCGAGGGATTGGGTCCGCTGCTTGGCGCGAAATCAGAATGGGAGATAAGCTAAAATTGACATCTTAGAAGAGCTCAGGGTATTGTGTAGTGCTCCTACTTCGTACGCAGAAAAGGTTATTACGGAGTAGCAGCAGTTTTGCGCGTGCTAGGAGGGAATCCGGAAAAGATTTCAACAAATCGCAATTCAATAACGATCAGATCATTAACCGGCCAGCGCCCCTGACTCTAAAGAGACAAAGCAAGTCTAAAATTCTAAATGATTGTTACATCAAATTGACTGATCAAGCTAGGTGAGTATCCAAAGATATCCAAAGAAGAATAGATGAACGGAATGGCGTCGTATTTGAAGCATTTGATGATACTTCAATCCCCTCTACAGGATTGGGAGCCAAGTCAATTGCTTATATGCTTATTTTTGAAGCATCTACTCGATATCCTGGGTCCAAATACATACCTGTTGGCTCTTTTCAGCTCCATCTTTCAGCGCCCTCTTTATTATTTTTACGTCTTTCACGTACACTCCTTTTTTAGGATCGAAATGAAACAACAAACAATCGAGACCAAATAGTAGGCTTATGACTATCCTCTTCTACGATATCGATGGGAAGAAATATTGGGAAGAAATATTCCCAACATGAGCGGACATATATCCGTCTCCAGGTTTCGACTCTACGAACTTTAAGGTGTTCACGGCTATCATACCGAATAAATACCTCTAGCTCCGCATATCCATGTTCGTTGATCGCTCCCTCCCCGCTTCCTCCATTAATGTAAGCATCATCGACGAGCAAACATTGTCTCTCATCTATGACTGCAATGTATTCGCAAGAATTCTTTACTTTTCTGAAATCCATTGATTATTTTCAACGTTTCTTTCCAGACTATGATGCGTCCTATCTCGACTTAGTCTTTACCATTACCAGCGATGGAACGACTATTACTCCACACATATCACACATATGGTGATAACCCACATATGCATTGTTATACTATCTAAACTCTATATCGAATTTAGTCCTTACTATCAAAATGATAAGTGGATACCGAGAAATCGGAGGTCTTTTCTTTTGCTTCATCGCTTAATTCGTAGTCTTCATTCAAGACACCTCCATCCTCGATTGTCATATCTGATTATTAGAGGAGTTGAGGTTCAGATTTAGTCTTGTCTTCTTTACTAAACCTTTTTTTCTTCTCTAAATGCTCTGCTCTTTGCTGGTACAAGTGCCTAGATACAAATAATGGTGCTTCTTCAGCAGCAACTTCCGCAGCGACCTCATCGGTAGCTCCTTTGAGCCTAATCACAGCGGCTGCATCCATAATGACACCTAGTGGACCGATCAATTGCAAAATTTCAAATCTTGCACAACTCAATTCTCAATGCAAGCGCTGTTACATTTGGAATGCTTCTCTGCAGACGCACCAACCATCGCCGCCTTACGATCCGCAAATAAACTCATCTTGGCCTGTGGATGATATTTGGAAAATGCTGAATGATCTACTTCCTAGCGCATCGAGCTCTTACAGTAACTAGAACTATGTGACTTTACCACAATTCCAAATTGTTCAGAAATATGGAAGCCTCAAGTTGCTGGCCAGGGGACGTCACTGTTCAATGTTCGAGTCTCCACTTAACAATGGATAGCTTCTTAGGTTGAAATGCCTATCATTGAGGGAGTCAATCGTTTAATTGATGTAATGCTAACTATGCTAGTAACGCACATATTTGTGCCTTCGTTACAGACAACTGGACTAACTCTACCATGCACGAAGCGGACTTTACTTCCATGATGTCCCTAAGGTCTAACATGTATGCCTACCACCAACCCAATAGCAACTTGTATACTTGGCATTTATCCAGCTTACGCAGTCAATACCACATATTGTCGCACAAACACAAGTCGTCGTCAATTTTGCAGGAGATACTTGGATTAGATTCGTTGTCCAGAACACGGGACATGAGTTCTTTACTAAATCTGGTGGAGCAGGTGCATTGCGTATTTCGTCCATTTATTGCAGGATATCATTATGAGGATGCCGAATTTACCAATACGGACTTTCCTTATACTGGACCTACTTCTACCTCTGAAACTGGTGTGGTGGTACAGATATCATGAAGGCGACTAGTGAAGAGGGACTGGTTGTTGTCGGTGGTGAAGGCAAGTATGTCGGAGTCCTTGAAGGATACATTCAAGGTAGATGACATGGGTCTATGACTTCTGTGTACGGGCTGGTTGAAGATCAGGTAATTTTTGCTCGTATCGTTACAGCTGATGGTAGATTTGTTGCCCTTTCCTCAACTGAAAATGGCGATTTTTCTGAGCTTTGGGCGGACGCGATTATTGAGTATCAAGCATGCAACTGCCCCTTGGTCGTTGTTCTAGACTAAAACCAGACTAGAAAGAGTGAGGTCGCAATTACTGATGTGGTTGGTAATGATGCTATTCCCAACGAGAATAGAAACAGGCGCAGTTCCACGTGAAGAGAATGACTTTTCCCGTTAGAAAGATGGGACTTGGACTTCTACTCATTTTAATTCCATCTTTAAGGACCCCGGGAATCGAACAAGATGTTAGAGCATGCGGAAACATAAATAATATTACTGGATGCGGGCAATGTAAGTGCGTTGTAACATCAGCCATCCCCATCTTAATTATACTTTCCATCCATCCCAAATCTCGAATTTCACGGCCTTAGTAGCTTCCACATCATACTTCTCAAATGCAAAGTTCTTATGGGAAAAGCTCAAATAGTAGACAGTGAATATCACATCACAGCTACCAGGATGTTATTCACCTTCTCAGCTCGCTTTAGTTTGAGATGGAGAGATGTACGAACCAATTAGGGCGCGTTCGGATCGATTTTTTTTTTTTCACATTTGACCACATTTGGACCAATATATTAGGCCTAATATGGTGGAACCGAATATAATATTTTAGAAGATATATATTAAGCTGAATAATCAATTTTATTGGATATAATATTGAGCTTAGTAAAAAATATTGGGTCAAATATATATTTAATCAAATATTTGAACTTTTTCTTATATAATGATTAATAATAGCTTTTTAGTATTGTTGAAATTTTTTTCGATATCTCAAACTCTCTGTTACGTGACGGTTGTTACCCACTAGTGGCTCACGTGCACTAGCCCTGTATATAAAGACCTTCTTACTTAGAATCTTCTTAGTTCTTTAGTTTTAGATTCTAAGTGATTGAATTGACTCCGTTTACGACTTTTCCGTCACACTCTCTTTGCTACTTTTTTCAATATTCCTTAAATATATTAGCTTTACTCAAATGTACCCAAATATATATTAGATCCGATATTTTTATTACACTTAATATTTCTAATATTTCAGAAAATCGATCCGAACGCACCCTCAGTCCAGCTCACTGTTTATTTTCAAATGACTGCCCACAATCGAAAACCCCATTCACAAAATAAAATAAGACTTTAATAGAGATATCATATCCCGTGGCATCGCAACTAAACTTTTCCCAACAGATTTCGCAAAGAAAATAATCAACATCTCAAATCGACATTCTGAGAACTAAAGCCCAGTCTCAGAACCGCCTAATCGCAGCCTAAGCAAGAGGGAACTCAGACTTGCTTCTTTCGGTCCTCGAATTTCAAGTAGAAGGCTGTGTACAAATCGATTTATCATCAGCGAGCCTACAAGCTACGCTACGAAACCATCTTTTATTTTCAAAATCGTACTAATCCTTCGTGACCAATCCCCAAGTCGTTCACTAGGATACAGTCAGTATGTATACTGTGCAATGAATGAGTATTGTCAGATCGCTACTTTAAATCACCACTCTTCTTTTTCATTTCCCATTCATACGCACCTGGCCAGCTATCGATATATGAGAAACTCGAATCTCCAAGTATCTAAATCTACATCACCCATCCTTAGAAAATTAGCCCAGAAACGTCATGGATCGAAAGTAATCCACAAGTTATCAACCTACTTCTTTCTCAACTCAGTCTCGCCATAGCTAGCCAACCAATTCAAGGATAGATAATGAAACATTGTTCCGGGAATCCTTCATCTCGATGTCCCGGCGCGATTTTGAGATTGCTCACTTTCCGAATCTTGAAATGTATCCTAGATGTGAGAACCTGCTAGCGTGTGAGGTTTATTAGCCCACGATGATCATGTGCTGCTGGACTAGTTCGAATGCTGCAAATTTGGGAATTGCCAAGTATTAAGTTCTTGCACAGGACTTCTCTATACACACAGAAGATAGTTTTTCACCCTGTATTACACACAATTTTCCATCCGAACGTGCTGTCGTCAATCTGGTTTCAACACACTAAAGAGCATTGGTCCACTAAAACGTCTGAACTTTAGAGCACATGGATCGGATAGAATAATTCACAAGGGGTCATCGTCTAATGTAGGCTTCGCCAAGCAATATTTGTTTCCCAAACGAAGAAGTAATGATCTAATGCGAGGTAATATCATAGCAATGCATCGACGGCAGTTCATTATCACAAACAATTAATGGATTGGCAATGTGCAGTTGCAATGTATTTTATTCTTTCTCCACCCTTAGCCTCAATATTTTAGCCCCACTTGAAACGCCATGTAAACTCCATAGATTGAGATATCCACCCAAATGAGCAGATTCCATACTCATGCTCCTCATAAACCATAATCTAAGAACATCATGCGTAAAGCTTCTTCTCGTAACTCTCCATGTTCACACCACCCTCGAGTTGAGCACTTGCGGTTCTCAATTCGAAACGTGTAGTACCGTTCTCAACAGCCTCGTGGAGAGCTTTAAGACTCATTTGTCCGCAATCTTGGAGGGAGTGTTTCAAACCCGCAGCAAGATATGGAACAAACTTGGTGACGGAACTATGAGAAGTTAGCATTAGGAACTTAATTATGTTAGTGGACATCATACCCTCTGTGAGCGACGGCACCAGATACACCCTGAGCGACGAGAACACTATCTCCCTCGGAGAAATATCTGGCAGTTCCAGCGTTGCTCTTTTGGCTGTCCTTGGCACCAGAACCAGCCTTCTTGTCTTGCATAGCATCAATGGAACCCATGCCACGGTATGCTTTAACGAGTTTACCCTCACGGCTGACGAATGAAGTACCTGGAGATTCAGTAGTACCGGCTAATAGACCACCCATCATGATAGTGGTAGCACCAAGAGCAAGACCCTTGACAATGTGACCAACATTTTGAATACCACCATCAGCCATACATGGGACGCCAAAGCGAGCAGCGAATGAGGCGACATTGTAAACAGCAGCAGCTTGTGGTCTACCAACAGCCATAACTTCTTGAGTGATACACGCACTTCCACTACCCATCCCAATTCTCAAACCATCAACACCCGCGGCGATCAATGAAGCAGCTTGCTCACGGGTAACAACGTTACCTCCAATGACGTCAAGATCAGGGTATTTCTCCTTGATATACTTGACCATTTCAATTTGATACATGCTGTTACCTTGACTGCTGTCAAGGATAACAATGTCCAATTGAGCGTCGACCAACTTTTGAAGACGAATTTTATCTTCAGGTCTTGTGCCGATTGCAGCAGCGCAAATCAATTGCTTCGAATCTGGAAGTTTGGAGGCCAATGGGTAATGAATGTTTTTGTTCAAATCGGATCGGGAGATCATAGAAACAAGGTTTCCGTTCTTGTCAACGATTGGAAGCTTTCCCTTCTTGGACTTTGCAAGGATTGCGTTCGCCTCAACCAATTCAGTACCATATGAAGCAGTGACCAAGTCGGTAACCATGACACTTGCGACGGTGGCGCTGTCATCATCTTCGAATTGAATATCTCTGTTTGTAACGATACCGACGAGTTTGGAGCCCAGCTTTCCAGTTTCTGTTTCGCAGACATGTTAGCGGCTGAAACTGATGAATTGAATTTGTGAATGATGAATATAGAACACCAAAAGTCATAAAGAATAATTGTCTCCCCACGACCTTGCGGTCAATACGGATGAACGAAAGTTATTTGAATTATGTTTTAATAATCATGTAAAGGTGCAAAAAGAGGGAAAATAGAAAGGAGTACGAACCTGTGACTGGGTATCCTCCAAAACCCCACTTCTCCTTGAGAGCTTTAACTTCAGCAACAGTGGCCTGTGGGCTAAGTACGACTGGATCGAGGATGAAGCCGTTTTCATATCTCTTGACCTTCTGAACCATCTCAGCTTGCTCATCAGCAGAGCAATTGTGGTGGATGACACCAAGACCACCTTGTAAAGCCATGTGAATGGCCATATCATGCTCGGTGACGGTGTCCATAGGGGAAGAAACGAAAGGGGTCTTGAGGGTGATACGTTTGGTAACTGGAGAATCAAGAACGACTTCAGAGGCAGCAAATCCAATGTAACCTGGGAGAACCAAGAAATCATTGTAGGTCAAACCACCATGTTTCTTGGAATCGATCAAGTCATTGATGCTAAGACCATCACGAGATTCATATTCCTTAAGGATCTCGAGAGCCTTGGTGGCATCGAGAATATCCTTAGTTGGGGCCAAGAAGTCCGAGGCAGTTGGCTTAGACTCTCCGTTTGCTTGAGGAGACATCTTGGGAAAAGAAGTATGTGATAGAGATGCGGGGAAGATGGAGGGGAATGAGATGCGATCAGGAGGAGAAGTCAGAGAAATGAGAAAAAGTATAACAAAGAGATAGTCAACCTTTGAAGTACGAAGATATAAAAATTCTGAATAGCTTCTGAATAAAATGTACAGTCGACGGGTTGAAGTTTCCTTCTCCCAAGAAAAAAAAGGAAGAGAAAAAAAGAGGGGAGAAAAAATGGTTATGAACATAGCAGATAAAATTTACTGATGGATTGATGAACTAGACCAATAATGGCTTTAGCTTCTGTCGATAAGACTTAGTCACGTGAAGATATGGTTCAAGTCGCTTCGGGGAAATGATTTTTATTTTCACCGATCCTCCCCTCCCATGCCATAAGCAGACTGAGCTTCAAGATTTATTACTGGGTTCTGCTGTCCGGGTTCTGCTGCCCTACCTAGTATGGCCATACCTAGTACGGACCCCTACCTGGTATGATGAATTTTCACAGACCGGCGGTTATTTCATCACAGAGTGCTAGGATTTACTCTGTGCGTCCAGCGCCATGACACAGCCAGCCTCCCTTTCATTGGGTGATACATAATATACTCTCTGTGTTGTCGCCCATTTGTATTGCCGGAGCAACGAACGTCTAGGTATCAAGTCTCGTACCTAGCTAATCACACTACAGCGTATACCTATGCAAACAAGAAGTAATTTTGGTTCATGAAGTATCTCCACTGCTATGGTACTACCACATATGCCCACACTGTAATGTTACTGACTGCACCTGTGACTGTGCGGAGTATTTTCACTGTCCCTCATCCATTTGTTTCCACTTACCGGTACCTACCACTTACCTCGAGGCTCGACCTAAGATTACAATCAACAAATGTAACTCTACCTCTTTTATTCAACCCCTCACTTCATCCATCTCTCTATCTTCACTCTTCTGCATGCATCTAGGTAGACTAGGTACTGGTCTAGGTATCTATCTACCTTCATCCCTCTTTCCTAAATCTAAACATCTTTCGAATGTGTCTGCCTCAAAACTTTAAGGCTCTCATCAATCATAGCACATCCACCAGCTTCATCCCTCACTTCACCTCTATCAATCGATAACGATACTACATATACCCCAACTACGCCTACCTCCGCGCTCCACACATAAACATAAACATAAACAATCCCTCCAGTCAGGTACACATGCCCTCCCTCCCTTTGGACCTATCTCATCCGTTACATTATATTAAATTCATCACTTCGATACCTATTACTTTGATACCACTTTTTCTCCCAGCCACTTCCAGCTGGACGCTTGAATATAATCTTGATATCGGATGCTGCTGGCTTGAAGGGAAAAAAAAACACTTCCACATTCCTCAACCTTTAATAGACATAGGAACTAATTCGGATTACGATCTATCATTTTGATTTTAACATTCATAGGTAGAAAGTAGTCGACATCTTTTTGTTCTCTTCTCTTCATCGCGCCGGACGCTTTTTGGTTGACTGGGAAGGGGTGTAAACAATAAACTTTGGACACAAAAAGAAGACTTACCTCACCGTCACCGAAATCGATCACATTCGATAACAACAAGGTCATTTTCAACCACTACCACCACCATTTTCCCTACAACTCTTGAAACCTACCCACAGCAGTCCGCCGAGGGAATCTAGGATACCGCATGCGAAATACACTTGAAAATATCTTGTGAATGATCGGTGACTCGGAAAACATTCTGCGCCTACCTTTCCTCTCCCTTTTGGTGCGCCTCCAATCAATACTTTTCGTCTCATTGCCGTGATGTCGTACCGTCATTTATTACGACAAACACAATCTGACTCTACCACTACCGCTAATCCCAATACGACGAAAAGGGCACCCTCAAACGCGTCGACCGCATCCAGTGCTTATTCCAATTCTTCTAGCGTCTATGAATTAAGTCGCACAAGTACACTTTCATCAACGACGTCGAGTGGATACGGAAGTCACAGGAAAGGATTGAGTGAAGCTACCGGAATGTATACTTCTTCAGAGAATCGTAGTGGGAAGGGGAGTATCGAATCGAGTCCAGATAGCGCATACAAGAATGTTAGAAAATCTTTGCGACCACTTGCTCAACCTCCAGGTCAAACTTCACCAGAACGAGACAAAACTCCAGTTCAACACAATCGCGGGAAAAGTGTCGATATGATCAGGAATAACTTTCAACCACACTCTAGGACGCAAAGTGTAGACGTGCAGAAGGCTCCCATTAAACAACACAACCGCGGAAAGAGCATCGATGTATCCAAATTGACTTTGTTTGAGTCTCCTCTCCAGTCACCAATCAGCCCAGCAATAAGTCCAACACGCAGTCCGACGCGCCGCCCACCTGTAGTTCGACCCAATTCTATGTTATTGAGCCGTTCCGACTCGATCAGTATCGGAGGGGGAGCCCTCTCCAAGCTTGGTCCACTACATCCACACACACCTCTCACACGACCTGAGCTACAGAGTTTCGAACGATCATCAACGAGTCAACTTCGAACCCTCTCGAAATTTGCGCAGACTGCAACTCCTGATGATTTTACCATTACGTCGCCAGAACAAGAGGTAGCTGGGCTTCATGGACGACGTAGACTGCAGCGTAGCGCCATCTCAAAGGACAAAAATGGTACATTGAGTAAACCTACGGGAGGATATGGTTGGGAGGGACGAAATTGGATGGACAAGCAGCGACAATTTTTACAGGCTTATGAGTATCTTTGTCATATTGGAGAAGCAAAGGAGTGGATTGAAGATATCCTGAAACGAGAAATTCCCCCGACTGTGCAACTAGAACAAACTTTGAGAGACGGTGTGACATTAGCAGAAGTAGTGGAAGCATTGTATCCAGAGCGGCGCATACGAATTTTCCGGAATCCCAAACTACAAGCTCGCCATTGGGACAACATTGCTCAATTCTTCCGATTTCTCGACGAGGTGCAGCTTCCTGAGCTTTTCCGATTCGAACTCATCGATTTGTACGAGAAGAAGAACATCCCCAAAGTCATATATTGTATTCACGCTCTCAGTTGGCTATTGTTCAGGAAAGGTATCGTGGACTTCCGAATCGGAAATCTCGTTGGACAGCTGGAATTTGAAGATCACGAATTGGAAGAAATGCAAAAGGGTTTGGATAAAGCAGGAATCAGCATGCCAAGTTTTGGAAACATGGGAGCGGATTTTGGAGTCCCTGAACCAGAACCAGAACCCGAACCAGTCGAAACCGAGGACGAACGGATCGATCGAGAACTTGGCGAAAACGAGGCTATCATAGTGGAACTACAGGCACAAGTACGCGGAGCTTGTATGCGAATGCACCTAGGAAGGACAATGCAGGTGCTTTGGGATACCGAAGATTGGCTCATCGACCTTCAATCGATGATTCGCGGAGATTTTACGCGGCAGGTGGTGGAGTATCGTTTGAATATGAAAAGATTTGCAGAGAACTTACAACGCCATGCACGTGGATTTCTGGTTAGAAAAAGACAATCAAGTCAGGAGACCTTCTGGAAAAGCCACGAAGAAGACGTTCAGAAGATCCAAAGCCTGTTCAGGGCCAAGAAAGTTGGACAACAAGTCCGAGACGAGGTAGGCATGATGCGGTCCGCTTTGCAGCAGTCAGAATTTGTTGTCAAAGATTTCCAGTCCAGCATTCGTGGCTTTCTTGCTCGAAAACTCCTGGTGGCTCAACAGAAGGAAACCGAATCTGTAACTGTGTCAACCCCAGTATTGAACCTGCAAGCTGCAGTGAGAGGTATGCTTGTGAGAAAGAAAATGATGGAGCAAGGAGAAGAGATATCATCCATCACCGTATCAGCTCCAGTGTCGGACCTGCAAGCTGCAGTAAGGGGCATGCTTGTGAGAAAGAAAATGATGAAGCAAGGAGAAGAGATATCATCCATCACTGCCTCAGCCCCATTGTCAGACCTGCAAGCTGCAGTGAAGGGCATGCTTGTGAGAAAGAAGATGGTAGCTCAAGAGAACGAAACATCATCTGTAGCTGTTTCAACTCCCGTATTAAACTTGCAGGCTGCGATGAGGGGAATGCTTCTCAGGAAGAACATTGCAGAAGACCAGGAAGACCTTTATCGCGAAGAATCTTCGATCACAGCGATTCAAGGGTTTGCCAGGGCCTTACTGACAAGAAACCAGATTTTTGAACAACAAGAGGCATTGCATGCATGCACACCCATCTGGGAAAAACTCCAGGCGATTGCGAGGGCAGGTTCGCTAAGGAATGAGGTATTTGATACACAAGAAGCTTTGAAAAGCCACTCTGGAAGCATATCAAAACTTCAAGCTTTCCTTCGTGCTGGGGCTGTTCGCCGCGAAGTCACCGAGACTCTGTCTGGCTTGGACGAAGAGGAACCATTAATACTAGAACTTCAAAGTTTAATTCGTGGCATGCTTCTTCGGCGCTCGGTTGAGGATGATTTTGACGCTCTCATTGCAGAAGTTTCGGCAATTACGGATCTTCAATCCATGGTAAGAGCTGGCATGGTAAGACAAAAGACCGAAATGATTTTGGATGATCTTCAGGCAAACGAGGAAGAAATTATACAACTGCAAGCATTGTCCCGTGCTGTGCTACTTCGCAATGATATCGAGGGAGTGCTGGGAGAATTGGAGTCGGAAGAAGATGATATCGTCGCGATACAATCAGCGGCTAAAGCTTCTTTAGTTCGAGCTGCATTTTTAGAGAAACAGCGCTTCTTCAAGGAGAATATGGAAAAGGTCGTCAAAATTCAAAGCTTCGTCCGTGGCCGCTTACAAGGAGAGGCTTACAAGAGCTTGACAACTGGCAAGAACCCGCCAGTCAACACGGTCAAGAACTTCGTCCATCTCCTTAATGATAGCGACTTTGACTTCAATGAAGAGATTGAATTCGAGCGAATGCGAAAGACCGTCGTACAGCAAGTTCGACAAAATGAGATGGCAGAGCAGTACATTGATCAGCTAGATATCAAAATTGCACTTTTGGTCAAGAACAAAATTACTCTAGATGAAGTTGTCAAGCATCAGCGAAATTTTGGAGGACACTCAGGAAACCTCCTCGTTAATACCTCCATGGCATCGGGGAATCAATTTGACTTGAAAGCGCTCAACAAAAATTCGAGGAAGAAGCTCGAGTTGTACCAACAGCTCTTCTTTAACTTACAGACTCAACCTCAGTACCTTGCCAGGCTCTTCCAAAGAATTCGTGAACAGGGCACTGCCGAGAAAGATTGCAAACGGATCGAGACCTTGATGATGGGGTTGTTTGGATATGCCCAAAAACGCCGTGAAGAGTACTATCTGCTCAAACTAATTGCTCGTTCTGCTAGAGAGGAGATTGAGCACTTCGCCTCGCTTCAAGACTTTCTCCGCGGCAATTTCTTTTGGACAAAACTTCTGGCCAACTACACTCGTTCCCCTCGTGACAGAAAGTTCCTTCGCGATTTGCTAGGCCCTCTTATCATGGAAAATATCATTGAGGATCCCGCACTCGACCTTGAAAGTGATCCAATGCAAATCTACCGCTCCGCAATCAACAACGAAGAGCTCCGAACTGGTAGACCAAGTCAAAGAGCACTGGAAATTCCTCGAGACCAGGCAATCAAAGATCCCGAAACACGAGACATGTTTATTGATCATCTCCGAGACTTGAGAGAAATTTCAGATCTTTTCATGCTTGCCTTGGAAAGTCTCCTCCACAGAATGCCTTACGGTGTTCGCTTCATCTGCCAGCAAATCTTTGACGGCCTTTGTCAACAATTCCCTCGCGAATCCCAACGAAATCTCTTACAGCTTGTTGGTAACTGGCTTTTCAGGTTTTACTTGTATCCAGCGTTGACCACTCCTGAGTCCATGGGCGTAGTGGAAAGACAGCTTACTCCGCTGCAGAAGCGTAATCTAGGCGAGGTTGCCAAAGTTCTGGGCCAGATCTCCACCGGACGTTTGTTTGGTGGTGAGAACATGTTTTTACAGCCATTGAATGCCTACGTCACTGATGCCATTGAGCGAATCACCGATATCTTTTCAAACATAATCTCGGTCCAGGATGCGGAAAGCACATTCGATATCGATGAGTTCAATGATCTCTACGCTCGTACAAAACCAACTCTTTACATCAAGATGGCCGATATATTCGCCATTCACAATCTCATATGCGACGACCTTCCACAAATCTGCCCAAACCGCGATGATGTGCTTCGAGAAATCATCCAAGAACTTGGCAGTGCAAAGAGCAATGAGTCTGAGATGTTAGGTGTTTCCTCAGCCGAAATTCAGATGACTTTGACCCCTAAACTCCATGACATGGAAGACCCCGAAGCTGAAGTAAAAGCACTTTTTATGGAGACCAAGCGCTGCATCCTGTACATAATCCGCGTTCAATCTGGACCGAACCTCATGGAAATTTTGGTACGACCGATCTCACCAGAAGATGACCAAAAGTGGCACGATTTACTCCGAGAAGAGTTCTCAGCAGACAGCAAGACTCGCGGCGCATACTCTGATGCCAATACTTTAACGGATATTAAATCTATGTCATATTGGGAACTGAAGCGGACGGCTCTGGAGAACATCATGAGGCTCGAACAACTTGGTAGAATCTCAAGACAAAATTACTACCAGGACATTCTAAATGCTATTGCTGTTGACATACGTACCAAGAGCAGACGTCGTGTTCAGAGACAGAGAGAACTAGAAGGTGTTAGGATGACCTTGGGAAATTTGGGCGAGAAAGCGGAGTGGCTGGAGTCTCAAAGAAAGAGTTACGACAATTATATCGAACAGGCTATGATGACTTTGCAGAAAAAGGGGTATGATTTTTCGAACTACGTAAATGATGTAATGCTAATGATTTGATTCAACAGGAAAAAGCGTTTCCTTATGCCTTTCTCCCAAACAGTACAACCACGAAAAGGAGCTGGAGCGCACTGGTCGCACATACAAGTTCGGCTCTTTCAAGTACTCGGCTAGAACTCTGTCGGACAAAGGCGTATTGGTCGCTTGGAAAGGGTATCCTGAACGTGAATGGGATAAGATCAATCTCACAATTTCATGTGATCAAGTCGGTGTTTTTTCCATTGAAGGTAGCAAAGGGAGCATTGTCATTACTGGTGCTGTGGCTCAAGTTCCGATGGACTCCTTGCTGGCCGCGCAATTTGCAAATCATCAGTACATGGATATGTTTGAAGGTGCGATGAGATTGAACGTTAATCTATTTTTGCATTTGTTGTACAGAAAGTTCTATAGAACTGAGTGATGAGGAAGGTCGATAGCTTGACCAGTGTCGCAGGAGAAGAAGTCATTTGAACAATGGGTGTGAGGGAGGGATGATAGATGAGCATCCTATTCCAGTAGGAAAAATTCTCTAATTTTAGGCGCAAGTTCGATTTTATGGCATGGAATCGGCGTCGCATCAAGGTGGTGAACTGGAGACTTGGAAAGTCCCAAGGTTGGCCTGGGTTGGCATTATGGGTCTAGGTATTGTGTATGTACATATTCATTTTATTTTAGAGGTGCGTGGGATGAAGAGAAAGATGACTGCTATGAATGAATATTGATTGTTAGGGATATCATGAGACCATATAAATATGAATATTATTCTACTACCGACTGGTAAATGATACTCGTGATTTAGCACGGTCAGCTCAGTCCCAACATACACAAAAGTGACGGGTCAATGTGGAAAGAGCTTTCATACGCCAAATGAATATTGCCAGGTTGCAACTTCTTTGGGCAACTATCTACAATAAAATGTCATTTCCTGCAGGGAAGGAGCCGACCTTGGAATTTGCCCCATTTTCATACCCAGAAAGATGTCTCTTTCCAAACAATTCAGCCTTCTCTTTGGGTAATTTAGGTGGTCTCATCGTTGAAAAATGAATTGTTCCTGGGCCAACAAGTGCACAGTATCATATTGATCCTCTCCCAGCTGTTAGATTCTACTCAAGGGTAATCACAATTACTTTTAAAGACAATTGGATGTTCCACTTTTCCTCGATTTTATTTTTGTTTCTAGATCTTTTGCTAGCGCGTTGCATTGTATCCGGTCATTTTGCAACACCAAATAATCAACCTTCAACCACAGAACCTGTACTCAATGAAGCTCAAGCTAATCCTCTTTCCTTCTCTACTTCTAAATATCCACCGAGCCAACTGCGTACGACTTCGCGATGATCCCACGACAAGCGCACCAGCAGCAGTCCTTCAGCAAAATCCTGGGTGCGCTTTAGTCAGTTCTACACTTTTTGCCTGCGAATCGATCATCCCCGGCTTTACTTCCCTCCTTCCATCTGCACAGGCATCATGTCTGTGTTACTCTTTGTCCACTTGGATTCCAACAGTCTTCGACAAAGCAGTCCAGACTTGTGCCAATTTTGCAAGCACCGCTGTACCGGATGCTTATCCAGCATTCGTGAATTTGGAGGGTTTTTGTGGAAATATCGGGAACATTAAGACAGGCGAATCTCCCGTTACCTCTCCTAGTACTATTTCTAAACCTTCTCTTCCAACAATTCCCATCAGCGCGGTCCCAGCTTGCTATACCGCTTTTTCTTTAGTGCAGTTCTGCGTCGCTCTCATTCCAGGTTTCATTGCTTTAAATCCGACGCAACAAGCCTCATGCCTATGTTATACAAGTGTCACGTCCTGGGTTCCAAAAACTTTTGATAACGCGGTTGCGACTTGTTCGAGATATGCGCAAAGTGCCAATGCTTTTGCGGGATTGGTATCGTCAGTGAATATATTTGATGGTATTTGTGAAAGCGTCGGGGATATTTTGACAATAGGAGGGGGTCTTTCTTCCACGGTCATATCGAATTCGATAACTTCGCCCGAGGTGAAGACACCACCCTCAACTACAACGATTCCTCCATCACCAGCAAATCCACCCAGTATTGAGATTTCAGTGCTTTCAACAATTGTGATTCGTTCTTCAACTCGGAATACGCATTCAATTGTGAAGACAAAATCGGTTACAACAAGCGAGTCTATAATTAGAACAACTTCAACGGCTGGGCTTGGCGGAGTCGGGGCAAATCGAGGTGGAGATGAACGAGCAGGAGATATTGGTGATCCAATGGTGGTATTGATTAGTTTTGTTTGTGCAGTGTTGATGCTTTTTTTATGTTAATTCCTGCCTTGAGCAGGAAAGTTGTTGATATCTTGAGGCAAATGAGAGCAGCTAGGACACCCAGGGGAATGATATAGATTTAAGCTCGCCGGGCCCATGACGTGCAACTGTGGATCTTTGAAAGTAGGTGCAGGAAGCAGTTTGGAGTTGGTGTCGCTTGCGGGTGGATTTCAGACACGGTATATAGTCAAACGAGGTGTAATTTTAGTATGAGTTAAGGATAAATTAATGATACCTGAAGGTAATCATGAACTGAGACTCGGGTGTACTATTGTAAGCGCAGGTCCAGTGTCTATCCAAGCTTGTGATTCATACTCGAATCTGCTAGAGACCGTAATGTAAAGGCGCGGAATCTAGAGCTAAGACAAGATATAAGTATTTAAAGATTAACTCTTCTCATGTGAAGGAAAGACGTTCCAACCTCTCATCGAATCACGAGTATTTCCACGTAATGTTCCTTGGTGTGTCAAGTTTAGCTATCTACCTAAATGGAGGAAGTAGATGACGGAATAATAAATTGGCCAGGTTATAGAAAGCCAGCAGCTCGGACTACTGGCTGATCTTGTCAAGATGATTCGATAATACCCATAGGTGCGGAGTATAATGTAAGATCTCATGATCATCCTATAAAGTCGTTTGAAATTATGGTTATCCCCGACTGTAAGGGGAATCAAAATTATAGAAGTCTTATTTAATCATGCGGCAAATTGCTCTTGTGCCATCAAAAGTTCAAAAAATTACTCGTATGAGGTAGACTTTATTCTAAATTTTATTATAGATCTAAGATATTTATTAAGGATGTATTCCATGTTACTTTTATACAACAAGAATTAATCTTATTTTGTGGCGTGAGGGTAATTTGTTTCACTTTTCATGGTATAATGTAATTTACCTTAAATCATATGATTATTGTATTAAATTTTTCTTTTCTACTAACGATATGTAGTTGAGCCTCGCATTAACCTCGCGTACTAAATCCCGTGGATATACTTTGTAGCCGTCAATTTGTCATGAAATATTGACTCTATTCCGTAGAAATATAATACGGGAGTACTCTTTTAATTCCCATCCAGAACCATCAGAACGCATAACCCTGCTATCTATAATAACGTACCCCTCAAACTAGAAGAGATTATACTACCCTTCATGTCGAGGAGCTAGTCGATGGGGGTATACGGCGCTTGAAAACAACGCCTGAGAAGACATAGATCCCGTGCAAGAAACACCCAAATGCATCTTTCATCAACGAATTGCAACTTGATATGACAAGTGCAAATGTAATCCGAATGTCCCAAATAATACCAAAATACCTTCTCAAGATTTTTCAATGCGACGCATAATGCCGCTGCCGAATTTGTTAACCATACGCTCAACTGTGTGGCCACTGGCCCAGAAATGAACGAAGAGCCCAAAGGGCAGAACTCTCCTCGCATCAGTCCTTAAAAGCCGTAATTTTCCATTAAATAAATACATTATGTTGCAATGGGTATCATAAACATCGAATGTCCCTTTACTTTATGTGGTAAGCCGGCTCTGCTGCTTCCATGGTCCCATTTACACTTCCCGTCCCATTCACACTTCCCAGACGCCCGCGAGAGCCTAGACTTCCACATGGACTCGTAAGATTACTATGCCACGATTCGCTTTTGACATCAATTGTCTGATTAATGCTCGCATGCAAAGGTGGTGAATCTCGTCCATTACTCGATATTATCGTCGTGGTGAATCCGACGATCTTGAGATCAGGTCTCAAATTTAGTTCCGTATCATCTACTCTCGTTCGTCGCGCGCTTAGCCCGTCAATCATGCGGTTGTGAAAAGCGCCAGACGATGCCATTGATTTTTCGGACCAGTCGAGGAATGAGCGGACGAGCGGTTTGAGTGTCGCTAAACAGGATGCTATGAGTCCGACCGCCGCTTCGACGATGGTCAGAATAATAATATTACTGGTATGAGATTAATATGTGGATTTATGGGTGTGAAAATGGAAGCTTTAAAGCAACATACGCTATTGAGTAGAGGTAATCAGTGGCAGTCATGAGACTTTTGATGTAAGCAATCCTCGTGAGAGTACATACGCTTGCACTGATAATCCGTCAGTATTTCTATCCAACCTGTGACGATTGGATCAATGAACAGAATTACTTACATGGAACCCAATGCTAGGGTCAATGCAACCGCAGTTTTTGTCCTTGCCGTAATTTGGAGATCTGCCACAATGAAGGCAGGAATTATCCCCAGCGTTAGATCCGTCAAGACGCTTAATGCCGCATGACCATATGCCACGGCTGCTATCGTGGAAGGATGCAGACATTGCCCATCTGTTGCTCCTTCAAATCTCCTCCAGTAAAATGAAATTGGCCTGCATTGAAGTAATAAGAAGGCGAAAAAGCCCAAGGTGTATGCGAGAAATAGTGACATGGAGATATAAATGGTGTATTTATGAATAGGATTAACGGCGATGCGGATGAGGTAAAAAGCGATGGATGACTTGATGAGAGCTATCGTAGGAGGGTATATAATCTCTGAGAGGCACCAGTACTAGACGAAGATGTCAGAAGAACCGTTTATAGATACGATCTCATAAGGAGTAGCATACTCTCAATCCGCGCGCCGACTCCTCCGGTGTCATATTGTCGACATGTTTTCCAAAGCCCGAGTTGATTCCTAAGATGGTCAAAACAACGCCGCCGCAAAGGAAAAGCTAGAAATGTCAGTATACGCCCTCGGTCTAATGCCATATGAGATTGATTCTACCAAAGAGCAAACTGCAAGTGCATCATCAGGACCAAACGCTTTCAACAACTTTGTTCGAACATAACATCGTAACGCGACGGCCACACAGGCAATTATGAAGAAGATCAATGTGGTGATGAGGATTTCATTTTGTTTCTCCGGAGCTTCTGTCACCATTTCGGCTGATTCACATGAAGGAATGAAAGTCAACTAGTGATGTAGTGATTCATGAGAGAAAACGACGATGAATCGATCAGCCTTGCAGTTCATCCGGAAAGATGACCAGACCAGACGTTCGTCAGGAGCCGGCGGAAAAAACACTTTTTTCCCGCATCTGTATGCACTTTGTGCACTTCCGGCACTGCCAAATATGATCCCCGGCGACTCATTTACTGAGAGCTTGCGGGTATTCTTCGATATTATATGGGGATAGAAGCACAGATAACCATTCCTTAATTGATAACACCAGTACCTATTTTAGTGAGATCGGAATGAGGGATCCGCTATTTTCACCAGACATGGTAAATATTCGCAGATCTTCGAAACTCTAGAGGAAAGCTTCGTTCGTTATCTTGCTTCTCTGCGACGCAAGATCACAGAGAATCATAATGAAAAGTGTATCCGACTGCTTGAAGATGGCTAAATGACGTCTATGGGTGGATCATGATGCATATTTTCGTGAGATAAAGCCAAGCTAAGCCACGCGATGGGACCCCCGTTGAGCGTTGAGGTACCCAAGCGGTCGCGTTCAGTGGACCTAGCACTCCACTCATAATCATGTCAGAATGGAACGACGATGAGATTGAGTTATCTTGAATTTTTGGAGATCTGTAGACCTTTATAGAGAATAGATAGAATTTCTGAGATCTGGTCTTGTTAGTCCTTGCTCTCGCACCACTATTCACGAGTAGCTGAACCACATGAAAAGTTTAATAGACGTTTCTGTGGTTCGTGGGACTGCCGTTGTAACGAAGTGATAATTATCGGATTAATACCGGCGACAGTGATAACGGAAAAGTCAAGAAAAGAAAATCTCCTTAATTACCCCTGTCTTCGGAAGGATTGTAATACCGGTACTGTACTGTACGAGGTACTGTACTGATTATGGTACCTGAGCTAACTTTACCGATGTGAAAGGAGGAGACGAGATGAACTTGAGACAAACCTCCCATTATTGCTTCTTTCTTCCTTTCTTTCTTTTTCTTTCTTTTTCATTGTTATTAAAAAGTTAACTAAAGAAGCAATAGTATATCCTATCATTGATTAGATCTGAGCATCAAATATAATTGTCTTGGATCATAGCGGATTGTCTCAACTAGGTACTCAACTTGTGACTGGAGTAAAGACAACTCGATCAAGTTGAAAAAGCTTGAAGATCAAAAAATGAAACACATCATGCCATGAACATGAAATCTCTAATGACTTAAACTCGACCCATGAGTTATGGAGAAGGGTGGGAGATTGAACCCCGACATGGATCGCAAAGACATAAAAGTTGTCGGTCGTCGGTCCCGGAAATCCCAACGGCACAATCTGTCAAAACTCAAAAGATGTCAAAAGACGTCAAAAGTACAGATTAAGACTTAAGATTATATTACCAACAGAAGGAATGGTGCACGAAAGAACGTTGCATGGAAGGATCAACCCTTCCCGAACCCCAAGATCTTGCCTCAATAAAACATCCGAACGATGATGAGAGTCAGATTTCCCCCGATTTGGCTACAGGAAATAATGCCAACAAAATTCCAGCTCTTGTTCATACACTTTATTACTCACAAGTAGTAATGATTTAATCCGAGAGTCGATACATCAATAATTGAGCTTCTAACCTTACACACACTGAACTTCTTTGATATCGATCTAATCATAATTTCTCTGTTACCACTGCCGGCAGTGTATAGAAAGTAGCATATTATCAAATAATCATGGTAAGCGTAAGGAAAAAGGCAATATCCACGAAGAAGAATAAAGAATAAGTTTTGGAATTCGCAAACATAGCCTTGAGATGCGGCCGTCGGTCATGCTTTGCTGGGAGAATTATATATGCCCATTGAAAAAAGTAATCAAGTCATCGAGTTACAGCAAAGAGACGCGATGTAAAGCAGAATGCAATCCATTGCCAAACCTGTAGTTAAAAATCCATGACTTCCCAATCGTGTCCAACAGAATTGAAGTATCATATCGAAGTCATTCACATTATGATGATTTTCATTGCATAAAACCGTAGGATGGTGTTCGTCCTTGTGCTAAGTGACGAGGACCTATTCAAATAGCACTTTTCTGATCGAAATGTAAGAGAATCACCAAAGACTAGATAATTAATGAAAATATGTAAGCAGCAGCAGCAGCAGCAGCTGAAGCAGGCAAATATGAAGATTACAAAAAGGGAGTCTGCGAGGGTAGGTTTTTGTGAAAGAATCGTTTTCTGGGCGAGCCGAGAATATATACTGTATTAGGCGACGGAGCATCAATACATTTACTTTACTCTGTAACAGTGCAAGTGTCCGGAGATTTCGAAAATGCCACAGACTGTGGCTTGCTTGGGGATGATTACCTAATATGACAGTGACACATACCTACTTAGCATACTTTCCATGATAAGGATAAGACTAGCAATCTTATCAACTTTATTAGTTTCGACATTATTGTGCTAAGATTACATTTAAGGCAGTGTGGCTGAAGAATAGGAATCGGCTCGAGTTTCAAGAAACCACAAGGCTAAACCACTAGAACTAGTGGGATCATTACCGAGCCTTGGAGATTTTTGCTGCCCAGTCACTCCGACAATGCCATTCTTCAACGCTTTTGTCGGTACATCCCGAGCCGGTGATGCTTGGTTCCTTGCTGGCCTTACAGCTTCCTTTCCCAACATCACGGCTTCCGGAGATACGGTCCTGTCAAATCGCTTACCATGCAAAGGCTCCTTCGCGCCAGGTTGCAAAGTTTTTAATGTACCTTTGACTGATAGTACTCAAGCCGTTGAAGTCGACCTTGACGATGCCGTGGCAGCTGGGCTCAAGGACCAAGTTATAGTTTTTCAATACCAAGGCAAGTTCCATGCTGTTGATCATGTAAGTCTAGTCATTCTTTTTGTGCACGATCACTCTGAGGGCTAGGAAGTGAGTGATAAGGAAAAGCGACAATGGGATTGCTGCTAAAGAAATGATAGAGTTGTCCACATTCATCATTTCCACTTTCACGAGGCACGCCGTTTGATATCGAAGATTTTGGTATCCGGCTGAGTGTCGGAATACAATGTCCAAAGCACGATTGGTCCTTTGATTTGATTCATGGGAAAAGCGACCGAGGGAGCTATAAGCTAAAAGTCTGGGAGGTTCAATTACGACCGATTCCTGGAGCGGAGAATGAAGAGAGTGAGGTTTGGGTTAGAAGGAAGCAAAGGATAGGCTGAGTATCGTTCAGACTGAGATATAAAATGGCCATAAGAAGTGAAGCTTTAGGGGCCTTTGCGATGGATGTATCGGCCGATATTGTCGTGGCAAAACAGCTAGCAACCTACATACTGTACACAGTGTTGTCCACAGGGGCTAGCGAGGAAATTCTGTCAGTGTCAGAGGTCATGACCCCTGAATTATCTTAGCCAAGGATTTGCGGTGTAACATATATTTAAAGTTATTTAGTGGAATTTCAAATGGAGCATCGGATCAATATTCTTAGTAGGCAGGTAGTTTAAACGGTCTAAGCCTTAGTTATCATCTACGTCCGCGTGAAGAAACATTCTTGTGGCAGAAGAGAGGGTGGCCATGAGGGGCTATCTACAAATGCGGGGTAATTATACTGGAGATTTCAGATCTATCGAGGTTCGACATAGAGGCGGTAAAAAAGGGCGGAAAAATTATGGATGTCTTCGGTCAAGTAGCGGTAGGCTGTAGCAGTGGTTGATTGCATGGAAATGCTTTAAATTGCCTAGCCAAGCATCTCGAAATCGGTTGGCATTCCACCGAAGATGTTCCTGAGTATTAATTCAGATAGAGTTTCTTTTATAATATATGTAGTCTCAAGGTACCGCCTCGATACCCGCTCTGCCTCTCCAGAATTCCCATCCATAAGTAGCTGCTTGAAGTCTCTCCGTTTTGAATAGTTTCTCAATTACTTCGCTTTCTTATTACTCTTCAAAATGGTTCAAAACTTCAAACTCCTTTTAGCTGGCCTAGCTTCCACAATCTTCGCTTCTCCCATCTACGGTGCAGGCCCACCAGCATTTCTCCTCGCAGGTGATTCCACAACGGCCATCCAAAATGCCGCTAAAACAGGCGGTGGTTGGGGTAATGGCTTCATATCTACTCTTCAAAACGGAGCCGGTGGCATAAATTATGGACACAACGGTGCAACGACTGTGAGCTTCGTAAATGGTGGTGATTGGGCAAATGTGCTGGCATCTGTAGCGAAGTATAAGTCGGCTTATACAACTTTCGTGACTATACAAGTAAGTGGCATCCAACAAAGAAAAAAGGTGGTGAAACGTAGTTGACAGGTGAAATAGTTCGGACACAATGACCAGAAGGCAAAAGCAAATATCTCAGTCGCGGAATACAAGACCAACCTGCAGAACATGGCGGAAGATGTCGTAGCTGCTGGAGCGACGCCGGTAAGCCGTGATCTCTTCACCTATCATCTTCGTGGATAGCATTCAAATACCTCCATCATTTTTGGATCGCAAGGCCGAAAATTTATCCATTGACGATCAGATAATGGAGGGGGAGCCTTTTGAAGTAATGTAGATAAATCTCCAACTTCTCTAACTTTTGGCATCTAGATTCTTGTCACTCCTATCAGTCGCCGAAAGTTCAGTAGTTCGGGTGGTGGTGTCGCCCAAGATCTCGCCGTCCAAGCAAACGCTACCATTGCAGTTGCCCAATCTATCGGTGCATTCTACATAGATCTTAACCGCGCCTCTACGGACTACATTAATGATATCGGTGCGACTAACGCCGAGACGTATAACCTAACACCCACGGATTTCACACATATGAATGAAGCGGCGAGTGTATTGTTTGGAAATATGGTCAGCGAGTTGATCGGTAAATCCGTGGGCAGTGCTTTGGGCTTCGACATTAAGACTTATACAACACCAAATGCGACGATTGCAAAAGATATTGCTAGTGGGACTTATGTCTTTCCCAGTGGATTTGGAACTTTGTCAAGCAATACCCTTTCAGCATAAAAAAGCCTTGAGATGAGAACGCCAGTGTGGAAATTGTACATAGTTAAGAATATCGAAATGTAAGAGTATTCTCTCACCAATAAATAAATAACCTTAATCTTTTGTTCTGGGCCGGATAACGAAGAAATGATCCCGTGACATTTCAGTTGTGAATTGTTCTACTGCCAGATAAGTAAAAGATAAAGATAAATCGCAACAGCCAAGACGGAATGCTAAAAGCATCTAAAACGGTCAAATTCGAGTTGAAAGGGGAAGTTCAAAATACCTTGTGGCGTGTCAGCCCTAAATTCGGGATGGTTAACAGGATTAAGTTAGGCTATTGGATTCCTCATGATGTTCTTCTAGAGCCCGTTTAAAGGATTTTGTGATTTGCCTCTCGAATTACAAGTTTGCTGGCTGTTACGTCGGACTTCACATACCGAACATCACGTGCCCAACATCATGTAATATGAGGATCCCAGTGGGCTCAGTAGTCCCGGTAGCATTGGGACAATTGGGAGCACTAGAATGTATACCACGAAGGTCTATATAATCAAGATGGATTTCCTTTATATAGAGCTTTATGCTCAAAATTAATCATTTAGTATACTCTACTATTAGTTACGAATTATATATTATTATTGTCATTACTTAAGCCCTTGCTTGATGCCTAGTGTTACGAGGCTTGCCGTCTAGATCATGTGGAAGTGCTCTAAGCTCTCGAGGTGGTTTATAACTAAGCATCAAGTAGGGACTTAAAATAATGACAATAATGTAATTCGTAACTAATAATAGAGTATACTAAATGATTGATCTTAAGTACAAAACTCTATACAAAGGAAATCCATCTTGATTATATAGACCTTCGTACCTCGTTAAAAACCGATGGTTACAAACCCGACAATTCGATTACCGCAAAACCGATCTCGATTTGTCGGTTTCTTGATCATATGATCAAGAACGTGACCTATGTTACTATCCGACGTAACACTTAGTTATAAACCACCTCGAGAGCCTAGAGCATTTCCACGTGATCTAGACGGCAAACCTCGTAACTGTGACGGAAAAGTCGTAAACGGAGTCAATTCAATCACTTAGAATCTAAAACTAAAGAACTAAGAAGATTCTAAGTAAGAAGGTCTTTATATACAGGGCTAGTGCACGTGAGCCACTAGTGGGATAACAACCGTCACGTAACAGTAACACTGGCCTAAAAACAGATCTATAAGTAAATATACAATTTTATAATTTCGATTAAAATCATATTTAAAAAATGAAAGTTTTGATTAGATTTTTCTATTTTAGTATTTTTGTATTTGTATAATTTTATTAAAATTTAATTAAATTTTCAAAATTGTTTTAATCTGATTGAATATTTTTTTATAATCAAATTAATTTTCTGAATTAATTTTTATTAAGTATTTATAAATTTTATTTTATTTATAAATATAAATTCCATATTAAAGATGATTCATTCTTTAAATTATATCTCACAGTCTTTAGGTCTGACCTTACTTTGCTTTATTTTACTTTCTAAGAATAACGACTCCGGTAGTTGGTCGATTACCCCCACTTCGCTCCTCTTGAATCTTCTTGAACATTCTCAGTCACCAGTACAATTGACGGGCAGACGATTGATCAAACTCCAATGACAATCCGCTATTGAAGTTCAAACAACTTTCTGGTCTACCGATATGTCTTTTTGCATCTTTCAAAAGCACGCAGTCTTTTCCAATTTTTGGTAATTACTCGCAGTTGGTAAAAGATATTCAAATTTTTCAAATATTGTGGAGTCTGGAAAAGCACATCATTTTGAAAATACTATCGTGATCCGTAATCACCTCAAATAGGAACTTCTTTTCCGATTGTGAAGTATTCGGATGTCCGAAATATCCAATTATTCTTAGTAATACACAGTACTGTGCACGGTGAATGGGTAGAGTTCTTATAACACTAGGTGGAAGTACAGTATGGTATTGGACAAAGGCCAACAGATAAATTAAAGTAAATCAAAATCAAATCATTCATTCACATTCATCTCGTTACCCGCTGTGAGAATTCTCAAAACCAAAATCAACGTCAACATCGAAATCAACAACAATGGCTAAATGAGTGAGTGAGTTGGACATCATGGGATTCTCATCATGGATCCTGAGTCCTGACCAGTTTTCACTGGTCAGTGATCACTCCCGAATCCCGATCACTTCCTAAATAACTCCCCTGCCCTAGTGAAATTCTGCTGCTCTGTCCACATTTCAAGGGACTAAAGGTAGAACTAGGAAACGTTGGCACGGCTGTTTCCACAAATCGAAAAGATGTTCGTTTTGTAATCTAACATTTTGCATGTGCGATAAGGCAAGAGAATGGTGCAATCCCGATGACTCGTTTTTTTTTCATTTCGAGGATGCTTAGTCCCGGCATGAGAGTTTTTCCTTTTCTTGTGTATGTATATACGGTGTAGCTTTGCCATGGCATTCCTCTAATTTGCGTTCATTCTCTTGGTATCCATCTTCGTGCCAGATTTCCTTCTTGGAGAAATGATTCTATCATCCTTGAGAAGCCGACTCTTCTCTCGGCAACAGGAGGGTAGTATTACCCCCGCATCCTCCGATCATGAGAAGGATGGGATAGCATCGAGTGTCACCGGTACCGACGAAATCAGCAAGTCCATCGAAGAAACTGGCAATTCAACTGAGAAGATTAGTCCCGAGACAAACATCAAAGATTCTACACCTATTGTTGAGACATCCCCTCTGGACATTGAAAAAGCGACACCAACATCAGGGAAATTTGGTGATGATGACCCCCTTCTTAAAGATATCCCTTGGCAAGTTCGTCGAATTGTCAGTCTCGAGGATGATCCCACCGAGCCGACAATCACCTTCCGTTACTTCCTTTTGACACTTATATTTGTTGCACCAGGAGCTTTCTTATCACAGATGAGCTCATTCCGCACGACATCCGCTCCATATTCCGTCTTTTTCGTCCAAATTTGCTCCAACTATGTCGGTGCTTGGCTAGCGAAGATTCTTCCAGCTAAGACCATACATTTACCGTTCGGAAGAAGTTTTAGTTTAAATCCAGGTCCATGGGGAACGAAAGAACATGTATTGGTTACCATTTCTGCAGCATCTGGCGCCACTTACAATTTAGCATACACGCCGGTCTCCATTGCTGAGCTCTACTTTGGGGTGACCATTCATCCAGCCATTGCCATATTCTTCATGTGGAGTGTAGTATACATTGGATACTCCTTTGCAGCTATTGCTAGACAATTCTTGCTCTATGACCCAATGTACCCGTGGTATCAAGCGTAAGTCCAAAACTTTATATCCCCTGCAATGCTACTTTTTCGGCACCACCCGTATCTCAACTCAGCTTTTGGGATTAAGTGTAGTGCGAAAGTCTAAGAATGACCTTCGCTAATTCCCCGATTCAAACAGACTCTGTCAGACTGCTCTTTTTGAAACCCAAAGGAAGCAGAGACAGCATCCATCCCGTGTGTCCAAGAAACAGATGAGAGTGTTCTTCGGTGTTCTCGCAGGTATCACCTTGTGGCAGTTTCTACCAGAATTTGTGTTTCCAATGCTTGGGTCCTTGGCATTTCTCTGTTGGGTTGCCCCAGAGAACAAAGTTGCAAATTTTATGGGGTCAGGTTTGGGAGGAATGGGTTTTCTAAACCTCACACTCGATTGGTCAAGTATTGCGAGTTTAAGTAACTCCAACAGCTTGTTTGTAACTCCATGGTGGACTCAAGTCATCATCTTCCTGGCATTTGTAGTAAACTGCTGGATATTACTTCCAGCTGCGAAGTGGGGAAATCTGTCCTCCTGGAAACCCGAATTGATGTCCAATCGTCTGTTCATGGGTATGATACTTCCTCCCACGTATTTCCCGTTGTCTAGTACTAACAAAGTCTTTCAGAAAATGGGACTCGTTATCCTACCACTGAGCTCATTACTCCCCAAGCTACATTCAACGAAACAGCCTATGCTGAATATGGGCCCATCTATGTTGGCGCTCAACAGCTTTGGAATATGTTCTTCGATTATGCTGCTTACACTTCCGGAATTAGTTGGATTTGTTTCTTCGGTTTCACACAAATTAAAGATACCATTAGCAAACTGAATGCTCGACGTAAGAATAAAGTTGAAGGAGAGACTATCAATCACCAATATGGAGATCAACTAAATGTCCTCCAACGTTCTTACAAAGAAGTTCCGTGGTGGTGGTCTTTAATCCTCTTCCTTGTCACCTTTATTGTCATGATGGCCATCCTTGGCACTGGTCACCTCTTTATTCCCCTGTGGACATACTTCATTGCCGTTCTCACTGGTGTTGTGGTTGTCATCCCGCTTGGTTGGTTATACGCCTTATCCAATTTCCAACTCCCAATTGGTACATTCAATGAATTGCTGTACGGATTGATGGTGAATACGGTCGATGGACATAAGAATCCCACTGGTGCATCAGTCTATTCATCCCTCGCGGGTGACGCATGGTATCGTGCACAACTTATGCTGCAAGATCAGAAAATTGGCCATTATATGCATATTCCTCCTCGAGACACCTTCTTTGCGCAGGTTTTTGGATGTTTCATCGGTATCCCAATCAATTATGGTGTTGTAAGATGGGTCCTTAATACCAAAGCGGCTTATTTGAGCGGTGCGGAAACAGACCCAACACATCAATGGACGGGTCAAGGTCTTGCTAGTACCTTGACTACTAGCACACAATATGTTCTCATTGGACCCCGTCGCCTTTTCGAGTTACCTATTTTTAAACCCCTTCCATACGGATTCCTCGTCGGTGCCGTTGCTCCAGCTATCATATATCTTCTCCATCGCCGCTTCCCCAAAGCCAAGTTTCACCTATTCAACACCACTATTTTCTTTTCTGGTCTTTCCAATTTCTATGGGAACATATCTACCGGATATTCTTCTTCCATCATTGGTGGTTTCATTGTCTCTTATTGGGCCTATAGGTATAGGTATGAGCTCTGGGCGAGATACAACTATGTACTTGCCGCCGCCTTTGATGCAGGATTCAATTTGAATATGTTGTTGATTTTCTTATTCTTTGGAGCAGGCAAGATCGTCACTATGCCAAACTGGTGGGGCAACAATGCGGATAGTGTGGATAGATGTTTTGCTTTGGAGTAACTACAGGGATGATGCTATGGTTAATGGATATGAAAAGCCGGGGAAAGAATTTATGTGCTACGAAACTCAGTTCGAGATAATGATAATGAAAATATTGCTGATAAAATTGTTGTGATCTTCGTTTCTAAGTCTAGTAGTATACTTGCCAGAGTCTATTTCCAGCCACTTTTAAAATGTATTCATGATTCTATTGTCTTGAACATAGGTCGATGATGGGTATTACTAACTTTTAAAAATATTAAATTAGTAAATCATTAGTTTAATAAGTTATATAATACTTGAATGTGGATGATGACAGAATAAACGTGGTCGGACAGCTCTAGAACTCCGTACTAACTTTTCGGTGTATCTGCATGGAGTAAATATTGACTACCGTTGAAATAAATTGTGCCGCCATATTAGCAGATACGACTTCGTTTTTCTTTCTTTCACGCTGCTCCTCAAAGTCGAGTTCCGGTTGGCTTGGTGCGTATGAAGCGGAGACTGTCACAGAAGGTGACGACGAATACAGAGATTGGATGTCGATGTTGAGGGGATGAGGGGTGAGAAGCCAGTTAGAAGGGTTCTTCGAATGGGTGTAGGGGTTGTTGGATCTGTACCGGACGCGGGAGGAGGTGTCGACTCTCTTAGCGGAGATGACAGGCCTTCGCCTTCACCGGATCTGAACCCCGGTCGTTCAGGAGCCTTGATCTGCCTGCGAGGGCGGCGAAGGTGAACCTCTTGTGGATGAACATCTCCAAGACGAATGACATCGGCAATAGCTTCGTAAAACGCACCAAATCCCGGTTCAACGCGTAGCTCTGCGTGAGATAAGGTTGGCAACTGCTGATAGGAGAATAATTGAAGTGATCTCAGCATAACCTCGTTATCTGCTACGGCTTTAACGGCTCTCTCTCTGTATCTCTCGAGAATCGGAACATTATCGATATGATCTCTTACCAGGACTCGGAATCTTTGAAGGTGGCTTGCAGACCAAGCACTTCCACTCGCGTGCCTATCTTTGTCTGACAGATCATGGATCGTTAATAGATCGCCAGGAAATCTACGGGAAAACTCCTGATTGTTCGAAGGCCACTTCATTGCAATGTTTGAGCGTGGGATAGTAAAGAACACCTAAATGTAAGAGGGGTAGGGCGTTCTGGAAAGACAAATCCTTTCTCTGCACAACAAAAGAAGGATGGTGGATGGATAGTGATGGGTGAGGGGGATGGGGTGGGAGGAGATGAGAGGATATGGCGTGATGCTGAAAGACAAAATCAGCAATAAGCAATAAGCTTCTTGAGATGAGGGAGAAGGAGCCATCTTAATGTTACGAGGTTTGCCGTCTAGATCACGTGGAAGTGCTCTAGGCTCTCGAGCTAGGTTTATAACTATGCGTCAAGTAGGGACTTTAAGGTAATGACAATGATGATATGCAATTCGTAACTAATAGTAGAGTATACTAAATGATTGATCTTGAGCACGAAGCTCTATACAAAGGAAATCCATCTTGATTATATAGACCTTCGTGCCGTATGTCCCACCGTTCCCCTCGATTTAAATCGGTGGGACGAGTGAGACCACGTGACCCCTTGTTTAGTCATGTGATACGGTTTTTAGTCGTAACTGAATACCGTCGTAACACTTAAATGCATGTTATACTCGAGTATATATGGCAATTACATTATTGTTGCAAGGTGTGAGGAGGATTGATTGGCTATTTGATATAACTGTTAGGCTGCTATATTCTGCATTGTAAGAAGGGTTGGTTGGTTGTTTTATTCAGTTGCAAGGCTGCCATACACCGTATTGATATTATGCCTCCAACAGTGGGTGCAGAGATTCTATAAGTACTTTTTATCTGTATATTGAGATAAATGACAAAAAAATAATAACAATACATTCAAAAACTAAATATACTACATCGAATAAAATTCTTAATCCAGAAGATTATTGTAACGATACTGTACTGGAGGCAGCGGCTGCCTAAGGTTTCGTCTGGTTGATAGTTGTGGGTTAAGGCTTTATCACTGGTCTTCACTTGGAAGTGAAGTCGTTACTAGATCAAGTAGAATGTAGGTAAACTAATTGATAACTAAGTTGAGCACGAAGCTCCTTAACTACGAGACTAAATGAATGTTTATATACCCTATATCATCTTTTGAGGACCTCTGGGACCCTAAGGTCCAAAAGGTCCTCGAGGTCACGTGAATTAATGAGTCGTGACAATTATTTATTTAAATTTTATTTTTTTTTGGATTTTTTAATATTTACAATATTAAATAATCAAAAAAATCGTTAATTTTAATTTCAAGATGTTTGTTACGTCGGATTTCACATACCGAACATCACATACTCAGCATTATATGATATGAGGATCCCAGTGGGCTCAGCAGTCCCAGTAGCACTGGGACAACTGGGAGCACTGGGATACATGCTACAAAGGTCTATATAATCAAGATAGATTTCCTTTATATAAAGCTTCATATTCAAAATCAATTATATAGTATACTCTACTATTAATTACGAATTATATATCATTATTGTTATTACTTAAGTCCCTGCTTGATGCCTAGTAATAAACTATCTCGAGAGCCTAGAGTACTTCCACGTGATCTAGACGGCAAACCTCGTAACAAAAAGTGCTTACGGAATTTCTGCACCCACTGTTGCTCTCTGAACAAAGCAATGGCATAGGATAGCATTTGTAGGTGTATATAAAGAGGGGTTATCTTATATAGACAGACCCATAATCGTCCTTGCCACATTGAGCCTAATGGAGGTGGCACAGCTTCAGTTGCCAGGTGAATGATCAGATACCTAGGAACATTCATTCTCTAGCATGAAAACAAATGCTGGAAAAGCAACACTACAAAATACTAACACAACACAAACACAAACACAGCACTACAAAATACCACAAAATACCAAACAACGTCAACAACACCAACGTCATATCGAATTCGCCATGGAAACTACAGGCAATGATAAACCGAAATTGTCTCGAGCCCCAGGCAGCTCGAGTCATAGCCAGCGTCCTCCTCCAGTGCGCCCCTCCCCAGCACCTGGCTCTATACGCGCCGTACTACTCGAAAACTGCACCACTCGACTCTTTGTTCATCCCTTTGATTGGACCACCGACCATTACCGCGCTCTTCACGTCGAACTTGTTATATCTGCTAGTGTAGAAGAGCCGGTAGCGGAAGACATTAAATCACAGGTCGCTGAGAGCAGAATAATAAGCGGAGCATTATGGAATGTAAATGGCTGTCACTTGGTAAGAAGAGACAAGGCGACTCGAAGCCTAGTGATCGGTATGGCAAGAGTACAGAACCTGCACCTGGAATGGAAAAGACTGCATTTCATGTATGAGAACCAGGCCATCGCTAAACTCCATGACGTTCTGGTCGCCTGGCCTCGACCTACGTCTGAGCTTGATTCAAGACTTCCAATCTGGGCGTACACTGACCAAAAGTGCACATGTGATGCACGACGGAGTTGGTACAAATCTAAAAAGAAACCATGGTCGTTTATTTGGGCTGAGCCCATCCGCAAACAAAAGCTTCCAGTTGACCCCATTTACATCGCTATTCTGATCGCTCTGGCCCAACGGAGAAGGAGATTCATTCCGCAGGGACCAACATCGCACCGGGTATGCCGCCGCTCTCTGAATAATGTACAGCGCTAATTAATTACAATAGGTCACTCTTTTTGCCCCTGTGCATGAATCAATAGTGATAGCCAGTGCTCCTCCATCAAGCACTACAACACCCACGTCACCACAAGCCAGAAAGCGAAAAGTAGTATCGCACATTGTACAATACACGGCCGACATTTCAACCGCATACTTGCAGAAGTTCGAGGAGCCTTACAAATTCCATGATGCTAGCCTCCGCATTGAGCAAAAGATGCTATCGATCGACGAAGCTGCTATATTCTTTCAAGCTATGCAATCTGCTTCCAATGACCTTAACACGTACCCGAAACCTTCTTCTGAGGGTTCTACCTCGAAGAAACGCAAAGCACTTGAGGAGCTGAGCCCCAATACCGACGATCAAAAGCTGGAAAGCAAGCGGAGGAAAGTTTGTAATACATGACATAGGGTGGATAGATCAACAGATTGATATCGAAATGTCGGACCAGACCAACATAGCAAATGTTAGTTTCATATCAGAACTTAATTAGCGATTACTAATTATTAGCAATTTATGCGATGACGAACGGATGGAAATATACAGATATATCAGTATCGCATCGGCGGAACGAACCGGCCTGCTCACGTGGAGCAGTCAGTAAAATTTCATGGCAGAAATGTGTATTCCATTAAAGAACAAGCGCTCCGATTCTCTTCTCATCAACTCATCTGGGGAGGCAGAAGATGTAAATGAATGGAAAGGCTTTATGGACCGTCTAGGAACATTGGTTCAAAAGGAGACTCGTTCAAATTTATGGTTAGCTCTTGGTGAAAGGAGTAATCTGGCCTCGTAAGAGACAGAAAACACTACCAGCAAGTGCTCTCCGAATGAACAAAAGACGTGAATCATGCTGCCTTCTGTTAAAACAGAGAGCAAGTCAGTCAGATATGCTCTCCCGACGATTAGGTTTCCCTTACTTGTAGGTATCCATTGGGTCACTGGGTGGAGATTTCGCTGAAAGCACAAACTTTGAAACCGACCTTTTGGTGCGGTGCCCGAACGGTCAAATGAATATGCAATTGGTCGGTCTCAAGAGTTTTACATTCAAATCTTAATTTAAGGTGGTGCGAGAACTCAACCCCAACGTGCCCACCACATGAGTTTCAAGGTGGCTGAATGAAAGTTCGTTAGCAGGAATATAAATTGGTTATGGTGCGTGACACTATTTCCGCCGCGTATACTGCTGGGCTGCCTATCTTGCGTGTAGTATCTACAACGAGGAGGGCATGCTAGCTATGCTACTCACCACACTCTCATGGCATTTAGAGCTCAGAGCTGTATCTTTAGTACCTCCGGGAAAGAGATCTTTCGACGGAAGCCTCTTACGTGGTCAGCTCCCTACATAAAATTCACGGAGGATTATACATAGTGCGTGGCGCTCTGAAGGATTACTCTCACCTACAAAAGTCGAAGCTAATTTGTTTTTGATATCTACAACGATTACAGCTATATAAATTATATTTGAATGCAATGCCCTACCCATGATTACGGTGTGCCAGGCTTGACAAAACTCTCCTTATTTTTAGATAATCACCTTTGTGGCCTCGGTTTTTTCATGAACTTCCTACAAAAAACTCGAGGCGATTGGCACATAGGAAGTGGATAAAGCCGTGCCACAAATGGTCGGAGAATCTAGATAGTTTGAGCTTCATGGTTGGTAAACGTGAGTTGAAGAGTATTGTGTCCAGCGCAAGGGCAGTAAACTCACTGGGTAGAGTCTCATTAAAGATTTTAGACTTAGAAAATATTAAAGGTTATCTATATTTGTTTCGAGCGTTTACCGCTTATACTGATCCTGGCTGATGCCTCCACAAAAGTTATCAAGGAATCCAAACCGAGGCCAGTTGTCACGACTACTATCGGCACTCAAATCAAGCAAGTTTAGAAGCTAATGATATCCGTGTTATAATATTCGACACGAAGGACGTAGAGACTACATCAATGACAGAGAGACGGATATGTGGAAACTGCACCAAAAGCTTGAACTACTCCTCGAATGACACATGACACATGCAATATCATAATCAAATGAACCATGAAGAGAAAATCAATATCATCCATCAAGGAAAGTACTTACCGCTAAATAAATGGGTATCTGCACTACAAAATAATATGTAAAACTGCCCCCAATCAACCCAACTACATCAAATTTCAAAGTGTCACTTGTCCTCAAAAATTATTGCGCGCCCAAAGTTTGCAGTGCAGCCCTTAACTCTTTCACTGCCGTTTCCGCATCTTCAAAGTTCAATGCCGAAATTGCCCATCTTGCATGTTTTTGTGCTTTGGCAATTGCTTCATCGTCTGTGTTTAATTGTCCGCGAGATTGTGGCGCTGATGGGATAGTTGCTGCTGTGTGTTGGGTAGATCCAGATTGGAAGGTAGGTTGGTCGGTGGTGGGCGATGCATATGGTGGTGATCGAGGATAAAAGTCTTGAGGTGCAGTAGTCGATGGTTGTTCTCCAGGTAAGGTTGGAGGTGGAAACGATTGAAGATCAGAGGATGGTTTCATTCCGGTAGATTGGCCAGGAGCTCCAAGAGAAGATGTATCTGTGAGTCCGAGATCGAATGCATTATCTGGAGCAGGAGCCGTTGGTAAGGTTGAATCCCGAGGCTCTGATGTAAAAGTTGGAACCTCCGGGAAATATCCCCCACCTACCGATCCATTTCTGCCTTTCGGGGATGGCTCAAGAGGCGAAATGTTTTCATCTTGGACTGCAGTGTAGGGAAAACCATCACGCGGGTATGGTTCAAAGGGAGCCGGTTTGCTGGTAGGGGACGCACGAGCAGAGACTTGTTCAGAAGGATGCAAAGAACGATCTAAGGATGATTGTCTTGCTAACCTTGCTTCCAATCCATCTTGCTCATCTTGCACCTCTTCCACGGAAGGTTGCTTTGCTTTCTGTTCCCCAAGCTGCTGCACCTCAGGATCGTTCGGATCTAATGTTGGTAGGTCATCCTTGGGAGCCGATTGTGGTTTGGGATTAGATTCATTAGGATCCTTCCCTTCTTTTAATGCCCTTACGATCCGCACAGCGTTCCATTTCGCATACTTGATTTTGGCCTGAGTTTCCGGGTCCGGTGGTGACCAGATATTCAAAAGATCGAAGAAAGTTGCTGCAGCTTGAAATGTATCTGCAGTTTGTCTAGAGTCCGTGAGCATATTCCTCCATGACAGCAGTACTTCGAAGTTCATTACTTTGTAACCTTGTTTGCTTCAACAGCCCGATCTGCCCTCGAGAAGATTTCCATGGCAAATTGTTCGACATATGCCTGACCTGCAGTTTCATCCATGATCGCATCATTATCTGGGTTTTCGGATTTTATCTGCAATGATTTAACTACAGTCTAATGAATTCGTAGACATAGCATTTTCATACCGTCTCGAGTTTATCCATCAAAGTAGTTGTGTATTGTAACGTTTCCGCATCTCCATTATGTAGTCCTTTCGCGAGGATCTGATTGACAATCCAGAATTCACCTGCGAATGTTAGAATGAGGATTTAAATTATGCGACAAGATTTTTGATGCGTACACCAATATGATATGACTGGCTTCGCATTTTCGAGTTGTGCTGCCTTGACGATGAATCTTGTTAAGTCGGCTGTCTTTAGCTTCTGGGGGATTTGTGACGCCATGATTGGAGTATTGTTGTTGGGTTGGTAATGGGTATAAGTAAGATGAAGTGAAAGGAGGATGAGGAAGATTGTAATGGCCTCGTTCGCTGCATGTATGTATGGCGCTGAGGCAGCAGCAAGGTTGAATATAGGGAATATTAATTGATTCGTTGGCTTGGCTTGTCTCTATCTCTTTCTTTGTTAATGGGTGAATGGATGAATGGATGAACAGATGAGAGTGGTGCGATGCTTGAGAAGCTGTAGGTAGGATTCCCAGGCCAGCCTTGTGAGTCAAAATGTTATAGCCTCGCCCTCAGCTCAATCAAAACAGACGACGTCAGTCACGTGGCGAAAGTTGGGGAAACCTGTAAGCCCATTCCACTGCAAATGCCTAAATTGTTTGAGTACGGTTACCTAGGCACCTACTACTACTAATTTACCCCGGATTTCATTCTATCTCATTAAATGAATCCCCGAGCTACCACCTCCACCTTCACCTCGTAATACCATCATGCGACTGTGGCCTTTTCAAACCTCTACATAAATACCCAACTCCTTGTACAGCCACTCTGTTTTTCTCTTTACATGTATTGTTAAATTCAATAGCTACTACAGCTACTACAGCTACCCAAATAGCTACAGATAGTTAATTACCAACATTCAAAATGGTCAACACTGCACTTATTTATACTGCAGCTGCAGCTTGGTTGTGTGCTTTGCCCGCGGTTCATGCTGGATTGTACCCAAGGAGTTCAGCTGTGTTGTCAATCGATGGAAAGGATTATGATCGTATGATCGCTCAATCTAACTATACTTCCGTACGTCTTTCTCGTCCCTTGTTATGCAGCACACCAGTCTTTAACATTCTGTCACCTAGATTGTCGAATTCTACGCTCCATGGTGTGGACATTGCAAGAACCTTCAACCTGCATACGAAAAAGCTGCCAAGAACCTCGCCGGCCTCGCAAAAGTAGCAGCAGTTAATTGTGATGAAGAATCAAATAAAGCTTTCTGCGGAGGATTTGGTGTGCAAGGTTTCCCTACTCTCAAGATTGTTAAACCTGGAAGCAAGCCCGGAAAACCCATCGTTGAAGATTATAACGGACCACGAACTGCAAAAGGAATTGTTGATGCGGTTGTAGATAAAATCCCAAATTTTGTCAAGAAAGTTACGGACAAGGATTTGGAGAGTTTCCTAGCTGACGCGAACGACACTGCAAAGGCAATTCTGTTCACTGATAAAGGAAAAACAAGTGCCACGTTGAAAGCCATCGCCATCGATTTCAAGGGTAGTATTAAGGTGGCACAAATCAGAAACACAGAGAAAGCATCCGTTGAATTATTTGGTATCACTGAGTTTCCTACACTTATTCTGTTACCTGGGGGTAAAGCAGCTGAAGGAATTGTATATGATGGTGAATTGAAAAAGGATGGCATGGTCAAGTTCCTCACGCAAGCTGCCGAACCCAATCCGGACCCACCAGCAGCAAAAGCAAAGGCTCCAAAATCCAACGCAAACAAAAAGTCTTCATCGAAAGCAAAGAAATCATTTGAGTCTGCATCAGAATCTCACGCCAAATCCGAGAAGCCTGTCACCCAAACAGACGAAACATTAGAAGACCAACCAACCGAATCACCATCACCGGAGGTCGAAACAGAGAAACCCATTGTTCTTCCACCGGCGCCAGCGATTCCTGTTCTTAAGACTGAAGACGATCTCAAGAAGAATTGTCTTGGTCCCAAAACCGGGACATGTATTCTTGCACTTCTTCCAGATACATCAAGCGAGATTACGGATTCGGCTTCTACTTCCTTGGCTGAAGTGTCCCACAAGCATCATTTACACCAACGAAAGTTATTCCCATTCTATATCCTGCAGGCCGAAAACCCTGGATTCTCTCAGATCAAAGAAGCTCTAGGACTGAAAAGTGATGTTGAGGTCATTGCTGTTAATGGGCGACGGAATTGGTATCGAGCCTTGCCTGGCAAGGGGGATTCTCTAGTGGCTGAAGATTTGACAATCGAAGCGATTGAAAACTGGGTCGACGGTATCAGGTTGGGTGAGGGTGAGAAGAAAAAGATTCCAGAAAGTCTCATTCCTGAGGAAGTTGAGGAAATTATTGTGGAAGAGGCAGCTCCGGAACCAGAACCAAAAGCCGCAGAAGAGCCTATCATAGTCGTTGAGGAGCTTCCGGAAGATGGGGAACCACCAGCTCCAGAGCCTAAGATTAAGCATGGGGAACTCTAAGCAGTTGTATGTAAAGGAGTTTTTGAAATTTATAAGAGATTGGCATGTTAGCTCACATTTCCTGAGATGATAGTTACCATCATTTGCTTATATTTTACATTGTTACCATAATACCATCATTCATTTTGCAAGTAAATGATGCATGCGCCGAACCTCCATCTGTCTTTCCAGATTCCTGAAAGTGACATGTACATTCCTATCAACCAGTCTCCATTGAAACGCCATAAAAACACCAGGGTATCATCTAATGATGTGGTCTTTCCCTCGGATAATGTGTAAACATCGTCCTATTAAGCCATTGCACCACCCAACATTTTCTTCCCCCTACTCCTAATCACTCCATCTAAAATTTCTCTCACCTGCTTACACCCATCCACTCCCACAGCCAGCATACCCTCCAATCTACCCGCCTGCACCCTCGTCTCCATCACCAATGCCACAACTCCATCGCCATCGCCTTCTCCAGCTGTGGCAACAGTAAGGAATGGTAGTTCCTGTTCCTCGCTTAAATTCAAATCCAACAATGGGTCTGCTTTCTCGTCATTGCTCGAGTATGAGGATGTGGAGCCTGCTGTACAAGCACAAATATAAGAGGGCATTGGGATACCGGCATCAATCAAAGCAAGAGTTGACGCATTGATAAGAGCAGAGAGCAGCGACCCGTCAAGGGATAAAATATGGAGGGAAAGAAGAATTGTTGAATTGGAAGTCAAGGTAGTGAGGAGGTGAGGAGTAAAAGTCGTGGACAGAGTATTTGAAAGTTCTTGGATACGTCTGCGATGTTCTTGATTAGTTTTCGTTCACCTGATACCAGAGTAGTGTAGACGGCAGACAAAAAGAAAATGAAAGAAACTTACTTGTCATTCCTACCATATTTCTTCCTATCTACACCCGCGAAGCCAGCAAAGCTTATCTCAACTCTCACCTCTGCCTTCTCCCCAGCATTACTATTACCCCCACCGCCAATGGATCGTAATTTTGACGGATCGCAAGGACCGGTCACTGTGCAGAGGACTTGGGTATTACCCATTGAGAGATATGATGATCCATCGGAGGCTGGCTGAGTAGAAATCTGTGCTGTAACACGTCGAAGTTCGTTCCATCTTCGACCGTCAAGACGGAGGAGAGCGAGGGAGTAGGTTGAGGTGTCGAGGGGCATGGTTATAAGTGTGAAGGTGGTGTCAGAAAATATAGAGGTAAAGACAATGGCGGGAAATATATTCAAGTGAGTTGTGTGATTTTCTGTAAAAAAATTGTCAGGATAATATTGTGTTAGGAGGGAAAGTTTTAAAAATTAGAGATAGTGAAGTCTTTTTTCGAGAGCTTGTGAAGCTCAAAACTCTGGTGGGTCAAGAAATTACTTTTGTTGATCTAACCTTACGATTAGATAAGATTAGATGAATTAACGTGGTTTATCAGTAACCGGAACACTTTTACCTCAATTACCCACATTCCATTAAAATAAAATTACAACAACACCATAAATTAGGATTGAATTATATACAATCTATAGATCAATTAATGCTGGATCGAACTAACAAGTTCGTGCATTATATAAAGTATTATTGTATTTGTTATATTTGTTACGAAGTAACAGCTGATCTGTCCATACGAGCTTGGACCATGTGGAAAAGCAAGTAGATTCACATACAAAACTATATGGCAATTGACTTATATGGTCTCCCCTAAGCAAGCATAGACATCGAATCTGATCGAAAGCACGTGATCAAGGATTCCCACCGAGTCTAGGAATCCTATTATGGTGGGAAATATTCCCATCTTGATAGGACGATAGAGGGCAGTGGGATGTATAGTACGAAGGTCTATATAATTGGAAAGAGTTTCCTTATTGTAGAGCTTTGTGCTCAAGATCAATCATTTAGTATACTCTACTATTAGTTACGAATTGTATATCATTATTGTCATTACTTTAAGTCCCTGCTTGACGTCTAGTTATAAACCACCTCGAGAGCCTAGAGCACTTCCACATGATCTAGACGGCAAACCTCGTAACACTTTTTTAGTTTTTCGATATTTACTAAATACTTTATTTGCTTTACGGAGATTATAAATCTCAATAATTAAAAACATATTCGCATAAGCTAAAAGTTTTATACCCTTATGTAACGATACTGTACTGGAGGCAGTAGCTGCCTGAGGTTTCGTCTGGTTGATAGTTGTGGGTTGAGGCTTTATCATTGGTATTCATTTGGAAGTGAAGTCGTTACTAGATCAAATAGAATATAAATAAACTAATTGATAACTAAGTTGAGCACAAAGCTTTTAAACTATAAAACTATCTTAACTATATACTTCTGAATACTATTGGATAGCCTGGATAAACTGGTCTACTCAGGCTACCCTTTAGACTGGATAGACTAGGCTATTCAGTCTATCTATCACATGATCCTTTGAAGGCCTCAGAACACTAATCCTGGGACGATTCTGATTTTAGGATAATATAGCTCCTAGGATAATTGTCCTGGGACAAATATTATCCTAGGACACTTTATTCTAGGACGAATAGCGTCCTAGGACACTTGTCCTAAGCCTACATGGTTGCCTAATCGTTTTGTCCTAGGATACTAATTATCCTGGGACATATTTTATCCTAGGACACTTGTCCTAGGATTCCTTATCGATAAGGACCCCCTCGGAAACAGCGGCCCAAACCTCCGTACTTGCTTTTATTGTGTTATAATAATCGTGATTCGTGACACCTTAATTAAAATTACAATTGTTTCAAATATTGAAGTAGATAAATTCCTTTGATATTGAGTAATATAACTTTTTATTAAAGTAGATTGGGAAAAAGCTTCATGTCACGATTCACCATCACGTCGGACAAGTAGGGATCACGTGATGGAGCCTCCAGGAGCATAGGCTCCTGGAAAGGACCAGTATATAAACATTCATTATTTTCATAGTATAGGAGCTTCGTGCTCAATTTAGTTATCAATTAGTTTACCTACATTCTACTTGATCTAGTAACGAATTCACTTCCAAGTGAATACCAGTGATAAAGCCTTAACCCACAACTACCAACCAAACGAAACCTTAGGCAGCCTCTGCCTCCAGTACAGTATCGTTACAGAAGGTTATAATATGTTAAAAGGAATAGAAGTTACCGGTACTAATCACGTGTCGTGATTAGTAATACGGTTACCTAAACAGGCTAGATTAGACGAACCATAAGCAGGCATATTGGTCCCCTCCGAGGATACCAAGAGGAGATTAATATGCCTACAGACGTAGTAATATAGTCAATATAGAGGCCTCTTCCACCCAATCTTTTAATATAATATATCTTTGTTTTTGATAGTAAAAAACGAATATCATCTCTCAAATTGATATATCGAAGGTGATTTACTATATGATTGATTTATTAAATCTATTATTAATGAATGAATAGATAATGAGATAAATCTTGAATAAATTAAACATTTCAATAAATATATTGAAAGTAGGAAAATTGTTACGAGGTTTGCCGTCTAGATCACGTGGAAGTGCTCTAGGCTCTCGAGGTGGTTTATAACTAGGCGTCAAGCAGGGACTTAAGTAATGACAATAATGATATGCAATTCGTAACTAATAGTAGGATATACTAAATGATTGATCTTGAGCACGAAGCTCTACACAAAGGAAACCATCCTGATTATATAGACCTTCGTCCTCCATTGGATCTCTTGGATCCTGAGAGTTTGTGGACCTTCGATTCGTATGGACCTACGATTCGTATCCCTGAATATGCAGGGTCCATCACGTGACTTGGATCAGACTATATGTCTGTGCTTGCTGAAGGTGGGGAGACTCTACGAACCGATTACCATACAATTTTGTATGTGAATCGGTTTGCTTTTCCACGGGGTCTAAGCTCATATGGACAGGTTGACTGTTACTACGTAACAAAAATGAGTAGATATCGAATGCTAATGTTTAATGGGTATGAAAATTATAAATCGGTAGCATTTCAGGAATACTACAAGAAATACAATATTATATTATTTAGTTTATTATCTTATTCTTTGTATTTAATTTAATCATTCGATATCGATTGTTTTGGTCCTTTAAAGCGTTCGTATAATCGACAAATCGAGAATTTTATCAAAGTATATATCGTGTTAAAAGGAATGACCTTACACAGGGAATAGTGGGAAGCTGATAGGGCAGAACTGAGGCTATATTGGCCTTTTATATGAATCACTCATTTTCTTAATTCTACGGAAGTGCGAAGCTCTCTTACAGAGAGCTTTTCAATCTAGTCCTAATAGGACTAGTGCCCTGTGCATGTGCTACGCAGGAACCATTCACTTTAACATATTATTTATATTATCAAAACCGAATTCTTTCAAGTCTTTAAAGCTGTATATATCGAAGCAATATCTATATCAAATGGTAAAGCTGAGTTCTGCGGAGTTAGGTTAATCCTATTTAATCCGGAAATTGTACTTTCAAAACTAGATATTCGAATAAGAACTCTATCAAATAGATCAATATCAATCAATCCTGATATATAGTAATCTCAAACATTTTATAATTCAATTGAAGCTCTTTCTCAATCTACTTTAATAAAAAGTTGTATTGTTCAATATTCAATAGAGGATAAATATAATATATCAAAGTAAAAGAATAACGTGGTTTATCATCGGGTCGCCAATATCACCGGGTCGCCACTTTTTTCACCATTCAACCACTTCAATTTTATATTATTCAACAACTACTCAATCAATTGATTGAAACTATTAAGAATCTAATAATCTAGGGTCTATTATACTATTTTGACAAGTTCTTGAATTGTGACCAGTTCTCCCACATGTGTACTACAGCATCGACTAGAAGATGCTTCCCCGTTAGAATTCCCCCTCTTTTGACGCTCGTCGCGTTGAATCTGAACATCAACCTCTTGTTGAGATAATATATCAAGAGCCTCTTGTCCAGTAAGCACTCCTCCTTGCCGTAATTGAATCTTTTTTGCGCGTCGACGTTTGCTTAATGCCTCGTTTGCCTTCCGAAGTGTACGATTTTCTGCACTTAAAAGTGTATTCTCATGTGCTAATCTCTCTGTACCTTTAGCTAGAGCTAGTACAGTTTCGAATATAGGTGTAGGAGAGCTTGATTGATGACGACTTATTTGAGATTTTACTAAAGTTGATTGAGAAAGAGCTTCAGTTGGATTGTGAGGTGTTTGAGAGATCCAAGGATCTATATTGAGAGGGGGGGGAGTAGGTGTATGAATTCGAATATCTAACTTTGAGAGTACAGCTTCAGGATTAAATGGTATTAATCCAGTTTCTCGAAACCCAGCTTTTATATTCTGAGATGTAATTGATTGTTGATATGCAGCTTTGAAAGCTATAAAGAATTCAACCTTAGAGATATGGTTGATATGTGCCTTGATAAATCCATCAATTTGACTACCATACGAGCGTTTCAGGACACTAAAACATCCAACATCGAATGGTTGAGTTAAATGATTAGAATGCGCTGGTAGCTTTATGCATATTATATCATTTGCTTTGCAATATGACTGAAAAGGTATTGATTCATGACTTTCGTGTCCATCCAGTACTAACATTCGATATTTGCCCTTTCTTCGATGAATAGTATGTTTATCGAAATGCTTTAACCATTCTAACCCTGTCTCATTATTCGTCCATCCATTGGAAGTAGGTTTAATAGCCCAATCTGCAGGAAGATCGGTTTCGGTATACCAATTCGAAAGGTGGACTTGTCCTTGAACTATCAGAAATGGAGGTATAGTTTCACCCTCTCCATTACCACATATAATTGCTGTAGCCCATTCTCGATTGCCTGGTTGTATTGCCTTGCTTCTGCCATTTCGTTCAGCACTAGTTACAACCATACAGGCAACTATAATCCCCATCATGAAGCCTGTTTCGTCGAAATTGTAGAAATCGCAGTCCTGAATACCATATTTCGCTCGCATATTCAATACCACTTGAAACCACCTTTCAATAAGTTTAGGATCTTCGCAGAGAGCCCTTTGAAAATCATAAACGCGATTAAAACGCATCTTTAATTCCGTATGACGCTTTACGAATCGATGAGCCCAGAGCTTTCCAACCTTCTTTGCCCCTCGCGACTGAAGAATATAATTCGCCATATCTTCCACACCACTCAATTTAGGTGCAAACCCTCTATCATCCATATCAATTATATACTGAAGAAGCACTTTCTCTTCTAATTCAGTTATTTTATGCCCATTTGCTCGAGTTTCCATTTGGTTATTTCGACCGTTTATTCTATCGCGTAGTGTAGATCGAGGTACTGAATAGACTTTCGCAGCTTTCGTAATTGTCAAATTTTTAGACTTTCGAATAGCTTCAATAGCTAAGATGATTCGGGCTTCTTTTGATTGTGTTTCCATGATAATTCATTGAGATATCGCGAATTGAAATTGAAGTGGTTGAATGGTGAAAAAAGTGGCGACCCGGTGATATTGGCGACCCGATGATAAACCACGTTATCTCAACCAATAAAATCGTAAAAAATCTAAAATTCTCAGAATTTACTATTGTATAAGCCAAGAATCTATACTCCAAATTTCATTGGATTATATTCATAAATAAGAAAATTATAAAGGTCGATTTTCATTGTTTTTGGTGTAAAAAAGTGGCCGAGAAGTGGGGTACTGTCACGATTCACCATTAGGATTGACGGTGTTACGATGGTAGCAAACTGATTAATTAGGAGAGCTTAGGCCGTGTGCAAACACGATCAGATTTCATCGAATTAGTATGTGATCTTGGTCACCTGAAGATCGTATGCGCACGCACCATCAGAAATCGCGTGATAAGGAGTCTTGAGGAGCCAGAAAGCTTCTAGGGGCCCCCTTTATTGTTCAGTATATAGTCAGAGTAGTTTCATAGTTTAGGAGCTTTGTGCTCAACTTAGTTATCAATTAGTTGACCTACATTCTACTTGATCTAGTAACGACTTCACTTCCAAGTGAAGACTAGTGATAAAGCCTTAACCCACAACTACCAACCAGACGAAACCTCAGGCAGCCGCTGCCTCCGGTACAGTATCGTTACAAATGTGGGCAATTGAGGTAAAAGTGTACAGGGTCCTGATATGTACAGGGTCCTGATAAACCACGTTAGTCAGGATAAATTACATAACCTTAGTCGAGCCAACGTCTAGATATCAAACTTTGATATGGTAGTTGAAAAGTTCTAAATCAATTCATTATTCAGTTTTGTGAAAAAAGTGCAATCTTGCGGTGAAGTCGGAAAGTGTAAGGTTACAATGAGCAACAATCAGATCTGTTATTACAAACTAAATAATTCTAACAGCTTTGCCAGGTACTAACCACCGGACCTTCTCTTCTACCCCTTCTTCCTTGAAGTCGGCCATCAACTCCTTGCCAAATTGTGTAAAGTGTCCCCAAGACTCATAGTGCATCGGCACCAGATGGTCCGCTTTAAGCATTCGGAATAGGGATCCCGCTTGCTTGCCATCCATAGTGATCTGGACAAGCTTTCCATCGCTAATAGGAGTCTCAACGAAGGCCGAACCCAGATTCATCAGCGCCACCACAACGTGGAATTGTTCTGGAATCCGGGCAAACTCCTCAATGTAAACCGTGTCACCAGTAAACCAAACCGCGTTTGGACGTCCATCAGCATGGTGGCCGAACCGATCAGTCGTCAAGATAAACCCGGTACACTCATTGCCGGGAAAATGTTGGGTTGGCGTGGCGGTGATAGTGTATTTGACGCCACCCAAGTTTACGCTTGTGCTTTCCCAAGGCTTCATTCCCCGGACTGCTGGACGCGGAGCCAGGTTTTTAGCACCATCTACAGTAGTGAAAACGTGACGGCCATTTAGCAGCTGGCGACCATAATCATCCAAGTTATCAGCATGATCTTCATGACTGAGCAAAACAGCATCAATTGGCGGTAGTTCGTTCAGACCAAGGGCAGGGTCCTCTGAGACCTCCAGTGCGAAGTCCTCCCTGATGGGGAAACTAGAACCCGCTGGAGAGAAGAAAGGGTCGGTAAGGAAGTTGACGCCATCGATTTCGAGCACAGCAGTAGCAGTGCCAATGTGGGTGATGTTGATGGTACTTTTGAAAGTCGACATGATGCGGGCGTTTACAGCTGGTGGAAACTTTAGAGATAAGGAGGAAAATGAAGCGCAGGACTCGGTGAGTGGTCGCTAGTACTTTAAGTAGAGGTTGTCAAGATTGTGAATTATCTAGGGATTCGTGGTGGAACAATCATTCTTATATATTGGTGGACTAAGCCTCTTTACAGGTGATTACAAACTTTACTAATTGTCACCCGTAGAATGAAGAGGCCGAGATACTTTCAATCCGGAATTGTGGGTGGAAGCGTTATTCCTTTTTCAGAAGCATATCCCGCCAAGAGCACTAGCGCAGATCAGCGGGGCTTTGATGGTTTGTATTTTTCTGTGGACCTGTGGCCGCCGAACTTAAAAAGCTACAAATCGTTTCAACGGCTGATATAATCAGAGAATCTTAGGCTCAATGACTAAATAATGAGGTAAAGCGAATGATTAGAGGCCTTGTGCTTAAAACAACCTTAACCCATCTCAAACTTTAGGAAAGAATTGCTAACAGGTGTTATATAATTTACGTACGATAAATACTCCGAATAGAAACTTTTTTCGATTCCTTGGTTTAGGGACTAAGAGCAAGATTCTCCAGATTAAGCATTAAATCCAAATCATTTCCAGCACCCAGCGGTAATCTGACCCGATTTAAAGGCTTCGATGGCTATCTACCGGAATAAGTTGCGATGGCCCCCGTTTCTGTGGTGGAATGGAGAAGCTAGGGCTGGGTAGAAGAGACATATTACTTTCAGCTAAGCTACATCTGGGATGTGAATTACGTCTATTCTCGAAGATATTTTGTGGAAACGATAACTTTGCATTTTTTAAGCCAAGCATTCAATTTTGAAAACGTCGAAGAAAGAGCAAACAAAACGCGGTCCACATCAGTCGAGACCGGGCATACCATAAACTAGTGAAGACGCGGATTGCAACCCCCTATCAATTAAACGGGTAACAATACTATCAATGAATTTAAGTTCCTCATCACACTGGTAGCAGGCTGCGGTAAATCGCTGGTAAGCCATAGATAGTGGAAAGAGGGTCGAGGCAGGTCCGAATAGTTTCATGTCATCACTGAAGAAATATTCCATGCTACGGAGGATTAGCCGAGAGAAATGGTTGATCTGCCCCTGGACATAAGCTGTACTCGTAAATTGAGATGTATGCGGCTTGGGCTGGATTGGATGCGAAGAAAATAGCACAATCCTTTCAATTTCCGCAAGGCAAATGACGCGAATTGCCCAAATATGGATAAGACAATTTGCCATAGTAAAGTTCAGGAAATTAATAGGGACATGAAGACTTAGGCATGTATTCAACTCGCCGGCATCAGTGCCATATTGCCAGTAATATGGAAAACCACTCTCTAGCCGAAGGCGGTTTTCCCATCTAGTCAGATGCTCTAATGCATCTAGGAAAGACTGGAACATTTCTGCCACTTGAATTGCGGAGCTTCCATTCTCGAATAAAGCGTCATTGCACTTTAGTAAAAATGGAATAGTAGAAACATCCGTGAGGAGTGCTTGCATGGCTGATGGACGAGCTGACGTGAAGGGGATCTTATTCCAGGACTCTGACGATAGGAAGGTTGGCTGGCGGTCTCGAAAAGCCTGAAGAATCTGCGGAATAGAGAATCGTCAGAAGGCACCGAGGTGAGAGAGACAGACATACTATAGGGGGCCTAAATCCTTGGAAAAGCGCATGGGATGTCCCAGACTTGAAATAATGTGGTCCGAAGGTTTCAAAGAATACCCTTATAGCGGTAGTATGTGCACATAGAGCCGTCCTAGAGTTGGGAAACATAAGCTTGTCAACGGATCAGTCTGCAGGTCTAAGTATAAAAGGAACAAAATCATACTTCAGCAAGAGCAAGACACATCATAGCTGGTACTAGTTCAAAGCACCGGCCGTTGGCTGCTAGACGAGTGCGAACCATTTGAAGCACCCCGCGGTAGTCGCGACCCATCTCGGTGTCTGAGTATCGAATTGTCGAGCCTTGAGGATAAACTGAGCCCGCCAAGACCTTTATAACTCGAAAAAGCAACTCAGCATGCTCCGTACTGGATTGGGCAAAAATAACAGACAGTTCCTTCACCCACGCACCGCATATTTGCTCTTTTCCGTGAATGACTTCGACTATTGTCGCTTCAGTCGGCAAATACATGTCTTTTATAGTTTCCGTGAGAGCATGTACACTTAACTGTAAAGAGAGCAAGCCGCGAGGCACAACAAGATGTGCGTTCCGAACCTGCTTTGGGTGATTCTTCGCCACCTGAATTGAGGGACCCCATGGCGACTTCGAAGCTTCCTGGTTCACATAAGGAATCATGTCGCATGTCGGCTTTGTATCGTTTGAGCGGCCAGGAGAGCGCAAAGACCCAGCATGATAAACGAACTTCCAGTGCTCGTTGTACCCATTGCATTTTCTCTTAGTAAGAACACATTGGCTACACTGGGGACGCTTCCCATCACACTGGAAAATGTCAGTTGAAGCGACATTTGGTTGAAATGTCAACAGGACTAGTAAATTGAGCCTACCCCGATCTTGTGGTCTCTGCAATTTTGACAAACAGTCCTTTGTTTGGTCTTCATTCTGTGAATAACCAATTGTTAGGGCCACCCGGTTGGTAGTCATAGAAAACAGGTGGACTTAAGAGAGGAAGGATGGTCGGGGAGGATAAGCCACCTTTGGCACTATGACCAAACTAAGCTAGAGCCCATGTGGACAGATAAATTCGCCTCTTCTACGGTTATTCCGTACTTGTAGTCATATGAATAATATACCGTATACGGTGTAGAGTGGACAAACTGGATATGGGATTCTCCCGATTCATTTAAAGTTGGGGATATATGATTGGAAGAATCAGCAGCAGTGGATAGTTTTTTTAATCCATTCTTGACTGGAAGCGAGGAGGACTAGACTCGAATCAAGTTAGACCCAGCTCCATATTGTGAAGTTTTTATTATTTACGGCGCCGGTAATTGACTGCCTGCACTAGTGTTGGTGTTGGAGGAGTGGGAACCAAGATTCGATTCTACCAGGTAGTGCTGAAACTCACGCAAGGACCAACTCTTGGCGGGTTATGGCACCAAGTTAGGCTAGCGGCTATCGACTTGACTCGATCTTTTATGAATGACTTGATGTTTGTCATTTGTATGGGCTCCAAGTATGCACCACGTTTGCCACATTTATCGCTTTTATTTACAGATTTTTTCAAGCCTCTCGGAGATCAATGGAAGGCTCATTCCTGATCAGTGCAAGGTCGCTAGCATGTTGCAGGACATGGTAGAGCATTGCGACGTGCTGCATTAGCAATTATCTACCGAGCTCAATCTTATGCTCTTACAAAGCGAGGAACGCTTACATCATAAGTTACAATGCTTATTCATGCCCGATTGCATCAAATTCGAATCCTCCATGACATTAGCCAGACTGGTTGAATCGAGGCTCAAGAGTGTCCACTACACTACTATCCCCATTTACTCGTCAGTGAACTTTTCTCAGTAGAGTACCGATGCTAGTACAATTTTCCGAGGAGGGAATGTAAAGGGTAATTGAAGTTCACCGTACCTTTCCATATCTTGCTAGCATACATACGGAAGACGACCGTCCCCCTTCTCTTTGGCAAAGAGATTGCATCTAGAACGGTGAATGCTATAGAGATCCCCTATACTCATAACCGAAGTCATCATTACAAATGGCATATTCTGTGGCCGCATCAAGCGGTCTCTGAGAGCCATCGGTAAGAACATTTATTGCTGGCAACGGAGTACTCATTTCCAAAGCAAATTACATCGTCTACCTATGGGGATTTTTGAAAGTATGCAAGAAGTCGCCAGTATGTAACCCCGTGGTGTAATGGCTGGTTGGATCCGATCAAGTAGCTGTTCATCACAATGAAAATACACCTAATACCTTCAGGATCTTGCAACGGAGCTAGCTTGAAGTAAACCAACAACTTATTAAGCATCAAGATTGCGGAAAACTTGATGGCGATTATTTACTGAAAGGCTCCAGGAGTTTGTTTGAGCTTGGCCGTGTGAGTTTTAAACCCGACTCGGTCGTCTCATCATTAATATGGTTACTGATGAAGATTACCCCATTCTGAGAGTATTCACCACAAGCAAGGTATCGGCAGAGGCGATGGAATCAACATCACACGAGACGAGTCCTCCCATGTTCAGACCGAAGTCATATATAGCCGGATATGCGGTTTTAGTACTCGTAATCCTGTCGGTATTAATGAGAGACGACGAATATATGAAATCACCATGACATGTCGAAATAATGCTGGTCCAACGATTTGGGATGACGGCGCTAGTTTATAGTTGACGTGCGGCATGGTTTGCGCGGTGGCAATCGGAAAGTGGATAAGTATGAGATACACGAAGCATAGTAGAAATTAGCCGGTACCCAAAGCGGGTACTGGGACTCTGTGTAGGTACTAAAAGACCCCTGTAATGCAGCGACGGCGGAAGACACATTTTGCCAGAAAATTATCACGTATTAGGTCCCACTAGGTACCCCTTAACTAGATACATTCATTCGCCGATTATATAACTTATCAATCAGGGACCTACGGGTATATCGGAGCTTCGCAAAAGCTTACCTATAGGTACCTAGTTCGTAGCCTATAGATATGGTAGTGCTATATAATAACCCCGTTGATCCCCTTTGGCGGATTTGTAGGAAATGATCTAGCCAAGTACTCCGCATTGGTTGTTTTTTCTATTTGATTTCTCTGACCTCTTCAAATTATTGTCTTGATATCTTTTTCGACTCCCTGAGATATTGGTCATGCAGCCTTCGTCTAAATACCCGAGCGATGTTGAACACCAGTCTGTTCCAAAAAGTGTCAATCCAAGGCTCGCCGTCGACAGCAATGAGATAGACAGCAGCTCAGTCGACCACTCGGCCTACGAGGTCTTTTGGTCAAAGGACGATCCTGAGAATCCAAAGAATTGGTCTGCGTTGCAGAAATGCGTAACTATCTTCACCATGGGTTATAGTGCCACAGTTGTTAGCCTATTCAGCACATCATACACGGTCGGCATCGCAGGATTACAAGAGGAATTCCACATCTCCAAAATATTGGGCCTCCTCGGGGTGACTACCTATCTAGTCGGCATGGCGGTAGGAAGCGTTGTCCTTGCTCCGCTGAGTGAGATGTACGGGCGCCGGCCGATATATCTTGTTTCTGTCAGTTTGTTCACCATTTTCGTGTTGCCATCTGCATTGGCAAAAAACATTGAGACAATCCTGATCACACGTTTCTTTACCGCTTTCTTCGGCAGCGCTATGATGTCAAATTCTCCTGGCACGGTGAATGATATTATCTCTGAGCGACACCGAGCATTGGCTTTCGGCTTTTGGTCACTTGGCCCTACGAATGGACCCGTTATTGGACCGATTATTGGAGGTTTCATTTTCGAGAATCTCGGTTGGAGATGGCTTAATTGGTTCATCATGATTCTCGGTGGTGTTGCGTTTTTACTGGTCTTAACTATCAAGGAGACCTATGCTCCAGTTATTCTACGTAAACGGATGATCAGGAAGAGAAAGGAGACAGGAAATCTCAAGTGGTGGAGTCGTTACGATAGTCAAGTGGAATTCGGAAGTCACCTCCGGACCAATATAACTAGGCCGTTGACTATGATGGTAATGGAGCCTATCTGGTACGAACCCCCGTCTTACACGATTTTCATTGACTTTCCAAACTTGCAGCTAACCAAAATTACTACACAGTGCGTTTTGGAATTTTTATACCGCATTAGTCTATGGTGTCCTATATCTGTGCTTTGTTGCCTACCCACTTGCCTACCAGAAGTACCGTGGCTGGTCTCCTGGTATTGGAGGTCTCGCTTATCTTGGCATAGGATTTGGATCCGTTATTACCATTGCTTTGGAACCGATTCTGCGGAAGATCATTTCGTCTCACAAGAAGGACACGAGTGGAAATGTGCCCCCTGAAGCAATGGTGAGCATCATCTGTACATCGGCTGTTCTGCTAGCGGTAGGGCAAATTTGGTTTGCCTGGACATCCACGCCAAATGTGCATTGGATTGTACCAATTCTGGCTGGTGTTCCGTTTGGGGCTGGAAATGCAGGTGTCTTCATATACATAAACAACTACATTGTACATTCCTATAATAATTACGCGGCATCGGCTCTGGCAGGGAATGTAGTACTGCGCAGCATCTTCGGAGCGGTTCTACCTCTTGCTGGGCCTTCTATGTATGCTAGTTTGGGGTTGAATTGGGCAGGTTTTCTCCTCGGCATGTTTGAAGCGGTCTGTATTGCTATTCCGGTTGTGTTTTACCTTTATGGGCATCACATCCGTGAACGTAGTGTCATGATCCGACAAATGCAGATTGAAAAATCATTATGATATTATTAGTGTAGCGGAATTGATTAGATACTGGTTTGGAGAATTTTTCAAAATCTTAAATAATAATTTATACTTTCAAAACATTAAAAGATTGACTTACTTTTAGTAGTATTTTTGAAATAAACTCAAGTTAGAATTTTAAATACAAGTTTCAACTCAGGCTTTGTAGGGATACAGCCGAAGACACCCAAACCTAACAAAAAAAAATTTAATAAATTTTGATAAACTTATTTTTTCTTATATTAATATATAAAGAATATTAGGAGGAACCTATATTTGTAATAATATCTTTGATCTAATAACGTGGTTTATCAGCGAGCGGGCCATATCACCGAGCGGGCCACTTTTACCTCAATTTATATCTTTCAACTTCAATACGCGATTTATCAACAATATATTATGGAATCGAATAATCAAGAAGGTCGAATACTTTTAGCTATCGAAGCTATCAATAAAGACCAAAAATTAAGCATTCGGAAGGCTGCTAAGCTATATAATATCCCGCATACAAAGATTCAGCGCAGAATAGACGGTACTACCCCTCGTATCGAATCTCGAGCAAATAGTCATAATTTGACCAAATTAGAAGAGGAAGTGCTTATCCAGTATATAATCGATATGGATGAGAGAGGGTTTGCACCTAAATTAAATGGTGTAGAAGATATGGCGAATTATATCCTCGAATCGCGGGGTGCGAAGAAGGTTGGAAAGCTCTGGGCTCATCGCTTTGTTAAACGATGTCCAGAATTAAAGATGCGTTTTAATCGCATTTATGATTTTCAAAGAGCTCTCTGCGAAGATCCCAAGCTTATTGAAGAGTGATTTAGATTGGTATCGAATATGCAGGCGAAATATGGTATTGTCGATTCTGATTTCTACAATTTCGACGAAACTGGCTTCATGATGGGTATAATATGCCCTGGAATGGTTGTAACTAGTGCTGAACGAAATGGCAGAAGCAAGGCAATACAACTAGGCAATCGAGAGTGGGCTACAGCAATTATATGTGGCAATGGAGAGGGTGAAACTATACCTCCATTTCTGGTAGTTCAAGGACAAGTTCATCTTTCCAATTGGTATACCGAAACCGATTTTCCTGTGGATTGGGCTATTAAACCTACTTCTAATGGATGGACGAATAATGAGACAGGCCTAGAATGGTTAAAGCATTTCGATAAACATACTATTCGTCAAAGAAAGGGCAAATATCGAATGCTAGTATTGGATGGGCACGAAAGCTACGAATCAATACCTTTTCAATCATATTGCAAATCAAATGATATTATATGCCTCAAATTACCACCACATTCAAGTCATTTAACTCAACCACTTGATGTTGGATGTTTCGGTGTACTTAAACGTTCATATAGTTCTCAAATTGAGGAGTTTATCAAGGCATATATCAATCATATCACTAAAGTTGAATTCTTTATAGCTTTCAAAGCTGTATATCAACAATCATTTACTATTTAGAATATGAAAGCTGGTTTTCGAGGAGCAGGTCTAATACCATTCGATCCTCAATCTATACTTTCAAAACTAGATATTAAGATTCGTACTTCTACCCCTCTATTTACCTCCTTGGAACTTACCAACTCCTGGATCTCTCAAACCCCTCATAATCCAACTGAGGCTCTCTTACAATCAACTCTAGTAAAAGCTCGAATAACTCGTCATCAATCAAGCTCTCCTACACCTATATTTGAGACTGTACAAGCTTTAGTTAAAGGTACAGAGAGATTAGCATATGAAGTTACACTTTTGAGTGCTGAGAATCGTATGCTTCGAAGAGCAAATAAGGTATTAAGTAAACGTCGACGCGCTAAAAAAATTCAACTACGTAATGGAGGAGTACTTACTGGACAAGAAGCTGAAGATATATTATCACAATAAGAGGTTGATAATCAGATTCAATGCGACGAGCGTCAAAATGGGGGAAATTTTAATAGGGAATCATCTACTAGTCGATGCTGTAGTAAGTGTGGAAAGACTGGTCATAATTCAAGAACTTGTCAGAATAGTATAATAGATCCTAGATTATTAGATTCTTGATAGTTTCAATCAATTGATTTAATTGTTGTTAAATAATATGGGTTTGAAATGATAAATTGAGGTAAAAGTGGCCCGCTTGGTGATATGGCCCGCTCGCTGATAAACCATGTTATATAAAATTGATTTAATATTGAATATAATGTAACGTATGGGGAACTTGGACATATGGGGAACTTGGACACTTTTTGCCTATCGCCAACTTGAAACCCTAATAACTTTTATTATGTATACCCAATCACCTTTTACACCTGCTCAGATTGAAGAGAAGCTTCAACAGACTATAGTTGCACTTCAATTAAAAGAATTTAAATCAATTAGAAAGGCTGCAGAGCATTTTGAAGTCCCCAAGTCCACTCTAGCCGATAGGCTGGCTGGGAAGAAAACACGTTCCCAAACCCACGAAATGGCTCAAATTCTTTCAAACGCAGAAGAAAATACTCTTGTACGATGGATTTCACGACTCACGATCACTGGATTCCCTGCTACACCTATGTTGGTGAAGGAAATGGCCGACGAAATTCGTCTTCGACATGTTCAGGTCGCGTCATCTCGAATTCCTACCTCGACAGAAATTCCACCTATAGGCCACGAATGGATCTATAGATTCCAAAAACGACATCCAGAACTTAAAATATGCTATTCACATCAATTAGAGTCTAATCGGGCTAAAAAGGCAACTCCGGAGAATATTCAGACTTGGTTTGATGCATTTCATACATATCTCATTGAACGAAAGTATGAATTAGATGATATATATAATATGGACGAAACCGGATTTGGAGTTGGAAGTACTCAAAGTACATGCATTATAGTCGATTCTACTCAGAAATCGAATTGGAAAGTTACAACTGGCAAGCAAGAATGGATAACTGCATTTGAATGTATCAATGTAGCTGGAAAGGCTCTATTATCTATAGTCATTTTCAAGGCTCAGAATACGAATTCTGTATGGATTCCAAAGGATACACCTCAAAGCTGGTAGTTCTCTATTAGTACGAATGGATGGACCTCAAATAGTCATAGATTAGAATGACTAAAAAGGGTTTTTGTGTGAACGAAGTGAATGACTTCAATTCAATTACTACTGTAATAAAGAACTAAGCGAACGCGAAAGAGACTAGCTCTTTTAGTAAGTCTATATAAGACTTACTACTTTCAATATGTAGCTAGCTCTTTAGACAGAATACAATTAGACATACAGGACCTACGTAATCCGTGGGTGCTACGTCTTCCGTATCCTTCTCGTACCAACAGTTTTCGAACCAGAATCCAAGAAAGTGTCAGGTGATCGACCTCGACTTTTGATCATGGATGGCCATTCAAGTCATATTACAGACAGCTTTATTGCTTTCTGTATAGAGAAGGATATCGATTTACTTATATTACCTCCTCATTGCTCCCACTTGCTTCAGCCACTTGATATTGCGGTGTATGGGCCAATGAAACGATATCATGCTTTGGAGGTCGATCGATATTCTCGAGCTGGTGTAAAGCGAATTCAAAGAGCTGAATAGGTAGAACTCTTTCAAAATATTAGAAAAAAAGCACTGAATTCTTCTAATATTAAAGCTGGCTGGAGAGGAGCTGGTTTAGTACCTTTTGCTCCACGAAAAGTACTCGATATATTACCATTTAACTCCTCCCAGCAACCTTCTACTTCACAAATGAGAACCCCCAATCAAGACCTAGACTTATCTATACTCAGAAGTTCTCCTCCAGATGGGACAGAACTAATGCAAGCAAATCAGATCTTTAATACAGCTCTAGCAAGCAGTGGTTCTCCTACATCACCAACTCGTCGATATGCCAAAAGAATGACTAGGCTTGTAGAATCTCAAAATACTGAGATAGCCTTACTTCGGAAACAGCTCGCTGATGCTCAGGAAGTAATTGAGACTCGAAAAAAGAGAACTAAAGGCAAAAGAGTCAAATTACAAGGTCAATTTGTCTTTAGTATTAAGGAAATACTGAAAATAGTACATGAGGCGGAGGAAAAACTTAAGGAGAAAAAGCCACGAGGACGACCATGCAAGCGCCCAATTGAAGAATCAGAAGAAGAGATTGAAGAAGAAGAGCTAGAGAATAGTTCAAATGATTCAGAATTGGAATTGGGAGGATTGTGTGGCTCGTAGAACAAAGATCGCGTGTAGAATAATTGAAAAAGTGTCCGAGTTCCCCATACATTACGTTATAAAAAATTTGAGAAAATCATATAGCGATATTTGCTCTTTAAGATTGTTATCTGATTTTATACATAATGAAAGATTATTATCAGATATCTTCAAATTATAAAGGCTATTGTTTGATATATTTAATTTAATATTAAGGGTTGTAGAAAGTAATGAAAGGTTTGATTAAAAGTTAGAATCTGAAAAGGGTAAATTATATAATGTTAAAGTGAATGGTTCCTGCGTAGCACATGCACAGGGCACTAGTCCTATTAGGAATAGATTGAGAAGCTCTCCTACGGAGAGCTTTGCATTTCCGTAGAATTAAGAAAATGAATGATTCATATAAAAGGCTATTATAACCTCAGTTGTGCCTTATCCGCTTCCCACTATTCCCTATGTAAGATCATTCCTTTTAACAAAATATATATTCTTAAAATTCTTATTTAATTTCAAACAAATAATATAGTTTACTTTTCAAAATTTTATATTTTATATTTTATTTCCCTTTTTCGTTTTTCATCTTTCGATTTTAGCGCGTCGTCTAAACCCCTTATATCGTGCTCCCTATTTATAACCCTAGGGTTAGGGTTAGGGTTAGGGTTAGGGTTAGGGTTAGGGTTAGGGTTAGGGTTAGGGTTAGGGTTAGGGTTAGGGTTAGGGTTAGGGTTACGGCTATACGCGGTTAGGGTTAGGGTTAGGGTTAG